CCGATTTTCAATTTGGCAAGACGGAAACATCCCTATAAAGTATGTCCCCTAACACTTAGAGACTTCATGAATTTTAAAGCTTTGTCTAAGAATTTGAGGATTTTATCTTTACGTACTACAGCTTCAGGAAGATCGACTAGCTGGACAGACATCATAAAACTTAAAGTTAATAAGTAACACCAAGATCAAATATTTTCCAAGACGAGCCATTTGACACAAGGGTATGATTTTATTCAATTAAAAAGAGGCGCAGCAAATAGCGAAATGTTAATTAGGCTAGTATACGCCTCGTCAATAAATGTTTCTAATAAGAAATATAATCACTTCCTTGCTTTATACAGGGTGTCCAAAAAGTTGGAGTTTTCCTTTACACGACGTGTAGATCTTGAAAACATAAGCAATTTTTCTTAGTACCATATACACCAATGTCTTAAGGGAACCGAGATAAAGGGCTCTGCAACATCAAAAATATCTGAATACCGTCCTGTAGCCGCGACATCACCGACTGGTACAAGGTCACTGGCTCAACCCGACGACAGAACTGGGTCGGGGTCAGTGTGTCAGGTCAGTATGCAACCTTCAACCGACGGTTACACAAGCACTAGAGACGTGGCTAGAGAAGTGCAAGTATCAAAAACTAAAGTATGGCAAACGCTGCGTGAAGAGGGGCTGTATCCGTTTCACGTCCAACGTGTACAAGCCCTTCAAACTGACGATTTTCCAGCAAGAGTGCGGTTTTGTGAGTGGTTGTTGCATCAACATGACAATAATCTGGACTTTTTGAAGTGCATATTGGTGACAGACGAATCTACGTTCACGCGTAATGGGGTGAATAACTTTCGCAACACTCATGTTTGGTCAGTAGAAAATCCGCACGCTGTCCGTCGGGCACATTTTCAACAAACATTTTCGGTGAATGTTTGGGCTGGCATGGTGAACGGTATTGCTCATTGGACCATGTTTTCTCCCAAATCGATTGGACGGGATGCAATACCTAGACTTTTTACGCAACATTTTGCCTTCCTTGTTAGAAGATGTGCCATTAAGTGTAAGACAATCAATGTGGTTTCTGCGTCTGCTCGGTAGCGCATCAGCTGATTTCATTTTCTGTTGGAGCGGTATGATTTCGGGCAGAGACATACTTAGCCCTTCTCGTCAACTGGAGAGTGAGTACTTTTTCCTTTATTTTTTAAACCCCAACTTTGCGGACACTCTGTATAATGGCAAAAATCCCGTGATGAGACTACCGGAATAAAGAAATTTTATGAAGACTTTCTTCATAAAGTTTGGGTTTCCTTTTTTTATATAGATTTTTTGAATTTTATATATTTTTTGCTCATTAGTGCCTTACCTCTGTCAATAAAAATTATTAACAAGAAATTTTCTCTCTACCTTTCTTTGATTATAAATAGTTATGTATGGGTCTTTTCGTCGTATCTTCCGTCGCATCATTAAAGAATTATTTTTGACAACACGAAATGACGTATCTGACTTAGGTATCCATTTTTTTTCTCAAAAGGTAGATTTGAGTATGACAGGCTAAAAGGTTTTGAGATACACTTTTTATTGCATGACATCCAGATTCTCAGAGATCCCTTTTTCTCGTTTTAGCTCTCCTGTAAAATTATGGAAATTTCACTGACGACACTTTGAGTTTTGGGGGACGATATGCCTGAAAACTTTTGAACGGTAGTGACAACTAGATATTAGATTTGTCTACGACTTGCAGGAGTCGTCGAATAGAGGCATATTATTTTGAAAGCGAATCCCCTCAAAATACCACTTCTGATTGATGCAGACGACGACCCCTTGGAAGTTGATAATAAAAGGCAGAGGCACATACGCATTAAAACGCTAGCGCCAGTGTCAGCCAGCGAGCTGTGGGTTCACGATCAGCAGACACCGTTTAAAAATGAATAATCATAGTTGGCCCCGCCTCCAGATCGTTGTCCGGCGTCGGTTTCAATTTGCCGATCGTTCGGCGATGAACAGCCCGCATGTTTGTTTTACCGCCGGCGACACACAACCCGCCTGTCGATGATAACCACAGCCGCACCGAACATGATTTACTAGCCAACGACTGCTTTATACTTCCAAATTGTTTCTTGAGAAATACAGGGTGAACAACCAAATCAATACCGCTCGTAAGACAGGGAAAACTACGATGCAACTTGGTTTGGAATCTTCCACGAGCACTGATTATTGGATGCTTTACTCCCAAATGGAAACTGCATCTAAAACTGAGACGAGGTCAACGCAAAGCAAATCAGATGCGAGATTCATCTGCAAATGGAGAACTCTCCCTTGTGTTGTAAGTAATTGAGTGCATTCAGCTAACGGTCCAGCGATGCAGCGCTTTTATGCTGAAGAGAAATAGTTTTGACAGTTTGCAACATAATCAACGAACGATTAAATCTGACAGCCAAGTGAGATCTGCTGTCAAATTGACAAAGATATCACATGACTACTTCTGTTTGTTTAAGATTTAGGCCCATATCGTCAGTCGTCCCTACAATTGTAGGGCGCCTTTATGGCCTCCTTGATTGTCCAAGTTTTCTACTTCTCCGTGTCAGAACTCTATTTTGAGGTTATGTCACAAACATCTATTTGCATCAAATTGTGCTTGCTTTTGAGTTATATCATGTTTTATCAGCCTGAAATTTCCTACAATTTAAAAAGAAAACATATCTTCACAATAGGAGAGCGCTGACGCTGACACGGGACAAGTGTAATCTCGAAATTTTTGAAGGAGAGAAAGGGGTATGACAATCAAGGAGGCCATAAACGCGCCCTACAATTGTAGGGACGACTGACGATACGGGCCTTATTTAGCATGATTGCTACAATTACATTCTTCTAAAAAACTAAACAATTTGCATCTCTAAGAATTTTCAGTGTCCATGAAATATTCCTTTAATTTCCTTTTAAACATCTTTAAATTACAAGTAGACTTTATATCATTATTTAGTTTAATAAATTCAAGTAATCCTTTCTGAAATATTGATTTGCTAGCTAGCTATATTACTATTGCAATTTTGTAAACGAAAATCTATATTTCCTCTTGTATAATAATTGTGGTAATGATTATTCAATTCTATGTAGCAAAAGATGATTTTTTATTTTAAATATTGAAATAAAAACCAAATATGATATGAAATTTTTTTATATTCAAGCACTGCAATTCTTGTAATATAGATTTTATTTGGGTGTACTTATTTTTATTCAATATTATTCTCATAGCTTTATTTTGCAGCACTTGTAAGTTTGAGAATACAGCTTCATAGGCAGTGAACAAGATAGTTGAACAATATAGTAAATGCGGTAGAATAATTGTATTATAAACTATTTTCTTGGAATATGTACCAAGACTATGAGAAGCCCTATAAAAGTAATTTGTTTTTTGGCAATTTTTGAAATAATGTAATCAAAGTAATCCTCAAACTTTAGTTTACCATCAATATATATACCTAAATATTTAATTGATTCAACATTTATCCTAACTGTGATAGTATTTTCATTTAGGTATCTTCCTATTAGCATACATTTTGATTTTAAGCGTTCAATTTTAGTTTATTTACCTTTAACCATATTATGATTTTTGCCAAGTCAGAATTTGGCATTTTTAAAGCAGTGTCTATATTTTTATCAGATATGTATATAATGTATCATCTGCAAATATCTGAATTTTACAATAATCTAAAATATTACAAATGTCATTAATGTATAAAATAAATAGTAGGACCTAGCTTACTACCTTGTGGTATACCAATATTTTTTGATCTTGATAATGTAGATCCAATTTTCTTTTTTTGACTTCTGTCAATTAAATAGTTTTGTAGAATTTTTAATACAGATCTTTTGAATCCGTAGTGATGCAATTTTCTAAGTAATTCTGCCAATAGTCTCAAACGCCCTTTTGAAGTCCTAAAACACTGTTAATGTATCTTTCCTAATGTCCATAGATATCCTCCAGTCCTCTTAAACCATTTGTGTTGCCATTTCAGTTGAGTGTTTCTTCCTGAATCCAGCTTGAAATTTGGCTAAAATGTTATTTCCCATAAAAGTTCGGCAACGCTAGGCCGCTTTGCGTTAGCTGAATGCAGTCCATTTGAAATTTCTAATAATGGTAGAACAATCTAGTTTCGATCGTATCCCCGGGAACCTACAGATTCATTTATCAGTTCAATAGCCGCTGACACCACTTTCTACAACGGCTTCTACACTGCTGAAAGCTTTAGTTACTTAGCACCGTGGCGCACTGCACTATATTTACGTTTACATCAAGGCGAAAACCAGTAGTAGTGGTGGGGAGGCGAACCCTCGGCTAACTTTGACCCTTCTTGCCGACCCTGTAGTATCAACACTGTACTACTCCAAGCCATCTACTGGTAACTGACTATTGAATAGACCAGCTACAGCTATGCAATATACCATGGTGCGTAATAAAGGCAACACACAACACAACATCTATAGCTCGAAATTAACCTCCGGCGGAGACTTAACCCCATAAGCCTCTAAGTCGACCGGTTAACACCTCAACGCGCTAAACACTCTGCAGCCTAGCCCCTCCCCCTAAGGTGAAAGCAAATGCAAATAAGACCACATTCCAGAATTAAACTTTGTGTGCGCTCAAGCTACCATGTAAAGCTGTTGTTCCAAAACATTTTGACGTACAAACACGGTTGAGCCAGACTGAAGATGTAAATAGTAGTAGTTTACCTGTACCGTAATAAAACTTAACAAGGTTGAAACAGCTAATCAGACGATTTTTTTGATTTTTTGAATATGGTGACTGGTGACGACATTGAACTATCCCAATGGGGTGTCATTCATCAGGACTGTCAGTACTGACACTACAAACATATCTATTTTTGAGTTTTATTTAGCGCTGTCACTCATGAGTTCAGTGTTGAACTATATTATGCTTGCCTAAAGTCTGTATATCCTTGAGTTTCTTAAGCTGGCGTTCATTGTGTTAAAATTACGGAAATAAAAAATCACTTACCTCACTGTCTATCTTCTTGAACTCCTCGTCGTCTTCGTCCACTTCGAAGTACAGTTCTGCAGATGTGATGGAAATCATGCCGGTCGCCACAATACCAGGAGCTATCAATTTCGCCTTTGTACTGATATTCACAGGCCCTAAAATAATAGAATACGGTTAAAAGTTGTTGAGCGAAAATCTTAAAGATCGCTTACCGTTTAAATCTGTGTCCAGTTCCCTGTCGTCTGTCAGAAGTTCACTGTCATCCATTAGATCATTTTGCATCTGATGTTGACTGCGCGTTGTAGCCAGGTGAGCGTGGAATTCTTCTCTAGCCTGAGAATAAACAGAGAACGAAAATATTGCGACGTTATTTGACAGCTATTCTGAATCAGACTCTTCTACTTTAATTTCGCCCACCTAGTGAGACGAATTTACGTAGATTACGTAGAACCTAGTGAGAAGCTGTTTTTTCGTCAGATGAATCTACATAGAATCACAGCCGACGTCAACTACGAGCCGTGAACAAAGAAATCTGGCAACGTAGGTGGTAGTGTTACTCCCGCCGCTGCTTGCTGCATCGACGCAACTCGTGCTCAAAACGCTGAGAAAACATAACCTTTTCAATTTGTGATTTGGGTATCCCAGAGGCTGTAATTAAGAGATAAGCTTGTTTTCTAAGCTTCAAAGTGTGTGAATGTGTTCAAAGTGATCGGCGACTATAATATATGAGAAATAGACTCCAGTTGTAGTGCTTCTGTGCTTTAAAAATAAACTAAGAAGTGTGACTGTGGCTGTTCGCGCCTCAGGACGCTAAGGATTTCAACTATTGAAAACGTGCAAATTCAGGTTGTATTTTTCTTTTTTCATTTATCAAGTATTTGACGCAGACAATATGCCTCGTTGTTGCTGTGTTCCTTTATGCAATGCAAACTATAATTCTGCTTTGAAAACAGAAAGCTATGTTTCAACTTTTCGTTTCCCAAGTACCGAAAGTCTGAAAAACAAATGGCTTATGGCAATTCCCAGAAAAAATTGGACACCTTCAAAATATTCAGCTGTGTGCAGTCGTCATTTTAGAGAATCGGATATCATCAGGACAGAAAATATAGTTTTGGCGGATGGAACAGTCCAAAATAATATACATTTGAAATATCCAAAATTGAAAGAAAATGCTGTTCCCTCCATTTTCCCAAACTTGCCATCATATCTTTCAAAAACTGAAGCACCCAAAAGAACTGACCCAATGCAAAGAAAACAAAAATTAATTGAGAAACATGAAAAAGCTATCCAGAATTTCGATGATATGGACAAGATCAAAGACTTTCAAGAATTACATTCTTCATTTTCAAAAATTAAAGCCTCACAGAAATGGAATAACAAATTATCTGATGGAAAGCTATATTTTTATAAATTGGATTTTGAAAATGATATCTTAACTTTGAATACACAGATTATAGTTGATGGTCAGATGGAAGTTCAGGTTGTTCACAAAGGATGTAAGCTTTCTTTTAGTGACTTGAAGTGGGTTTTGCCATATGATCTCAAAATTACCAGATGGTCCCAATTAGAAAACCTGCTAAATAGGTATTTTTTCTATTTTTCTAAGAACCAACACAAAAACTCTGTTGAAGTTTGCATCATGAATGCATTGGAACAACTTGACACAGCAATTTCCATAATTAATAATGACTCAGTTATGTTTCCATATACAAAAAATCTAGAGATTATTGCTGATCAGCTGAGACAAATTCAAAACAGGAAAAACAGATATGCATCACTTTCAATAATAATGGCTTTTACGTTTTATAACCACTCATCATCAACATATAATTTAATTAAAAGATTTTTTATTTTGCCAAGTAAGCGATACTTACAACATATCTCCTCAAGTATGGATATATCTCCAAAAAATGATAGGAATAATGAACACTACCTTTCGAATATAGCAATTAAATTAGCTCCAAGAGAAAAAATTGTAATTTTGATGATCGATGAAATTTATATAACATCTAGGCTCATAAAACATTGTTGGGTATGCCTCAAATAAAAATGACATGGCTAAAACTGTTTTAGCCTTCATGCTATCTTCAGGATTTAGAAACATAACAGAAATTATCAAATTACTACCAGTTTCAAATCTAACAGGTGATGAAATGACACCTTTGGTTGAACATGTGATTAATTTAGTTCAAAAATGTGGATTTAGTTTAGAGTTACTTGTGCTGTTACTGATAATCACCGAATTAATAGAGCAATGCTCAGGAAATTAGCAAAGGATTCATCAGAAAATTATTTTATTCCAAATCCACATAATCCTGATAAGAACATATATTTAACTTATGATGTTATGCATATTTTCAGGAGTATCAGAAATAATTGGATTAATTTAAAAAACCTAGACAAAACTTTTGTATATCCTAATTTTGACAATAATGATATTATTCAGTATGCTAAATTTGAAAACATTCGTGCTGTATATCAATTGGAAAAAGAAGCTGTAGTTAAGAAAGCATATAAATTAAATTATAAAACATTGCGTCCAAATTCATTTGAAAGGCAAAATGTAAATTTTGTAGATAATTTATTCCATCACTCAACAATAGCTGCTATGAAAGAATTAAAGTTTAATAATGCTGCACACTTTTTGGAAATAATCAGGAATTGGTGGGATATTGTCAGTAATACAAGTGTAATAAAAGGAGAATTGAAGCGAAACGAATTTTGTAAGCCTATTACCAATAAATATGATTAAGAGTACAATTTTTAAAAAAATTCCTGATATGGTTAGAAAAATGGCATAATCTAGAGAATAATAATGGACACCTGACACCAGAAACGTATACAGCTCTATATCAAAGCACGCTGACTCTACTTAATATAATTGAATATTCATTTAATCAATTTGACATTGAGTATGTATTGCCTGGAAAATTCACCACTGATAATTTAGAAAAACGATTTGGCAATTATAGACTTTTATGTGGCTGCAATTACAATGTGTCATATGATGAAATTTTAAATGCTGAAAAGAAAATACGGCTGAAGCATATTTTCAATGAAAAGAAATCGTCATTTTCTTCAGCAGAAATTAAAACAAGGTTCCAAAAGTGCTTAGAAACTCAAGAAAATTTTGATTTCTTGGATACCAAACAAAATCCTGAAGTTTTGGATATATTCAATGAAGTATTTGAGACAAATTACTTAGTCAGTTGTGACATAGAGGATAGTACTAAGACTTATATATCTGGATATGCTTCACACGCTATCTCTAAAAACCTAAACTGCGAGATATGCAAATCGCTAATAGTTAAAGAAAACATATTTTTAAATATTGTATACTTTTTTAATGATATGTATAAAATAAAAAGATACTTCACACCTCTTTGCACGCACTTGTTATTCCACTACAATTCACGTTTCAGTCGATAAAGGAGTTATGTGCATTTTTTTTTTGCAAAACTATTAATTTTTGGTGTGTTAAAGTAAATCCCATCAAAACGATGTACTTCAACATATCTAATAAGTGAACTCAATCAAAATCATATGATCAAGAAAAAAGTTCCAAATCAAAACACGTTTTCCTTAATATCTCCCAACATGAATTTTGTGACATAACACCTTTATCCACTTATGTCTTTAATTATTATGATATTGTGATAGCTCTGACCTATACACGTGTATAAATATTTTGTACCATATAACATCCCAACTAGCAAAGTAATGCTATAAGCTTTTGGTAAAAGAACCGTTCAGCCATAAAAGCTCTCTATTGTTGTTGCCTGAACACCAAAATGCTGGCTTAATGTTGTGTGGAATGTAAATTTGCTTGCTGCAACGTATTTGCTCTAAAATGAGGTGTTTAAAATATTCTTATAGCATAGTTTTACAACACCTTATAGGATTGGTTCCACGGGAAGCACTTATACAACTGTTGTTTAGTAACTGATAAAGGCTGTATATCTGCAACAATATTACAACTTTTGTAGTACAAAATTGCTGTGCTCGGCATACATTTGTTGCTAAATAGTTTGGTATACAACTTCACCATACCAAACCTAACCTAACTTTCTGCTGTCATATTTTTGTTAAAATTCCATAACCAATGATTAAGGACAAACAACGCATGCATATTGGTTCATAAGATTTTATCAACTGTTCACACAGAAGATATAGATCTGGTACAAATTCTGGGTAAATCATTCGACTCTGTCGGTATTTGATTTCAGACATTTGTCAAATTGTTGTATAACACCTGCAGGCAACACCAAAATATTCTAATAACCTAAAGACAACATGGACGATGCCATGATTGTACACAACCACCCGCCATATTGGACAAACATTTATTTCTCTATTTAGTTTTAAATAATTATGTTTCAGTTCGAGATTACAGATATAAAGTGATAAACATTAGTGTAATTGTGTCTAAATATAGGATTTGTGGAAGATTTAACGCAGATAAGTTTAGTTTTCCATCTTAAAAATCTAGACATACTTTTGATCATTATTAAAATATGAATCAAATACGAAGCCCAAAGAAATTGCGTAACTACTTTGCACGATAATCACAATAAAATTTGCTGCGCAAGTAATTCAATAGCCCTATATCACAGTGTAGAAGTTTATCATATACCTGTGTATGAAATTCACAATGGCCGATATGTAAGTAAACAAGATGGCTGTAATGTGTTAGTTATATATTCTTCACTTCGTCTATACAATACATAAGAAATAGTTTGGTTGCAATAAAGTAGAATCACGTAACAGAATAGTTGTATAGTTGACAAAAACTGAATCTTGCACTGACGAAAATGTCCTATAGGGGCTGCAAGAGGCTTACACTTTTGTTGTAAAACTGTTACCTGAAGCCCCTATACAACCTCTTAAATGACTGAAGTGTCCGATTAGCTTGTATAGCTGTTCTAAGAGGGTTTTGCCCATGTTTTTACATTATGCAATGCTGTGTAAGGAATGCTGTATAATCATTCTTGCAACTCTAATAGGAGTGATAATTGGTTGGGATACACATTGAATTAAAAATATATTCTGCAGATTGAAAATGGATATTAAATATCCATATCGTTTATAAATGGCAGAACCAAAGTAAATTTGAACAAAACATGTTTAATCTTCGCCATCAGCAATTTTGTGAACGTTATGTTTTTGGTCATGTCTCTATCTATCTCTAGTTTTATTCGCTTCTCTTTCACATAGATTTGATTGCAGTCTAAAGAGCCTATTTATGTTCCCACATGTTTTTTGCAACATCGCTTTCTTTAGAACCTTTGCGATTATTTATTACCTGCAATACGGCATCCTCTGGCGCTCCGTGCTCGATAGCCGCCTTAAGACTAGCCTCAGGATGCGTGGTTCCCAGCGGATTATGGACGAATCTCTTCCTCCTCCTAGCATCATCTTCCCATGCGTCCAGTTTCCAGAATTCTATTCTATTCTCGCCAGCATCCATGTATCCCCACGCGCCATGTTTGTTCGACATTATGTTGCGCACTTTTTCTAACAATCGACTGGCTGTGACGTTATCACGACGTCGCGCGGACGTTATCAGATGGTCGCACATCCGCTCTTCTTCTTTGCGGTCCAGGAGAGTTTGAGCACATTGAGACTGTTAGGAGAAAGTCAACGGATTAGAGTAACTGTCAAAATTTTCATTCTCACTTATTTTTCAAGTTATTAGCTACAAAAACGACCCATACGAACTATGAAAAATGAATGTTATGCAATGTTATTTCAATCATTTATATTTATACCAACTGATGCTATAAAACCACATGAGTCCTGCTTTAGGGTGACTGAATTTAGTATGCAAAGCACTGAACATGATTCTCCAGACCAATTCAAGATTATGATGAAAATATAGAACAACCAATATGCAGGTCTGGGCTCAGCATTTTCAGCGTAACTATTTACGTTTACGTGCTCTCACCACAACCCTAAGTTAGGTTTAGCTACAGTAATGGACAAAAGTATATAGACAAATATGAATATTTACCTAAATACCTTTAAAAAACGAATTCATACTTCATTGCTCCATAAACAAATGCATTATCAGTAGAATAACTAAATTCCTTGTTTTTACATTATCTGCAATGAACACAATACAAGTCTGAATAAAAGCACTTTTTTATGAGGGACAAAAATATGTAGACAAATTTTCAACATTACTTTAGTACAGTTTCGTGTCAGAAGAGGATTAGTTTGTGTTCGTCAAGTATTGTGGTATAAGTTGAGTGATTTTAAGACCATGCCGCGTGGTCTGGAAATTTCTTTGGATGTGAAAACTGAGATCATTGAGTTATACATAGATGGTCAACGTCAAGTCGACATTGCCAAAAATTTGAAGCTGAAGCGTAAAGCAGAAAACTAAATACTAGATCAGTTGGGTTAATAAAAGTAATTTCGTCCAAAGATCAGTTTAAAACCCCAAGACAAATAAAAGCCGAAATCGAGACAAAATGAATTGCCTGTGTTTCTACGAAAACTATAAGTAGAAGATTCAATGATTTGAAGTTATTTGCACGTCGCCCGAGTAAGAAGCCGCTAATCTCGAGGAAAAACCGTAAGGACCGATTACAATTTGCATGGTTGCATCTTGATTGGAGCATCTGTGACTGGAAGAGGGTATGTTTCAGTGACGAATCCAAGTTCAATATGTTTGGATCAGATGGTGTTCATTACGTTAGACGTCCTAGTGGACAAAGATTGAACCCCCAAGTACACTTTTCCCACTGTCAAATATGGAGGCGGGTCTGTTATGGTTTGGGGGTGCTTTTCGGGGTTTGGGATGGAACCTTTACATAGAATAGATGGGGCATTATGGATAAGTTTGTATACACAGACATACTAAAGCATGTCATGTTACCCTATATGGAAGACAATATGCCCTTAAGATCAATCTTCCAGCAAGCTAATGACCCGAAGCACACTTCAAATCTCTGGATGAAAAAATACCAGTTCTCAAATGGCCTTCACAGTCTCCCGATATAAACCCCATTGAAAATCTATGGGAATACTTAGATAAGCAAATACGAGATAAAAATTATTCAAACAAGGATGAACTTTTTGCCGCTTTAGAGCAAAAGTGGAGACAGGTTGATGAATCTTATATCAAGAAACTTCTACAATCTATGCCAAGACGATGCCAGGCGGTGATAATAATGGTTATGCTACAAAATATTAACACAAACATGGTTGGTTTTCTATAATTCAATGAACTTTGCTTCTTTTTTCTATAATTGTTTTGCTTTGTCTATATATTTTTGTCCTTCATAGTTTCAGTTTTTTAAATTAATTTTTTATTTAAGAGAGTCTAATGAATTTATTTATGTATAAGTGAGTATTATGCTATAACGAATTATGTATACAGGTTGGTGTATTAATAAAACAAGTTAAACAAAGAAATACAGCAGAATATTAATTTCTCTATATACTTTTAGCCATTACTGTATATCACACAATTAAATGTCAAGTCTAAGTTTGTCTGTAAGGTCAAATTTAGTGGAATAGCACATTGAATGCCGTTTCCCTTTTAAGCAGAACTCATGTTGTTGTACAATACCAGTTAGTAGAATTCAATAATTGAAAAATTACCGAAAAAAAGAGGGTGCATAACATTAACTTTTCCTTATATTTATACCATGTGTTGCTCTTTTTTTTTCTGCAAAAAATAATAAATTCACAGTATAACTTACAGGGCAGAGCTATAAACGAAAGCCTAAAAGATTTGCAGATCTACCAGAAACTAAACAAGATGACAAACTTGTTTAACAAATCGTCTTTTAAAAATTGTCTTAAATAATTAAGAGGGTCACTAGTTATATTTTGAGCCTAAGAATGAAAAAAACTAATTTGTCATTGAAAATCAAAATATTCTCCATTATGATCCGTACACTTTTTCATGCGTTCGAATCATTTTTCATAACACATTTTCCACTCCGCTTGAGATATCTGTAATCGTCGCCCACGCAATTTATTCTTAACGTACAGGAACAAAAAGAAGTCATTGGGGGCCAAGTCGGGACTGTACGAGTTTGTAGGACGACCCATTAAATTAAGTGTTCAAATTGTCCATTGTTTCATGCGAGACGTGAGGGCTCGCATTGTCTTGATGAAGAATGATCCGCCGGCGCTAGTTGGTTTTCCTTATTTCACCGAAGACTTTCGGCAAACAAACAGTTGTGTACCATTCAGAATTAACTATTTTACGTTCCTCTAAAGCGGAAGTTCCCAACCAGGCGGGCGCGCCTCCCAAGGGGGGCATAGAGAGCTGTCAAGGGGGACGGAAAGCGTTTTCATTTTAGAAAAAAAAATAAAAAAATCAACAAAAAACGTTAACTAATAACATTACAATGTAAGGTTTAATTTACACGCAAAAAATTAGAAATTAAATATCATATTTACTTATTCAATCGCGGTTTATAACTACAAGTTTCGACATGAACATGAAATCCGGCGGGCGGAAAGCGTTTGTATTTTAGAAAGAAAAAACAAAAAAAAATAACAAAAAACGTTAACAAATAACATTAAAATGTAAGGTTTAATTTACACGCATAAAATTAGAAATTAAATATCAGATTTACTTATTCAGCCGCTCAACATTCATCACTTATCAAATAATTGTGTACTTGTGTACTTAACAGTCGCGGATAAGCATCTGTGACATTCCTTCCCACAAACTTGCAAAGAATTTGACGTTTCGATGAGCATGTTTTGTTGAGAAACAGTCGGTTATTTACTTTACTTTGCGAGGATCTCGATTCAGATCGAATTGAAAGAAGAGGTAATTCTTTTTCTTGAGTTAAAAGAAAAACACGATTTCTTGACAATGTTCAAAGATGACACATTTCAATGGAGGTTGGCTTATTTAACTGACATATTTGACTCATTGAATGAGCTAAACTTGAAACTTAAGGGCAGAAACAACACTATAATAAACAATTATGATTATATTCAGGGGTTCATATCAAAGCTTCAACTTTGGAATCAAAAAGTGTATTCTGAAAATGTTATATCTTTTTCTCGGCTGTTCGAAGCAATTAAAAATACCATACTGGACGCAAATTTAAAAGCTGACACAAAAACTTATTTGCAACCGCTGGAAGGCGAATTTCGCCGATACTATCGAGACATCAAATCAGAGTCACCAATATGGCACATGACAAGAAATCCATTTGTTGCCGATGTGTCACAATTACCAGAAGATGTTCAGGAAGAAATGAAAGCTGATTCGTCCATGAAAGATGACTTCCATTTTTTAACATTGGAGAAATTTTGGATCAAAAGATTGCCTATTAATTCGACACTTGCCTCTCTTGCTTTACGAATACTAGTTCCTTTTTCTTCAGCTTACTTATGCGAAACAGGCTTTTCTGCTCTGGCAAAAACAGAACCTAGAATCAACCAACTGGTACAGAACATGCAATCTCAAGTGTCTTATTAGTACCTAGTCTCAAGTTTTTCGATAAAAAACATTTATTAGTTTAAACTTTTAAAGCTTCTTTATTAGAATTAAAATTAAAGTCTTTGTACCTATATAATGTGCGTTTTTTTTGTATTTATTGAAAAAGTAAAGGGGGGCATGAAAATATAATTTATAGTCCGGGAGATCAACAAAAAAAAAAGGTTCGGAAACCCTGCTTTAAAGGTACTGTTGCCACATGACCATTTGCCTCGAAGTGCTTCGTGCGCGACGAACCTTTGTCAGATTTGGCTCGTCTTGAAAGATCTATACAGTCGACTGCTGTTTCCTTTCCGGCTCATAACCATCCATCCATGATTCATCACCTTTACAATCTTATGCACGTCTTTTGAAACACCGCCGTTGTATTTTTCGAGCATCTGTTTTCACCAATCGACACGAACCTCTTTTTGAGCTTTTGTCAAATTATGTGGAATCCAACGAGAACAGACCTTTTTCACAGCTAAATGATCATGTAATGTTTTATGTAAGCTAGTGGAACTAATGCCTAAGGCTGCCGCAATCTCACAATATGTCACATGACGATCTTGCATTATTAGTTTTTGCACAAAATTAATGTTTTCTGGCACAAAAATTGAATTTGGACGTCCTTCACGACTTTCGTCACCAACAGAATCGCGGCCACAATTAAATTCATTATACCATAGTTTCACAGTGGCAAAGGATGGGGTTCATCACCAGAAGTCGAAGTAAGTTGATCAATGCTTTCCTGCCCTTCAAATCGCTATCAACAATATAAATCGTGCTGAAATGACACAACTGAAGAAGTTTAAAAATGTCAAACTTGCAATTCAAAACGTCAGATGGAGCCTAAGCACACTTGATGTTGCCGAGGCTCAAAATATAAATAGTGACCCCTTATAACAAACCCTTGATGAAAAAACTGGAATTATTATTAGATGGACAATTACATGTAGAATGAGGATTGTCATAGGGACTCCTCAAAAAATACGTTGTATTAAAAAAATTCACAGTCGGTTAAACGATATGAAACAAAACATTTTTCGAGCTCTTGGTAAAATTGAGCCTAAAGTGGACCAAAACTTAACTGAACATTTTTTGCCTAAGAATGTTCATATGTATAGAAACAGCCGACGGTAGCAGTTGGAAAATGTCGTTTATACCTATAACATACCTCTCATACTGCTACATTCTGATAATATCGGCAAGCCAGATTTTTTCTAGTACTGTTTTATTCAATAACAAAAAATTCGAATTACCTGTAGCACACCGTTTATATTCGAAATTAATTTTTCAAACTCACCTCGAAATCGGCATGCTTCAAGACATCATCAGCTCTCATCCTATTCAGTATAAACTCAGCTTCATTCGCGACTCTAACAATGTGATCTTTCATTGCGTGAGACAAAAGCCTGCCCTCGTTGATCAATTCTATGAAGGCCAAACCTGCGTGCTTCTGTAGAGAATTCTGCCATTCTTGCGAGCATAACAACATAACTAGTTCCACAACAGAATTGCTGTTCTTGAAAGTCGTAAGCCCTTTGCCTTCCATCAGAAGCTCTTGCCCATGTGATCCAACCAGGGTCTTGGAGAGAAACGGAGCAAAATCGACCATGATTTCTCTAAGCAATGGACATACCGATCCTAGAGCCATTTCAAGCTTCTGAGTGAGGGAAGCTTCACGAGAAGGTGTTGGTATAGAGATATGATCCACCAAACTGTTGACAGGCAACTCTACAGGCCTTATTTGAGCTGGAGTTTGGATAATGCTCTCAGATACCCTAACCACGGATATCTCGGGTTGATGTTTCTCGCCTTTTTCTGCTTGGATGTTCCCTTCGGTATCCATCAGTGAATGGTAAGAATGAGACATGTTTTGCATGTTTCTGACGGTTTCTTCCTTCATGTCACCTTCTTCGTTTAAGTTTATGTCCGTCCAGTTTTCGTCGATGTTGGAAGTTTTTTCATTATCGTCGAGATGGACGTCATTTGCCGAATCCAGGTTGTTGGTCTCCACGGAGTTGACGGAGTTCATATCTTCAATAGAATCCGTGCTCTGTCAAGCAAATAATGCGTTAGTTGATATGTTTAAGCTATCTTTGGAGAACGTACTATGTGATTTGTGGTTAGTGCACTGGTGCTTTGGATGTGGATGTACTGAGTAATTTGTAAGTTTTACTGGTGAGGTGTAGTGTGCCACAAAATATGCACTCAAAAAGAGCCGTTTTCTGTGTTCGTTTGATAAAATATAATCAGGATAGGATCCCGAATCCGAAAAGGGATATATTTTATAATAATCTAAGCATGCTATAATCTAAAAATGTGTATTCATTCAGCATGCTTTACACATTCGTCCATTTAACCTTACCGACGCTAAGAGAACTAATTTAAATGTATGTTTGTTATAGAAAAATTGTCACTATTAGTTTTGTGATTATTTAAGCTTATATAATTATAAAGGGCCAGGATCAAGGATGTCAACGGCTTTTTCAGCATGGAGTAAGAAGCGCTACGATAGGTTTACATGCATTAAATTTAATTAAGGTCTCTATGCAATCCATTGGAGTTTTAGCAATCACAAATATCGCATACGTAATCGTGACCTTCATTTTTGATTGCCAAAACTATCACTCGTTCCATACTTCAGCTTTAATCATATCGGCACAAACATGTATATTTCAGTTGTATTAGTCTTCGATAATGTTCAACAAGTCCAAGGCAGTATAGCGTAGCAGAGTCAGAGTAAAAAGGTTTTACCATTAATTGTCAATAACATGTTATCAAGCATCGAATGACAGCATACAACCGGGAACTGGACAATTCTATATCCAACACTTTACACACAGTTAGATGGCTTGATGACGAGATTATTGTTTCAATAAGTCTTCAGTATGGATGAAATATATAATGGACAGAAACCTTATTTATAGTTCATATTTTCGGATAACATAAATCTGCATGGAATAATTGAACGTTTAATAGTTTTTTAACAACTATAAATACGTAAACGTTAATGATCGCCATTTTTTACATTCAGGTAAGTAAATGCACTAGCGACAGTATAGCGTCATAATTGTCTTTTTGGAACTAGCTTTCATTCGCTTGTAGTAGTTGATACTTGAGCTATATGCTGAGATTTGATGTGATGTGACATCTGCTTTAGAGATGGCACTAGCTTCTATGGCCTGAGCTGTACGTTATATACTATGGTTGTGCTACTCCTCCACAGGAGGCTTTTCCAGCGGGTAGGCGTGGCCTGGACTAGCGAAACAAGTACCAGGCATATTGATAAGATCGCTATCATAGCGATTATTTACATAATACAGATGCGAGTTAAACACACGCAATGATTTATATGAAGCAAATGACAAATGAGGTAAATATTGACATGTATGTGATTCTCATTGAAAATTGGTATAATGTCACTTTTTAATTTAAGTAATACGGGTTCTCATGAACACCGTTTGATCAAAGTTGCTACCGATCGATTTAAATACACAACTTTCATAACCTCTTGCTCCTATTGCAACATTCGGGGATGTCTACATCTTCAACTGTGTCCGTTCTTAGAATTTACAGGTTAAACCATAGAATCTATAAATAGCTTCCGCTAGTGCCATCATTGAAGCAGACGTTACATTACATCAGAGCCAAATCATATAGATCAAGTGTTATGACGTTTAAGCATCACATACAGCTAGTACAAGCAAGCATAAAGTGAATGACAGCTAGTTCCATGGTGACATTTTTTCCGAGAAACCTACATAATGTAATTAAAAATCGATATAATGTCCCTTTTTAAATTACGTAAAATCAAACCAAGCAGTAGTAAAGTGAGTGAAAAGGCGTCAGTAGTAGACAACAATGTTCACTGTCGGTTAGGTGTGTAGGAAGAAGGAAATAATTACATGAGAGCCTGTCATATTTCTTAAAGCGTACAGATTTTTATCAACTACCCTAAATACAATGGAACTTAAAATTTTCAACGAACTTCACAAAATGCAGACATGTTCCAGCACAAAACGTGAGGTTTTCATGAAAATACAGGTCTATAAAGGTTCCTCCATACCGACGCGATACAGCGGTAGCGGTAGCGTCAGCGTTAAAAATCGCATTTTATCGGGATAGCTGCAACTATTATTATTATTATTATTATTATTATTATTATTATTATTATTATGATTATTATTATTATTATTGGCCTTAGCACAAGATAAAAGGCGAAAAAGGTAAGTGTTTTTAAGATAGCCATCACTTCATAATAATTAGTAAGTGTGTTTAAGGAAAAAGAAGAAATCAACAAACAAAGAAGAATATATGAAGAATATCATACTTTAATGCCCGAATTATGTAGATATCCACAACGTTTTACGTATACTTTCGAATGACTCCCGATAATTTTGAGGAAATCTTAAATTTAATGTTATCCCACACTTTATCTCCTTTTTCCTGCTATTTTTATAGTTTTCGTGACTTGAACCGTACAATATTGGGCACTTCTTAGCTTGTTCAATTAAATTCTCCGTTGTGGTCATCGTGCAAAACGCGGCAATATGCGATAAGAAACGCGTGAGCAGCGTTTCTGAAATGAAGCGCTTTCAAGGCGATAAACCCCGGGCCACCCCACCGCGCGGGTGATGGTATGTGTTATTTACCGCTCCGAAAACCGAGTACCGCGTGGACGGAGGTGCGATTATCGCTATAGCCTTACCGCGTTGGTGTGGGGGATCCTTAAGGAGGAGTTTAGTTATGCTTATCTTTACACAGACACGCAAGTCTTTCATAATGTAAGTACATAAGTTAAACTCCAATTTTTATTTAGAGTAGGTTATGTGTCTTCCTTATTCCTACAGTGCCTCAGCCAAATGCAGCATTACCTTCTTATTAACACGAGAACTCTGACAACCTCGAGCATGCCTAATCCCATCCATAGAGTAATTAAGAGAGAACCCGTGAGCCAGCGATGGGCGCTGCCTCGCGTTAATCTAGAGATGCACCGTAATAGCAAAGCAATGTTAGTAAGAAAATATCTACACTCTAGTTTATCATAAAAACCACACACCTAGCCATACATCTATCCTTTCATCTACGGCAGAAGAACGTATTCAGTTACCCCAAAAATCGTACCCAACAAAAATTGAGTATATCCACGTGTTGTCAATGGGTTTGTTCCAAAAAGCAATTTCTGATAATCCTGAACGATCATTTAGAGTGGACCAGATCAGGGCGGCTCGTATTTCACGAGTTTCCATTACGTTTTGACGCCTACTGAGGTGAACAGCTGCTCAGCAAGCCACATCTATGTAACTCGTCTGTAACGTTGCCAATAATGAATCGGGTGTAAATCTAGTAAAACTTAGGACCGGATTCAGAGCTGCTGTTCACATATCTAGATACTTTGACAGATAATTGTGACAATAAAATATATGAAGTGCACATACAAAAATGTTTATTAAAAATGATTATGACACATCTGGGATTTGCTGATTACGAGATCATCCAAGAGATCAGACTACTGTGTTGTCCTCTCAAGTTGCTGTAATTTTACATGTAAAAATAATATAGACACGTGTTTCTGCTTAATTTTCCGTCATCAGTGTAAAGTAATTCAAATATGGCTGTATCTCTGCCGTTTAACATGGTTTCAAGTTCTTAAAAGAAAAGATGATTAACAGTCAAAACCTGTTTATCTTATTTCATTCCTACCTGAATTCAAATGTAATAATGACCATTAGCAGCCATTTTGCTTGTAGCGTTTTTTGTATGCGAAGGAACTTTTCTAAATAAAATAATTGTTAATAAGTAGAAACTAAATCCGTAGTGTCCAAAAAAATCAACAAAATACGGCTCTGTCTACCTGATGTTGACGGATCCATCAGAATTGTGTGCCACTTTCGATATAGCGAATTTAATATTACTATCAGCTGGTATTTTACTCTAATGGATACTCGTGAAAAGAGGGCAATTCCATGCTTCACGGACTGACAGTAATTTTTCGATATAAACATCTTGTGTAAATGAGAGCTCATTCTTTCAAATGATACAAACAGGATATTTCTATATTTAATTAAAATCTAGTGATTGACAAAAAAGCTTGTATGTCACGGACTGACCCAAAAATGTCACGGATTTCTGAGGAGGTTATTAATTTGTTTTGATGGCTGTAACTGAACTGTCTGACAGTCTCTGATAGTCAGAAATTGCTTGTTGGAAATAAGCGAATACAAAATTTTTACAGTTGTCTCATAAATAAAATAAACAATATCTAGGCCCACCTCTGAACAAAGACGTACGTATGTCTGTCGCTTGAAAACTCAAGCCAGGGAGAATTTCCTTAGTAATGGGGCACTAGTTTTGACGCTACATCTACAATATTTTTTAAGAATACATTCCTCCCTAAAGTCTTAATCTATAGCGCAACACGTCAGTAGATAAATGTCAAAATTCAGCCTATTCAGAATGTATGAGAGCTGCTCGAAATTTATCGACTTTTGGTAACAAAAGTTGCTGGTTGAAAATTTAGATATGTATATTTCGATCGATAGTCTGAGTTATATGTTTATATTTATGCTCGATCTTTACGAGTTCATTTTGTTGCTATTGTAGCTGATTGAGCAATCCTCATATTCGGGTATTATGGGTAATCAGATTGGAGTAGATATGTTGCGTTGCGGTATTACCATAGAGTATTTCCCTCATGTATACAAAATGCCATAAGAGGTATGGAAAAAAAATTTCTTATAGGTCCGTATCTATAGTTACGATTGATGAAATGTATTTTCGTCATCTTGACATGCATAAATATGGTAAGCTCGGAAATATTGTACCAAATTACATCAAAATAAGTTTCCATTTAAGCATGTTGTCAGTAAAAAACCGCATTCGGTTATGTTCATATTTTGGCAAGAGAGCCATACTCCGAAGGAGGAACTCATGCAGTTTTTAGACAACGCGCTTCCATGAAAAATTATCGGTAATTTTAATGGGCCTGTGTAATTACTTCCCAAGACATTCTATCAGAAATCAGGTACATAGCGTTTGGTAAGATGTCTGTCACTGTCACTTTGGCACATTCAAACAGTGATTGTGAGAATGTAGGTCACCATCGGAGCACATATAGCAAAATTCAAGAAATGCACATTCGCGGTTCAAGAATTCATGTACAGCAAAATTTTCGCCTCTGTAGAAGGCTGTAGGCGATTGATAATTGACGGTTCATTAATTTAATAGAAAAATCAACCGGGCTACAGCTTAAACGGCTTGATGGATTTTTATATATGCGGCGTCTCTAAATTTTTCTTGACAGCGCGAATGAGACTGGGTATACTATAGTCTCTAAAATCGAAAAGGTGGATTTTAATAGAAAATTTTAACTTTGAAGTCAATATTATACGGGCTACAGCTTAAATGACTTGACGGATTTTGACATATAAGGTGCCTCTAAATTTCTTTAGACAATGCGAATGACACTGGTTATACTAAGAAATTTTAAAATCAAAATGGAGGATTATAATCGAAAATGTCTGCTTTGTAGCTCCTATTATACGGCCTACAACTTAAATGGCTTGATGGATTTTGACGGATGAGGCGTCTCTAGATTTATTTTGACAGTGTGATTAACACTGCGTATACTAAAATTTTATAAAACAGGATACAGCTCAAACAGCTTGATGTATTTTGACATTTGAGGTGTCCTTATATTCGTCTTGATAGCACAGTAGATTCTTCATTTTTCAGCTACTGCAATCAGATTGCTTGTATTTAAAAAAAAAACAGGCCTCTTTCTTTATGGGTCTGAGCGATTGGTGGTAGGGGGCACATCTCCACAGAGCAAAGTAATTCTCGCGAACGTTTTGGAAAGCAAAAAAAACACACACACACACCACTCGTTGCTATTAGGTATATTTCACTTCTCAAGTGGAATGCAAGGGGGCATATGCCCCCTCTTGACGTGAAACGTGAAATTGCAAAATGAAGTGTATTGGGGGCTATTTTTCTCGAGAAAACATCAAAGGTAAGTTTACTTAGCACAACCACACATTTTTTATTTGCTCCCTGGGATAGTTATTGGTGGTGATTACAGCAAGATCAAATGGACGCTGCTTTGACGATTAGGTCATTCCGCATTTAGAACGCGGATATATGATAATATTGAAACGCAACGTATGCTACGAGGTGATTACCCATAGTTTAATATTTAGACGCTTATGAAGCATGGAATAAGATTGTTATATATTATGAATATAGTGCTTGCAAAAGCAGACGTGTATATACAGATACATCACAATATTGAAATTGTCCTCAAATGAAACTATCTGGGTTTTTGCCTTACACTCAAACACATCCTATGAAAAGGTGCAGCTAACATTAATTGTATTCACTAATTGTTTTTATCTATATTTTTTGTGTCTGGGTATACGGTTTTCAAGTGATGAAGAAGGGTGGGTAAGTTGGTATATTTCACAATCTTTAAATATTCGTACCCTTGTAATGGAGTACCTGCATAAAATTCCGGATTACATATATATAATGATCACTATAATTTATTTTAAAAATGTAACATTTTTGGTTCAGTTATTTTTTTCATTTGTGTATAACCCTAGAACTATATTAATAATATTAAATCATCGCATATTATTATTAGAGTAGTAAATTCATGCCAATAAAATTTCTAACATCGTATCATGCAACATCAGATTAGATTCACTTTAATACATCGACAATTTTCAAAATTTGCCTAGATAAACCTATCTCAAAATCAACAATCACTCAAAACTAACCTACTAATTAATGCATTCGCACTACGTGAGCACGTGTAATCTTACCTTTAGTGATGGAGGTCCAGACTGTAGCTCTGCCTCATGATTTAAGGAGTTATTGTCTTCAACGTAGGCTGTTATGATATCGTAGTCATTATCGTCCTGGGTTTGAATCGACCTTGAAGCTAATTAACAACACTATATCAATTGAATGCACTAACTTCAATTTAAAACTATTATATCAATTTCGGTTAAGTTATGCTGATCTGATTTATTTCTTACACCAAATTACTACTATCTAAAGCATTGTCTTTTATTCAAAAGCATCGACAAAGTATCAGACACCGGTATATCAACGTAACGTCTGAAACTGATTCTGTGGTTTTCATGTCTATAAACATAATCCCCCATGTTTTTTCTTTACAATGGAACCGCATGTATTTAAAATTGTTTTTTAATGTATACGTTTCTATCACAATGGTGATCTTCTTTAGTATATGATAATTTTTTGACAATATTTTTGAACTGCCTGGTCTAAACATTCCCGCTCCCAAGAGGACATCTAGATGGACGAGGATAACGTATCTGGTAACCTCATGCTCGCTTGTCTTTTGGGGGGTAGATGTCCTTTTGAGAGCGGGAATCCCTTCCACAGGCGGTCCTGTGCTATGCTGGTTTTGGGTGGTGCCATCTTAAAATTTGGAATGCTGGCTTCTCGAAATCTCAGCATGTTATGGACCTTTCAGACTATTGTAGTAGCACACTGTATAGACATCTGAAAATGAAAAGAAAAACCGAACGAAGTGTCACCTGGAAGTAGGCTTGCCAGATTGCCGGGAAATCCGGGAATGACCCGAAATTTTATGTTTTGTCCCGTGTCCAGTAACAAGACTTTATTGTCCCCGATTCCAAACTCCTACTAGTTTTTTTCACAAAATTACTAGAGTCGCCAGTACTACATGTAACGCATGGCTGTCAAGTGCAACGAAGTACATATGTCCGTCTCCGACCCCATTCACAGACATGGTGTTATTTTTATAAGACAAGAATATTTCTGTACTTTTAAGAAAACTCGTACTGTTCTTGCACCAAAGATTAGTTTATTAATTAGCCATAAGGCGACGCTCATTTTTCGTTTTTAGTATAGAAAGGGTATTATTTTTATGAGAAAAAGAATAGTTCGTAATTTTTATTTTAAGATAACTCATGTTGTTCTTGTACCAGAGTTTACCCTATTAATTAGCCAATAAGGTGATGCTTAATTTTCGTTTTCAGTTTATTCGTGTTTAATATTAACTGGCGCCAGTTTTTCACTAAAGTTTGATTTAACTAATAAGATAGAGCGGTGAGATAATGTTCTTATTTATTTTCGTATTGTTACAATCTATATTGATTGCCTATCAAAGTATAAATCAATCAATAAATATAGAAGTGAAGTGCTCAATTTTGATTACGTTATTATAATTTAAAAATATACGGAAGGTACTGAGAGAGTAGTAGGTTTAAATAATAAGAGTATGTAATTATACAAAAATTAAGTATTTTCATTTCTCATTTAAAGATAAAACACGTTAAAATATTATTGTCGGGGGCTAATTGAAACATCTATTTGTTTTCATACATTTATCATTGCTCCGGAAATGATAAACCTGTATCTCACGACCGTACCAGGAAGACAGATAAATAAAATATTGTCAAGGAAGTATCATGGACTGAAAAATATCACCGATATATTATTTACAGTGACCAGTAACAACGCAGTTTATTTGTCAAATTTTGTGTCAAACCAAACATCGCTAAATATATTCGCAGCTAAACATAAACAAAACTGATATATGTATGTCGTAGATTGCACTTTTTAATCAGTTAATATTGCGTTAACTTCATTTCAATGTTGACCACTTATATCTAAGTACAAACACCCTTCACTGGTGAAGACAAAATAGAAGCATTCCTGCAATGAACAAGGAAAACGTTCACCAATGGCGTGCAATAAATAGACATACAAAATCACAAAAATACTTTACTAGCCAAACATCAGCTACTGAATCAAGAGAAATGGCATGTATAAATATGTAAAAATGTCGAAATGTCGCCATGATTTATTAACCACGGTGGTAGGAATTTATGGACAACGTCAAGAAACCTGGAACATGCAGAATCATTGTGAAAATGTAGTATTTCTACGCTCACAGTTAGGGATGATGAGACAATTTGTTCGTGTAAATACAACGTTCAGGTGAACAATAAATTGACAACAAAAACAAATGCAATTTCAGATATATGAGTAGTATAAGAAATTATCATGTTACAAGATATAGGGTTATTGCTAACGTCAATTCTGGCAGTATATTATTTTCTATTATTCGATTCAGTCAGACGCCTTGTTCGAACTAAGCAATCAACACATAAATTATCTGGACTCGAAAACTATATATCTTGCAAAATTATTGTCACAAAAGAGAAAAAACCCACAAAACTGTTAAATCAAGAATGGGGAGTATTTCATACTGTCTGGTGTATGACATACACAAACAATAAATTAGCTTTCTAGTTATGATAAAGATCCCGCTCTCCTCAAAAATCACGCATTAAATCTGATGCGAGTCAAAATAGCTAATTGATCATGAAGGACACGTTTCGACAATTTCAATAGCTGGGGATATTCAGACACAAGGAAAGAGTTATACGATCCATGGTGCAAAATTAAAATGACATAACTGGAAAAATGTGGAATGTAAGTAACGTAAGATCCCAGGGCTGCCAGACATTATTCGTTTTCTGAAAAACCAAACACGTGGGTCATTGAATAGCGTTATATGCACATACTTTCGACGCTTGCGTATCTGCGAAAGTAGTAAGTAAGTAAAATTAAGTTAACTTAAATTTGTATATATACTCTGCCAAAAATTGTCACAAAGTAATATTCAGCACTGCTAGACACGTCCCACCATGCTAGATGCTTTACACTACGTGAATTGGCTCTCTATCTAACTTAACAGATACGCAGGTGCTGAAAGTGCATTTAAAACTTTGTCTTTCAGACATATAGTAATGGCTCGCAGACCTGGAATTTTGGAATAAAAATAGCAAAGTTTCAGTGTACGGCCAAGTTAGTGACAGGTAGGCCGTGCAAGCCAAAATATGTTCAACGCACTGTATCTTTATTCTCGCTTCATGTTTTCATACAGCGCGCAAGAAATAAGTAGCGTACGCAACATTTTTTTCACGGCTAACATTACATTGATGGAATTCGGAGATGTTTATCCGTAAGAAAAGAAAGAAAAACCGATTCCAAGTAGTGGTATAAGTATGTATGTGTGAATGTATATGAAAGGCAACATAGATCTATATCTAACAAAAAGCTAAATAACATAACATTCAATTGTGGTCCGGATAATAACTTTCCTGGAGCTTCTCAGGTAAAATCGCTTAGTCAGTTTTAAAATAAAAAGAATTCTATGGAAAAATATTTCATAGCAAATGTTCATCAATTTGTGCATATACAAACAGTTCTCATCATCAACAAAAGAACCCAAAAAATCATCGATTTTTCAAAATTTGAAAGTTAAGTTGCAGTTGGCAAGCCTTATTAGAAAAACTGCAATTCGCTCTAGTGTTACAAAAAAGTTAAGCTTTTTAGCCGAAGACTAAGCGTTTTTCATGGAAAAATCAAGGCCTTAAATGGCAATTGACCTTTTGAAGTATTTCCCCGTTTGCATCGCCTTGCTAAGGTCAACTCTAAGCAAAGCGATTGTTTTTGTTGCGCTAAATGCACTTAAAACTTCAGCGGAACTTAAATAGCCTGTTGAGTAGGCCGAAAAATGTCATTGGTTAAGGTCGATTTTAGCCTAAAATGACAACTTGACCATGACAGATTCAATAATAAATCTGCGGCTGTATGAGATTCCTTGCCTAATCCATAATAGAGCGTAAAACTGTGAGAGTTTTGGTAACAGGATATTTATTCCAGAGATTCACTTTTCCATTCTGCACTAGCCTTACTAAGAAGTTTTTCATCTTGAAATTTTTATAATTTGACCTACGAACCAACTTCCTGTCAATTTTTTGGTAAATTAAAAACTCCGGATATAGGAAGTTCTGGCAAAGTTTTTTGCTAAGTTCTAAAATGATGATAATATTTTGTAGCTACCCATCATAGACATCAACCAACTTAGGCCATGAAGCGCGATGCATTTCAAGGATTTTTAAATGAGGGGGGTGGGTTGTATTGATACGACTGACGACGCTGATTGGATAAGCAATTTGAGGTTAAAAAAAGAATTTCCAGCATACCGTTCTCCCTTATCACTCAACAAATCGTGTAATAATCCTCGTAGGGACCTTAAAATTAAACAGCTATGGGATGAAATAAAGGTTTTGAGAATAACTTAACGTTTTCAGAAAGCTATAAATCGCACTTTTCGCGGATGCTAATGCACCGAGGTTGGTCAAATACGCAATTTAAGGTTAGAAAAAAATGAATTTTAAGCAGATATTTCTCTTTTGTTGCTAAACTAAATCGTATTAAGATCCGCGTAGGGCCCCTAAAACCTTGTGATAATTTAAAGGTTTTGAGAATAGCTTCTGTAGACAGAGTCGTATTTTGTTGTGGTATTTTATATGCTACTGATTTTTACTACCTAGCAACGCTTTTACCTAGAAAGCTTCCTTTGCACACAAAAAATGCTACATACAAAATGGCTACTAAGGATCCTGATTATATATTTCAAGTCAGTAGGAATGAAACAAGATAAACAGTTATGACTATTGACCTGAACTTTATTCGATACATACAATTCATTATTGTCATAATTACAGGCTTTAATACAAAGAGGTCACTTGATGATCAACTGTTCACCTCAGTAGAGGTCGAAACGTTGAGAGCACAAACGAAAAGTGTGATTTATAACTTCATGAAATCAGTAGTTACCCTCACAACCTGTATGTCACCTCATAGGCTATTCAACTTTTAGGGCCCTAGGCGGAATATTACACGATTTAGTTTAGTAACAAAGGATGCCTTAAATTGCTTATCTGACCAATCAGCACCGTCAGTCGTATCTATCTATATACTCCCTCCTTAAGCATGCTAATACTTGGACGATGAGGTCAATCAAAATGAAGCACCATGATAGATACAGGGAAATACTTTCAGTCAATCTAGATAGAAATAAAATCGATTATGTCGCTGGGTTTGTCCTGTTATTCATACAACATTCGTGTGTAAGAAAACAGACAACAAATTCATATCATTTATAGACGTAAATAGTTACTACAGATGCACTGTTGTTTTCACCAGTTCAGAGTGGTGCCACAAAAACTCGGCTTAAGACTGAATTTAGCATATGGCTCCCCTTTGCTAAGTGGTTAGATTTGACAAAGGTAACCTGGCATTAGTCAGTTAGTTATTAACCGGACTATCAAACCAACAAAATGAGTGAATGAGCGTGCACATAACAACATACACAAAATGTATATCTCATGCTCCAAAAGAGGAGGAGATAGAGTAAATTACCTGCCCGATTAGCGATCGAGTTTCTATGGTAACGATGCTCAATTTTGTGGTTATGGTGATGGGAATGGTGGTGGTTGTTGTTATTAAGGTTATAATGGTGTTTGGAATAGGCGTGCCGATGGCGCATGTAATTAGTGTGCGCCACGGCGTTCGGGTGGGACCCAGGAAGGAATTGAGGATAGACGTGGTGGGACCATTGAGGGAACAGAGGCCTGGCGCTTCCTTCTGCATCGGTAAAAGGGAAGCACACAGAGAAACAAGAATTAGTTATGAGTTTATGCGTGTGAAACGAATAAGTCAATATAATGCAGACGTTGGCGGGAGCATTATTCATACAAATTCCTTATTTTGTGAAAGGATATTAGCCGAGTATAGACAAAAAATAATATTCCGGATCTTGCCATTCCGCATTTTGTTCTAATTTTTGAAACGTCCACCACTCAATCAATTAACATGCTGCGTTGATTAACGCATTCTACCTGAAGATATGCACCCTAATAATATATTATTATATATTCAATTCAATTCAATTCAATTCAATGGACTTTATTGTAACACATACTTAATTATGTATCCTTACAAATGGCGAAGTCTGGCTAATGGCCATTTATACTTAACCATAAATATATAAAGTAAGATACCGTAGCATCATCTATGAGAACTTGTCACAGCTATGTTTCTCCTCTCTTTCACCTCGGATAATTTTTTTAGGTAGAATACTTTAATCAATGCAGACAGGAAATTCCTTAGTTGCTTTCATCAAAGGGAGGCTTCTAAATATATAATAAATTTTAAGCATACATTTCTATTTTGTTACTAAACCAAATCGTGTTATATTCCGAGTAGGACCCTAAAAGTTACTTATGGGACAACTTATAGGTTTTGAGAATAACTTCTGTAAATCTGTAAGTTGTCTCACAGCTATTCATGTTTTAGGAATGTTACACAATTTAGTTCAGTGACAGAAGAGGAATGTATGCTTGAAATTCAAACTGCTTCTAACCTCAAATGGCATTTGACCAATCGTCGCTGAATTTGACATGGATGCCCTCTTATCTAGGCAGCCTCCTCTTGAAATGTTCATTTCGATTTATGTTAAAAAGCTTCTCCTGGGGTGTCTCTTCTCCAAGGTTTTGGAGAAAAAATATATATAAAAATAGCGACCAAAGCGCATTGGTAGGCTTCTGGTTTCATTCACCCCGCCGTCGGAGCAACTAAGGAATCAATATGCGTATCTTGTGATTGGGAAACACCGTCTAGGTCAGAGCAGGATGGTGTTGAGAATGGACTTAAATTCTAATTAATCCTTGATAGTCTAGATTCAGCAGATATTTGTCGAAAAAACGAGGAATTTATACTTAGTATACACATATTCACTCAGCACCTGTTCTATACATGAAATACATTTCTTATAAAAAAAATAATGGGAATATGATTGACTGGCGAACTAAGAGTACACCATGGTTTAAATATTAGTGGATAAAATGGATAAAAATTAAGTTTTAAATTATCAGTCTAAAGCCTGGTTGTATTTATATTCAAATTAGTGCTGTATTGTTACTGTTCATCACGATTACTGTATGTACTACGTTAATGGACCAACAATCTACAACAATCCGCGTGGAACTAGGATACGAAAAATAATACAGACATTGCAATTTTTGATTGAAGTGATGAGTGTTGCTATCGTTAAAACAAAAGGTGCAAGGTGTACAATTTGCAGCTAAAGAACAGAAAATAAAGTATCATTTGTATTTGCTAGATTCATAAAAATGCAGAAAGGTTTCTCCAAAGGAATTATTACATAAAAAAATACAATTCAATATATACGTAGCGATACTTTATTCTCACATAACTGGAATCGAAAGTAAATGATGCTCATACAACCATCACAGATTCATTCTGTTATTTTACTTATAATCTTGATCAATTTGTGATTGGAATTTATGCAAGATACATTATATATGTTACTGTGAAAGTCCGAAATTAGTGAATGCCGACATTCACCGGCTTGGTGAAAGACCGAACATTTATAAATACCCTTATAGTTTCGGAGATGTTGACAAACTGGTGAATGACGAAAATGAACTGTTGTAACTGGCTTTTCGGCGGTAACGTATTGCCGTGTTGCCTGCGCATCAGTCTTACGCAAGGTTTGAGAGCGGATGCATGCAAGCTTGCCAAGTTAATTTGATATTAGGCGTTATATTATTTGTAATCAATGGCTACTGCAGTAAGTCGTGATCAGTTTTTTCAAAAGTTAGAAGCCTTCATTGAAGATAAACGAGAAGACAATTAGAGAAAAAATACAAAACCCGATAAATCAACTTTTTATGATTTTTGAGTTAGGCATGGAATTCGGTTAATTTCGATATGCTCTATCCGTTTTTAAAGGAAGATATGAGCAAAAGCCGCTAAATCCTCATGAAAAATAGGTACAAACCCGGTTCACTCATGGGGAACTCGATAAATCCAAAATTAATGCAAAAAGCGCTAAATCCAAAACTGTTATTTTGTATTATTATGCCATCTGTGAATTTATTATCAAATCAACTGGTCAGGTGGCAGTGATCGTGTAGATTACATTATTATTTTTTCAGTGTTTCATAACTGGCCTATTCAGATGTAAAGTTATAAAAATGTTTAAGTTTTCTGTTTCTTTTTTGTCTTTGGCGTGCCTTGTTGGTGTGTGGTGGTTTCTAAGTCAGTTCCTTTTTTGTTTTCCTGACAAAATAAAAATGAATGAATGTGAAAAAATGTGATAGAGACCTAGCTTTGAGGGAGCTAAAGTTGGCCAGGCGCATACAAGGAAAGAAAAAGAAGTCATTAAGGCATTTGATGGCTCAGCAATTTGGCGAAGATTGGAAAAGTGTAGAAAAACTCATGTGGTACAAAATGCTTTTAGATGACTCTTCCGAAAAAGCTGCCGCAGAGGAGAACAATGAGGAAATTTGCGACTGCCTGGAGAAAGAAACTGCTGTTTATACCTAGTTATCTTTTTCTTTATATTTTCTTCAAGTGTTCGTATTACTTTTAGTTGTTACTCGTATATTAATAACAATGTTTAAGGCTTGGTGTTAATTTTTCTTAGAAATTATTCATATTTTGTTTCTTTTTTTCGTAAAATGTCTTAAACGTTAATCAAATAGCATTTTAAACAACTCTCTCGCAAACACTGATAAATTAGTAGTAAATTATTTATTTCAAAAAAAAAAAACTTGCAGGTATTTTACGCCAGGAATTTTTTAAAGATAGTCTAACACCTAATATGCTGCATTAGGAATTTGAAAACGTTCTTAATTTGACGGGAATTTTTCTCTAGAGGTTTTGGCCGTTTTTCTCAGGACTACAAAAAATTGATTTATAGGTATTTGCATTTTTTCTCTTCAATTGTTTCTATCTTTCTCAAGAAAGGTACTCTAAAATCGTGTTTGAAGTGAATTCTACTAAAAGTAAGTGCAGTAAACCTCTGGACTACAGGTGTTTTAAAACGTTTTGACAAATTAAAAAATGGCCATATGGGAGTGCTATCATTTTCACCCAAAGAATAACGGATTGACCTCCTTTTACCATATATAAAAATATATCTACCTAGTAAGACAAGAGATTTACTTTTAGCGAATGGTGAATGTTGACATTCTCCAGTGTATGTCAGAAATAATGATATTTAACCAATAATTCGGATATACGCCGAACAACTTGGCGAATGTCGACATTCACTGGTGGATCTCGACATTCACCGGATTTCGGACTTTCACAGTAACATATACACGAAAAGAGTGACATGGTTTTTCATGATGCTCATATCATATAACGCCCAAAAAACATATCTCATTTTCGAAATTATCCGCGATTACACTAGGTACTTCCTCCGCGAGTAGGCATGGGAAGTAAAAATAAAGAAAATGACCACATATGACAGTACATTTATAACACAGTCAAATATCAATCCTCTGGTTTTGAACTTTACTTTCGGTTCCTTTTGATGCTTTTAGCTAAATACATTCCACAGGACATCATCTATATATCTAAATACCGTATTTTTGTGTCTGTGCGAAATGTAAGTAGCAAGCCTGTAGTTTCACAGATGGCTGAAAGCATTATATGTTAGATATCGGTACATACCTTGTGGACTTCCCGATTGGTGTGAGGAATTCCCACTGTTTCTCACAGTTTGCACGGGGCTTGATACTCTAATAGGAATAGGCGGTTCCAGAATATCTCTGTATTTTGAAACCATCAGAACTGAGATGAAATACACGATGGCCAACGAGAGAAATTGCGCTTGTTTGGTTTCCTCCTGTAAAGAAATATATTAGACAATCATGACTTTACCAATCAAATCAACAACGTACCACATCTCTGTAAATGACTGCTCGTAATCTATTGACATCCATGTCTTGCAGTAGTTTCTCAGGATCTTTAACGGGACTCGAGTTGTTCTGAACATTGTCGGACAACTCCTGAAAATTGTTAAATTCAATAAAAATATTCTTACAATAATAGTATTTCAAGAAAAAATATTGGTCTCAAAAATATACCTATACTCCACACGTGTCGCTTGCTGTTATCTAGAATCTAGATCCATCAGTATAGCAGGCGCCTCATAGTAGAGTTCGTTACGTATTTGTAAACTGCTATTATCAAGAGATGAAGCAAATTTAAATTTAACCTATCTTTACCTTTGAAGTATTCTGGACTCCTCTTATGAATGACTGCAAATGTGCAGCTTTGTGGTTAGTATTCATTGAGGTCGGCGCTGCCAAATGCTGTAGCCTGATTCTTTCTTTGCATTCCAAACAGTTTCGAACAGCGCACGTACATACCTAATACATAACATTTTTTAATACATATTTTCAACGGACAGTTCCATGGTAAATGATTCGTGATATCTTGTATCAATTAACATTCTGATTTTAATTTATAGTTATTTTTCTAGCAGATACTCATTCAAGCCTCTTCTGAAAACTGCATTTAAAGAATCTGACAACTCTAGTCCTGACAAACTTAAGTATACCATTAACGAACCATTTCCCCTTCTGTTTACTTACTAGTCTAAGACACTGCCGTAGGATTCCGCCGCTCGACATATTTTTCTCTGCTTCTAGTTCTGCAAAATTGAGCGAGCTTGCAAAAATAAGTACATCAGCCATATTGACAAGTCTTTGTAGAAAACTAACGGCTACTTCTATAGGCATTCCTTGAGTTGGTTCTATTACATCTAATTCACTCTGAAAAAGAGAACGTTAAGATTTATTTTTGATTCCTATTCTACATTTTTGTATATCATTACAAATTGTTAAATTTGTAAAAATGGCATTAAGCAGGTTGACTCGAAACTTGATACACTTACTTAAAAAGTCCAAAAATGTTCAATCATGAGGTTTGCAATTTTTAAAAATGCCTTTCAAGTATGAGTAGAGTATAGTCTGGTACTGAAAAGGAAGAAATCGACTACACCTCGGTTACCACATAATCGATTTTCAGACACAGTTTTCGTTACATAGTCTAACGATATTAGCAAATTTTCCCGAAATAACTGTAAAGTCTGGTTTTATTGGTGCAGCTGTTTTGCATAAAAATAACATTTATCTTCCGGAATGGTTAGCGATTCACATCGGCAAGGTAAACTAGTGTATTCTGCTATAAAATCCCCTTTGAATTAACCCTGTATATATGCTCAATAAATTAGTACTGATGGCCGGAAAACAGGTGTTTTGGGATAAACAATGGAAGGGTCGGCCGGAACAACGTTGTATGTAACAAAAAAGCTCAGTGGCCGAAATTAAGAAAAACAAATTTGAACCATTTTTTTCAAATGACTGCGTCTATAGTTGGCCAGCACAATAAAGGAACAATAGTTATACAAGGTTATTGTAATTTAAAAATGTGACACCTATTTTGCAGCAATGGGAACCATTTTTATGGAAAACGCATGTAACAAGGTTGTATGATCACGTGACTTACAACGTTGTTACAGGGAGGCTTTAAATGACTATAAGCAAAACAAGTATTTTCAGCAGTTCTATTTATTATGGGAACCAAAGAACACAGTAACATATTTTTAATAACAAAAAAATACGTTCTAAGTTCATCAACGTGTTTCGAAACCAAAACTGAAACTTAAATAAGTATTACTGGGTTGCAGTTAATTTCTCATAAAATGTTACATACTTAAGCGGAATATAATCACTCATATCCTCAAGGTTTTTTAATTTTTCATCTTTGATTGGAAGAAAGTTGTGATACATTATAGGTAACTTTTGATGATATGATATCGGTGGTAAAAGTCATTGTTTCTTTTCTTTTACGATTGCTTATGGGAAATGAATTCCAGGGCTGCATAATATTATGAGATTTTCTCATTCTCAAAGTAGCTGGAGAATCAGCGGTAAGTTGCAGCCACAATCCTTGTGTAATTTTACATTTGAGGTATTTCCATATACAATATTCCAAAGCTGTTAAATTCTCAAAGAAGGCTTGGTGCATCCAGACAACTTTAAAAGGATTTTTAACTTTGGCTTTAGCGATGACATCGACCCACTGGAATGGTTCATAAACCATAGATATTCTTATTTGTTTACGTACATACAACGTTGTTACGCGGAGGACTGAAATGGCGCGATTTACAAATTCCCAATAGGCACGTACTACATTGTTTTACGTAAATCTCATTTTATAGAAAAATGTTATATACAACGTTGTTCCGGCCGACCCTTCAATTAGAAATCTTCAAAAACCACTTGACCAATGTACTCCAATTTTGTTGTGGTTATTTAGAAGGACGAATCCTACGAATTTGAAGAATTTCAAATATCTGCGACAAACCATCGTCGCATTACTAATAAGTGCAACAACCTACAGTTTGCCTCGGTTTTCGGCAATAACTTTTTTCTGTTAGTTGGATCTTTTTACGTGTGGTCTCATTCTGTAGGTCTCATAAATACTTAAGAATCTTTTATGAGGAGTTTTTTCGTTCCTGCCAACACTTTGATTGTATCTCAAAAAACACGTTTTCTCATTCTTTGTTGTCGAATAAAAAGTTTTCCCACAAAAATTGATGTAACCACTTTATGTGTCCATGTTTTGAATACCCCATTGAACAACTTGCAGCAACAAAAACCAGACTTTACAATTATTTCGCAAACCAGGGCTATTTTTGTCTAATATGATAGACTAGTAGTTTATTCCATCAATATCTGAGTGATAGTTTCATGGTTATACAGAACGACATGGATTATAAGGACTACAACGCCAAGATACAGATGAAAATGACTGACACTTTTTCGTGAATTACAATACTCTTGTTTGCTTACGACCAGCAAACTGAGACGTAATATTTCGGTGTCGAAATTTTCTGTAAATTATTATTTTGCATCGGGTATTGATCGACAAGTATGATACAAAAATTATACTTACATTTGGTGAGGTAGCTGAAGCAAGCAGTGGCAAAAGACCCCCACAAGCGATGATAAGATTATCAGCAAGCTGGGATATCAGGTGCACTGTATTGACTACGAAGATAGCATTATCACTGCTGTTGACGAAATCCAGAACAGACTTTGTTGAGTGACTTCTCCATACTTGTATATCGGTTTCCAAGGAAAATAGTACGTCTGACAGTAAACGTTGGTGGATGTATGACCACTTGAACTCTGGTATCCTGAACGGGGGCCTGCTAGGACCCGGGCTGAACATCGGTCTTGCTGAATCTGATTTTGTAGATTTCGGTTCTGGAAAATTGTTATAAATACAATCCTTTGTACATGTAAAAGCTGCTACACACAGTGCCGGCAGCAATGCCGCTGGCAATACAAGCCGCGCAAAGCCGTCAAGCATCATTCCGGTTGTGACAGTCACGTAGCAAGCTAGTGAAGTGCTGCATTTCTGGGATTCCATAATATATCATTTTCATGAAATTTTTCAATTAAGAGCAGCACAACTTCGTCGTCCCAATTAAACGACATTTTAATTTGTTTAAACACACAAACCGCACAACACTACCGCTCGAATGCCAGGAACGAAGTGACGCCGGCAAGCCGCGTAACCCGCCGGCACACCACGGCGGCTCCTTTGCGCGGCAAGGCCGGCGGCTTTGTATGCCGCCGGGTGTACAACGGCGTAGCCGGCGGCTTGCCTGGCGGCACTGTGTGTAGCAGCCTTAAGTATGAGTCATTTTAAAAATTGCTCTTCATAGCAGGACAGTCATTCCATTAAGTTTGGAGTTAACTCCAATATCGTCAGATGCCCTTATTTTATATTTAGTACCTTTTATACAGATTGTTGAGTTAAAGCTATAGCTGAAAAAAATATACTGGAGTATTTGCTAGGGTTTCTTGAGTAACCTGCTTGCGTAGACCACGAATATGGTGTCTTCGCTGAGATCGAGGAAAGGCTCCAAACAGGGCGTCATGACACTTTTCAATGACATTTTTCAATGCCCATATTCGGAATCAGCATACTAGGTGACTTCAGTGAACCTAGTTTGTGCTTGTAGCTGCAGGTTACGAAAATTCAAAACTTGTTGCTTAAATCTAGAGGGGAAAGGATTTTACAATCCACTATTCCTGTATGTCACCCAGGTTTTCGACAAGGTTTGGAACACATACCGTACGGCGAGGTAATTAAGTCATATATGCTTATCAAATACTACCTTCAAAGATAAGCAAGAATACGAGTATTCTGATCTGGATATCAATGCTGGAGTGTTCTAAGTCCAGTACTCTAGCTTCTGTATAAATCAGATGTTACCGCTATGGAAAATGAAACAATTGCAGCATTTGCACATGATACGACATTGACTGCAACTGAGTAAAGTACAGACTACCACCACTAATTTAGTGATATGGATCCAGAGGAGGAAAATCAAGTCCGAACAAATTGAAATCGATCCACGTTTGCTTTACAAACCTAAGATTGACAAGTCCTCCTCAAATAAGCGGGAATAACTAAACCTTAGCTAGGCGCAATATTATTGGTTATTGGAAAGGTCCTTAACGCTATCGCTCCATAATAAAAGCATGATCTATAGACAGATTTTAACCCCAGTGTGGCTCTATGGTTAACAAACTGTTTCACGAGTTCCAATAACGAAATTATTCAGAAATTGCAAAATATACGTATAGTTCTGAGGAACAATGTAAATGCCGCTTGGTATGTTCGTACAAGGGGTATTCATTGCGATTTGGGTTTCCCTTTGGCTATCGACGAGATCAAGAAAATAGCGCCTAGGCATGAAGAAAGGCTACATCAACATTCCAATATAAAAGCTCTTCAGCTGCTAGACATTTACAACGCCATCCGTTGAAGAGAACCAAGTCGTATGAACCTGTCTAGCGTTCTGCGTCCAAAGCAGGGCATGTGCACGAGTATCAATTATATGTTGCCTCTAGTGATAAGTACTAAGTTTAAGAGGACACAAGAAAATTAATAGTCGATCAAATTGATCAGTTTCTAAGAACAAAAAATAGGATAAATCGGATGCGTAGGTCAAGCACCTAAGGTCTACTCTAACTAGGGCTCTATGACACTAGAATTATTTTAATGGCCCTGTTTGAAATCAGAATCAGGGTAACAACGGGGTACGAAGATAAAAACTAGTTTGATCAATAGAGCCTGCTAACAAGACTTAACGAAAATCACTTGTGCATGTATAGAAAAGACAGTATCTACTTACCAAATAAGTTGGGATCAACCTGGGTAGACGTTGATGCACTCCTGGGCCTCCTCTGTGGTGACGTTGGGTGCCCACTTGTCCCGTGATTGGCATCGGCAGATTGGCCCTCCAAATGGTTCGTGGGCAAACTAACCCTTCTCTTCATAGGTTCCGCAGTTCGGGTAGAGGTATCTACTTGTGTGGCGCTTGACATTACACTTTCCTTACATACACTAACAGGAGTATCAACAAGAACATGAGCAGCAGTATTACTAGTAGTAGTGTTAACGGTATCATAATGACTAGGATCACAGAATTGTGAAATCGTTGATATATTTTCTACTGGAGGCACTTCATCAGCAACACTTTCAACAGCGCCGTTATCATCTTTAACTATTTTAGAATCGGTATCACTTGATTGAACGTTTGTTTCACTTAGACTAGATTCATTATTGGACGGCTCTAATTCTACGGACACAGCACTATTTTCAACAATTGGCACAGCTTCAGAATTTTTTAAAGTACTTTCGTCCAGTTGGACTGATTCCTTATCTTCACTTTCCTGTGTAACAATGATCACTATCTTTTCAGAGGTATCAACGTTCAAGTCCGCGATCACTTCACTATATTTTTCTTCACTTTCAACCGTTCTGAACTCATCAAATTCACTTTTGTCACACTTACTATCTGCGCTTTCAGCTCCTTTTTTCTCAACGATTTCTTCTGTAGGTGTGAGATACCTAAAAAGACCAGAGGAATTAAAACTAAGATGAAGCAATATAAACTCGTGCAGTCGTGTAGGCGTTCCTTTTTTAGATATAAAGGATGTTTGTAAGGCGTACAGTTCGTGGAAAAATAGTCAAATTTTCTTAATAACACATACAGGGTGTTCATTTGAAAAGTTCCCACCACGGATTTATGGAAAACCACTGATTAAAAAAAACGTCGAGATACGTCAAAAGATTTGTTAAGGGGGACAACTTTTTAACCAAGAACTACTTCACCCCCTTTCACCCTCTGTTCCAGGGTCACCTCCTTAAAAAAATTAGGGGGTATCGAGTAATAGCTTGTTTAAAAGTTGTTTCGAAGTCCTTTATTTTAACGTTTGATTTTTTAAAATCGGTCGATTAGTTTTCAGAAAAATTAGAAAAATCTTTATTTATCTTAACTTGTTCAGATATAAAACAAAAACACACGAAAATATCACTTTTTATTTGAATAAGTGTTTAAAATGTTGCCCGTTATTGGCCAAACAATGATATATGGCCTGTTCGTACAGCCTGTTTGCTGAAAATCAGCAAACTGATAGTCGGTGACAAGTCATGACCTAGTTTACGCAGTTAGCAGTCACTGACACGTCGCTGACTGTATTAATTGCGTACATGAGAACTTATTACGAGTTGGTTGAGGGAGGTCAGACCGATTACCGACAACTAATCCGCTGTTCGTACAGAAACTTCTGACTGTTTGATGTCTGTCAAATCAGTCAGCAAATAATTTTCAAGTAAATTGTCAGAGCTCGAAATCAAGTACAATAATTATTCGAATGTAAAATTTTTCAGAATGAAGTAGGCAAGTTTGAAAAAGTTGGGGGTTCATTTGATGTAAACCAGAATGATCTAGGATGTTTCGTCCTACTGTCCAAATGTGCCCGAATTTTCCTTTAGAGAGGAAAACACGGACAGTTTCTAAAAAAAATTACAGCACCCAAAAATGTCAAGTAGGTTTACTCAGTAATTACCATTCAATTCTCATATATAAAGTATATATCGAAGAAATATGAATCCACACATCGAATGACAAGTTGAAGAAGTAAATACTTAGTAAGAATTCTGAATAAACGTCTGCAGTGATTATGCATGACAAATGTACAAAGCATTGTGAATGCCTTTAAGTAAAACTCGGATAGTAGGGTATTTGTTCCCTGTTCCCTTGTCGCCCAGCCTCGAAGTGTATGCACAAACAGTATTTATATATTCTAGCTATGTAAGTCCAACCCAAAGCTGATGAAAAAATAAACAAAATAACGAATTCTGGAGATTTTGTGATACAGCATTTTCTCACGGGTGCCCACGGCGAGGGAGTGACTGTTTGTGCTGGGGTGAAAATAATATTTTCCCTATATAGGGTATTTTAAATTCGACCTCACCATTGGTATCTCGGAAACTTCAACGGATACGAAGTCAATTAAATAGCTGCAAAGTTGCGTATTCAGATAATCAGCAAAATATCGCTTAGAAAGTTTTGAAATTGAAAGTACTTCCGGAATGAGACGTAAAAAACGAAATTTCCCAAAATGGTTTTAATTTTTTCCTGACTTTATTTGTGGTGGGATTTCAAAATAAATTGCACATGCACTCTGACACATTTTATCCTCTACAAGACGGCACAATTAGAAATTCAATGTGACGTTTGGTCTCTTGTCCTCCAGCATCAACTTATTTTTTTCTTATAGACGCCATATTGGATTCTTACACCCATGAATAGAATTTTTATTCTGATTTAAAAAATGTATGTCATACATTGACACTGCAAAACCTTAGTTATTCCAGAAGTTCCTAGGTAGGCCTTGAAATTATGAGATTTCATTTGTTTGCATAGCAACAGAGTTTGGAAGACTGTGATTATCCCTGCTTATTTATAGTTATTATTGTTATTACCATCAATAAAATTTTCATTTTGTATTTAATTTATGGTCAACTAACAGTCACTGAATTTAGGGCTTGAAAAGTCCATTTAAATGTACAAAATTCCAATATAGTGTAAGTAACAATGACAATATGCAATTTATTTTGAAATCCCATCTCGAATAGAGTCGGGAATGGGATAAATTTGGTGAGCGAAACAAACATCTGATAATTTCAAGGCCTACCTAAGAAATTCTGTTCTTATTAAAGTAATCAATCAATCATTTTTTGAATCAAAATTAAAAACTCTTTTCATTTGTACAAAAATGTAGTGTCCTTAAGAAATAATAAAGTTCATGCTCGAGGTCAAGAGACGAACCGTCATATAGAAATTCTGATTATGCCTTCTTGTAGAGGAGAAAACGTGGCACTATTAATGTGCAATTTATTTTAAAATCCCAATATAAATAAAGTCAGGAAAGATCCGAACAATTTTGGGAAAATTCAGTTTTTCCGTTACTCTACGGAAGTACTTTGAATTTCGAAACCTTCTAAGTGTCACTTTGTTGACTACCTCATTTAAGCGACTTCGTATCCCTTACAGTTTCCAAGATCCCAATGGTAAGTGCCAAATTAGAAACACCCTGAAAATGCACACTCTTACTAGAATACGCGTGTTATACACTAAAAAGCTAAAACGGCTGAACATAACTACAATTATCAAGATCACAAAGTCCTCAACATGGACAAAAAGAACTGAGACTACGAAAATAAGAGTAAGACGCATTTTGCAACTGTAACCAAAACTTTCAAAAGACTAGTGATCACAAAAATCGTATTAATTATGGTTATTGAAAGTTATGTCCTCTATTGTTCGGATTTTTCTTAATCTTCATTTTGCCATTACCGGATCATTAAACAAAATATTGAGCACAAAGCACTTTGGCGCTGGATGATATTCAAAATGGAATTTCATTAAAATTTCTTCTCCACTTGCTCACCTGAAAATGTGAATTTTGGCACTGTTTTCTCTACAAAATTCAGGTTTTTGGGTTTCATTTTTTACGCCGAAGGAGCCACGCAGGTGAACCCTACATGCTAAGGCACCGCGGCTGCTTTCAGGAGCTTGAATAAACTTTGTTAGTCCCATTTTTGAACTGCCTAAAGTTAGTAGAACTGGGAAAATCTCCTCATGTAGATTGTTACACGATCTCGACACTCTCTGGACAAAGGAGCGGTCTTATCGGCTCTGAGAAGAAAAACCCCGTTGGTGTAGCTAGATCGCCAACGGCCTGTTGGTATGAAGGTGTCCTCAGACCGTCCATTAGAGAAAAGTTCATTAAATGCACCTTGCGAAGCAATTTTAGCCCTCAAGATAGTTCCGACACACTCTGAAACCTGTCAGTGTCACTAGTTGACTGGTGTCCTCTGATCTGTCAGAAGGTTCTGTTCGAACAGCGGATTAGCTGTCGGCAAACTGTACGAACAGGTAACATCTCTCTGACTCTGACTCACCGATAAGTTACCGACTACTATACGAACAAACCATTAGGCGATGTTCAAGTTCCTGACGGACATTTTCAAAAACATGTTGTGGGATATCATGGCAGCTTTCGATGATGCGTTGATGAAGTTCGTCCAAACTTTCAGATTGGGGAGCGAACATAATAGATTTCAAATGGCCCCATAGCAAAGAGTCTTATGGCATCAAATCAGGAGATCTAGCAGGTCGTTCTATAGGTTCTCTTTGCCCTATGCATTTATCTGGAAACTCGTCTATCCATTGCCGAACCGGAAGAACATAGTAAGGAGGAGCGCCGTCTTACTGAAAATATATTTCAGCCTTATCAAGTACAGGGTTTCCATCCTTTTCTATTTGGTTTTCAATGGTTTCGGTGATAAGCGGTTTGATTGGTATTTTCCAATATATCTAAATAAATGTCTCTATTCAAATTTCCATTAATAAACAATGGACCAATCACTTTGTTTCCTAAAATGCCTGCCCATACATTAATTTTTTGGGGGTACTTCTACATTTATGAGGATTTTTATTGCTCCAATCTGCTTATTAACAAATCCATTTAGATAAAATGTGCATTCATCACTGAATCATGAATGTTATCATCACTAATCGTTGTCGTTTGTTCACAAAACTCAACTCGAAATCATCTTCGGTTAACTCTTGCAATATTTTCACTTTGAATGGATGAAATTCATGCAGCTTAGTAACAGTGTGTACAGAGCCTAATGAAGTACCAGTCCGAGCAAAAATTTTGCTTAAGAGTTATTAGGATTTATTCCAAAATGACCCAAAACTACTTCAACTTGAGCAGCTTCATCCAAAACTCTCCGATGATCCCGTTTTTTATTTGCAACAGATCCAAATCGAGGAAATTTAATAACAAGGTCCAAAAGATACCTATGCGAAGTTATCTTCCCCTGATGTCTGGCGTTAAACGTGACGGCAGTTTGCCGAGCACATTGATTTTGGGTACCATAAATTAGAATCATATCCACTCATTCCGCTAGTGTGTACACCATTTTGGAAGTAAAATCTGAATAAATAAATTAATTTTCACTATCCCAAGATTGTCACAAAGGTAACTCTGCCACAAATAACTAAACAGGTATAACAATAAATACAGTTCGTCCAGGATATCTGTGTTGATGAAAAGAATGCGGAACAAATTCGGGTTGTTATTTGGTTGTTGCGACGTCTAATCTTCCAAATTGCTGTTTAAGTTGGTAGTTTCCGTTTTAAATTATAAACGAATTGTAGATTTGACAAACCCTAACGGGCAACATTTTGAGCACTTACTGCAATAAAAAATGCCTTTTTGGTGTGTTTTTGTTTTCTGTCTGAACAAATTAAGGTAAATAACGATTTTTCTAATTTTCTCGAAAAAGAATCGATTGATTTTAAAAAATCAAACATCAGAATAAAGGACTTCAAAAGACCTTTCAAACAAGCTATTATTCGATACCCCTTGTCATTTAAAATTGTCAAGGGAATGCCCCTGGGGGGCCGATGGTGAAAGAGGGTGAAGTAGTTTTTAGTTAAAAGGTTTTGATAAATCTGTTGACGTGACTCGGCGTGTTTTCTTTTTAATCAGTGGTTTTCGTTAAATCCGTGATGGGAAGTTTTCAAATGAACCCCCTGCATATACGAAGGTCTTAAGGTAACAGCGAATTAGGTAAAGAGGTAAGGCGTGCGTCAATTTCAAACCCATGTGCCGCTCGCCGTTTTTTTATAAATCACATTTGATAAAATCAAAGATGGCAATATATATGTATATATGTAGAGAGAGAGAGAGAAAATGATCATGTGGAGAAAGCTAGGTATATAATAAAAAGTAAGAAAATAATGGGCAAAATCCGCAAAAAGGATGAAAGTGGATTCGAGCAGAAAATAGAATAGGTAACCCGAGCGATACGTATTTCAAAAGTAGATACACAAGCCCATACATCCGGATATGGAGAGGAAAAAAAAGACGCACGAAGTCCTAATATATAAAATTAGGAAAATAATGAGCAAAATCCGCAAAAAGGGAAAGTGGATTTGAGCAGAAAATAGAATAGGTAATATTATTTTCCTATTTTTTTGTTATACACCTTTCTCCGCATGATAATTTTCTCTTTGTAGATCGTTTGGGCTTGAAGTCCCACAGCAAGTGGCTTTAACCGGCCGCGTGGTTGTGAGAAAATGATCATGTAGAGAAAGCTAGGTATATAACAAAAAGTAAGAAAATAATGGGCAAAATCCGCAAAAAGGATGAAAGTGGATTCGAGCAGAAAATAGAATAGGTAACCCGAGCGATACGTATTTCAAAAGTATATACACAAGCCCTTACATCCGGATATGGAGAGGAAAAAAAAGACGCACGAAGTCCTAATATATAAAATTAGGAAAATAATGGGCAAAATCCGCAAAAAGGGAAAGTGGATTTGAGCAGAAAATAGAATAGGTAATATTATTTTCCTATTTTTTTGTTATACACCTTTCTCCGCATGATAATTTTCTCTTTGTAGATCGTTTGGGCTTGAAGTCCCACAGCAAGTGGCTTTAACCGGCCGCGTGGTTGTGGTTAGATGTCGTCTTGAAAATTCGAGGTCTTCTAGCCATTTTATACTACTATGTGTAGGTTGGCTCTTGTTGGAGACTTCTAGTGTCATTTTTTCCTCTCCATCTTCGTTTCCTCAGGTTACACCCGTATCCGGATGTATGGGCATGTGTCTCTACTTTTGTAGTTGCATATGTGCATTCATTTCGGGCCTGATGAAGCCAACCAGCAGAAATATGTATCGCTCGGGTTACCTATCCTATTTTCTGCTCGAATCCACTTTTTGCGGATTTTGTCCATTATTTTCCTATTTTTGTTATATACCTTTCTCCGCATGATAATTTTCTCTTTGTAGATCCTTTGGGCTTGAAGTACCACAGCAAGTGGCTATAACCGGCCGCGTGGTTGTGGTTATTTGTCGCCTTGAAAAATCGAGGTCTTCTAGCCATTTTATACTACAATGTGTAGGTTGGCTCTTGTTGTGGACTTCGTGTGTATTTTTTTCCTCTCCAACTTTGTTTCCTCAGGTTACACCCGTATCCGGATGTATGGGCATGTGTCTCTACTTTTGTAGTTGCATATGTGCATTCATTTCGGGCCTGATGAAGCCAACCAGCAGAAATACGTATCGCTCGGGTTACCTATCCTATTTTCTGCTCGAATCCACTTTTTGCGGTTTTTGTCCATTATTTTCCTATTTTTGTTATATATATATATACGTATATATATATATAGCAAACACGAACTTGTCAGTGAATGTTCTCAAGATGTGACTGATGCTTCGCGAGTGTGTTCAGATCGTTTGACACTTCCATCCCGCGCATCGTAGGTTTACTTATCTCGTACAAAAACCGTTTGTAGGAATGTTACTGGAGCCAGTAGAAGACCTAGAGAGCCCCGAAAGTTAAACATTGAGGAAAAAGCAAAGTCAGGTTTTTACTCGACCACCCCAGGAAGGTTAGGTTTTCGCGCGTGTATATGTGGGCAAGAATAATTATATTTCATGGGCTTTAGTCAAAATGGCTTGATTTATTTTGATATATGAGGTGGTGTTGGATTCATCTTAGCAGCGCGAGAGACCATACTATGTATTGACCACATTATATACAATATTACACGTGAGATCCTAGAATCTATTTTCTGACTGACATCATAGCATCAGCATACTCACTAACGGAATAGAAACGATAGTCTAGCAATCTTTTTTAGCAAGTCCTGCAAAGTAGCGCCATATTTTAAACCTGTGTTTGCTATTTGCATCGATGAATAAATTATATAAATTAACGTTAGTTCTATAATTTAATTTTGATACTAAATAATTTTAATGTTGCCAATGTCACTCGCACTACTAAAAAGCATCCAGCAACACTTTATGTCATCAAGCCCTTTAGAATGTAGCCCGTCCAATGTAGAATTATTTGCGCACAACCCCAAGCGTGAGAATATTTCAAGTTTGAAATTTCTATTTGATAGGCTGCAGCTTGAGTGATTTGATGATTGACATATCAAGTGTCTTTAGATTCATTTTGACAGTGCAAGTGACTCTAGGTATATTAAGAATTGAAATAAACCAATATGGCGAATTTCAGTCAAAAATTTAAACTTTCAAATTTCTATTTCTCGGGCTAAAGCTGATACGGTTTGATGAATTTTATCATTTGATACATAAATAGCCTAGTCTTATCACAATTGAAACTTTATTTTTTTCAGTTGCTGCTATTTTTTTAAAACGTTTTTGTTGAATCGAATGGCGATAACTTCGAACGCTATATACAGGGTGACTTCGAAGTTGAGTCATTTATTTTAACAGTGTATAGATCTGATCAAAAGAAATGTTTTTTTCCTTTACCATTTTTCTGGTAAAATTAAAGTAACAAAGTTATAGCCCTTTGGAAGTTTGAGTACCGCCCTGTCTCAATAATATCATGTGTTCGTGTTTGGCAACAACGGTTCATCGCATCGGAAACAAAAAAGCGAAAGAATTTGGAACGATGTTTTTACGATTACAATTCAGTTCAGTTATACATACAGTCAGTTTCAGTCGCGTGTGAATAGTGTCTGTTGCGTGGCTCAAACGAAATAAAAAATGGCACATGTTTATGCGGATCGGTTTCCCAATCGAGTGCAACCAACCCCTCGTGCCTTTGTTAATGTAGTACAACGGGCTCGTGAATCAGGTGACTTAAGACCTCACAGGGGACCTCACGATCAAATACAGGTCCGCACTGAAATACTTGTCGGGAGGATACTTTATAAAACAAGGTAAAATTTTTTTTTAATTTTTTTTTTATTTTTACACACATATTTTGGTTTATCTTCCTTCTACAATCATTATCTGAAAATTAATGACTCAACTTCAAAGTCACCCTGTATAAGCAACTTGTGCGAGCGGTAATTGACATATCTTATCAAACAAATAGTGAATATTCGCGCATTATCTTTGTTATTTAGAAACTTAGTTGTCCCAAAAAAGTTTCAATTTTCAGAATAACCTGCATACGACTTTAAAATGAAATAAAATAAAGGTTGTACTGTACTGCTTTCGGATATACATATAAACCCTATGATTCTCTTGAAGAAAGCGCAAGTACATGGCCACTCTACTAGATATTACCTTTAAAGCATTTGAAGTTGCAAAAGAATGAATTTCAAAAATGTTGAAATAAAATTATTGTACAGACCTTTCGGAAATATCACTATCAGGAACCTCCTTTTCAGGACTAGGAATGTCTTTTACGGAACTGGGCTGCTCGCTGACGCTTTTCCCAACTTCTACATCTTCCTCTGTCATTGGCTCACCAATGACTTCCTCTTCGTCTTTAAATTTCACTTGTGTCGTTTGAGTTTCCTCTTCTATAACTTTATTCTTGGCATCTAAATCTGGTACAATGTTCACCACTTCTTTGACGGCTTGAGCAATTTCCTGGTCCTGCACTACTGGTGATACTGTCCTAGGATCCGCCTCAGTACGCATTTCTACGCGTTCCTCCAGCAGTTTTTCTGACTTTGCTAAGATTTCCTGCACGATTTCCTCCACGATTTCTACTTTCAGCATATCGGAATCACTCTTGACTGGACTCCCAAAGCTAGGACTACTTTCGCTATGCAACCCATTGCAGACTGGTGAATCAGGAATTGCATCCAGGTTGTCTTCAATAATGTGTGATTTCATAGGAGAATCCTGAGAATACGGTGATCCTTTGCTAACTTTTCCGTCACTGAACAAGTCACTAGTCCTTGAATCCAATGACACTACTTCACTGTCTTCGTGCTTCGCGATGTAGGAAACTGGGCTTCCTGTAACAAGATATTCATTTTAGTCTGAGGTTCCGTGCATCATGAATCATGTGAATGTAAGTTCTCAGCGACCGTTCTCACCGAAAGGAACTGAGACTTCAACTCGATCGCAACTCGATGACAATCCAACTCAAATAACAAGGATTCTCATCATGACGGCAACCCAATCAGTTGCTCAATGGAACTGATTCAGTAATTCATAGTTCTATGTCCCAACAAATTTCGGACTGATTCTGAATCGGTTCTGAACTGGTTCTAACAGTTCTGGTTCTGAGAGAGAACTTAAAGTTTGAATCTGATGATGTTGTTGAAATTGTAGAGAAGCTGAGTTTTGTGGCTGCCATTTTTTATTCCTTTTCTGACTTTTTATATATCAAACCTAAATCTCAACACCTTTTTGTGCAGTTTATTAAACATTAAAAAAACAGTGGCGTCAAGTAGGTTGGCAATGCACTTCCCACGTAACGACCAGTACAGTTCAGCACAAACCAGACCCTATGAGAAAGTCGGTCAAACAGGTCTATACAATTAGTTCATAGACATTCTTTCCCTGACCTACTGGTAGTGCATCTGGAAATGTCGCAGTTCCCTGATACATCACTCAGGTAGACGTGGCACCGCAGCAGAAATACGTGTGATTCCATACCAGAACGCTCATCACGGTTGGCGCACGATATCAGCAGCAGCCGCGACCAATAGGTACGATGATCAATTTCCCGAGAATACTTTTCAGGGCTAATGTATAGAGACATCTACGATGCGCGAAATATGTCTAATAGGTGCGTAGAATTGCCAATGTTGAGAGCGTATAAATGTACCAGCATAAAAAAATAGAGGTAAACCCTTCCCCTTACAAGCCCCACCCCAGTAAGTAAAAGTTTTTTTACCTCTAATTTTTTTTTTCAATGATCCTCTGAAACGTTAAAAACGTTAAAAAGAGGAAATTTGTGCGACTTTTACTTTTTTGTTTTAGGCCTTTTTCTCTGCTTCACTGGATCGATTTTCACACACACAACTCCAAAGCTTTTGCGTCCTTGGCATAGTAGTTTCATTGTGTAAAAATGTCATCGAAATCAAAGCGGTACTTATCAAGTTATAGGTGGTTATGAAATTAGCGAACAGACAGACCGACGGAAATGACTGACATAGTTTTTCATGATGTACATGTCATATAATATCCCAAAAAACGTCATTGTCGAAAATTCGCGAATACAATACTTCCTCGTCAGTAAAGTAAAATTGATGACGATGAAGATTACTTCAGAACAGATTTAAGTGAGGATGATCTTAAGCTGATTATAAGGGTACCAAAAACCAGAAATAAAAATTACATGTGCCAGTGTTGATAATTTTAATGACTTTGTATCGATCATGTTATAAGTAATCTTAATCTTATATATTCCTTTCAAGTCAATTAGCTATGTGTTGTTAACACTTTACGTCATTCCGTCCTCTGCAACTTTAGCAGCATGCTTCATTTAAAGGCAAAATACTGAATTCTTCCAAATGTCGAGTTGAAAATATATATGGTACGTTCTGAAATATTCAAACACAAATATTTAATATATGGGAATGACGTAAAATATCAGTTATCATCCTCATTCTTTTCGTGAAATATTATTTGCATCCTATCAAGAGGACATACCTTCTGAAAGCGTCGAGTTGTAGTCACAGCTGCAGACCTGTTCCGACTTATCGTTCTCATTCATCTCAATTTCCTGCAAGCTGGTCCTGGAGTTTTCCCAGTGGTCTCCTCCGCCTCCATCTTGCCTGCATCCGTTCGTCATATGCGAACTTTCGTGCCAGCCTGATATCGTGCTGATTGGGTGTTGCTGACGCAGCATAGGGTCAGTGATGTTGTCGGCCCGGTGCATTTCGTAGTGTTCATACATCTGGGCGAACTGAAGTTTGAACTCTTCATACGATACCTGGAGAATTATCAATAATTATTGTACTTTAATATAATACCGTAAACACATATTTCGTTCATGGAAATGTATTATTTATCCGCATTTTTGGAGCGCTTGGCAGTGACGTCACAACCCTCGATATGTCACTCGATTGACTTTTTTTGTTAATTTGAAGTCTAGATTATCATTATCATCTGGTTTAGAAAAAAACAGAAGCATTGGTGAAAAATGGAAACGTGGGTACTGTATTATACCTACATGCAAAAGCACCAGTTAAAGTATTTTTTCATATTCTCCGAGATGCTAAGATAAGAAAAAAGAAGTATAAAATTATGAAAAATGATAATATATCTTCAAAAAATAATGCATATTGTTGTGAAGATCATTTTAACGTGAGTACAGTTCACAAGAAGTACCCAAATATAATTAGTTATCATTTAGCTTATTTTATTTTTTCCACTTGCCACTTAAAGAAGAGTTTTTGAGTAATGCCTTGATTGATTTTAATATTTAGGTTGACAATTAATGACACTAAGAACAAACGCTTGTGATTTTAAATCGGACTGACCAATCAACAAAAAGTTGGTGGCGTCGCGCCAATAGCTTTGAATTTACCGCGCATTTGTCCACTTTTTATTAATACTTGTATTTTATAGCGTTTGAGTATAAAATAAGATTGTAGGTGTCATTCTGTAGCAATATAGACTGTAAATAAAAATAATTAACCAATATTTAAATCACAAACATATTTCTTATTTACACATTTTTTGATTCATATGCCCATTTGAACGGCTTTGTTCCGAGAAGTATACTTTTCAATGATCCATTCACGTATATCTGGATGAATTTGAGCGATGGTCTGGTTTGCGTTGACTTTGAAGTCATCTCTGGATTGTGGATTGTAGCTTATTGACATAGACCTGTGACATCGGAGTTCCCCCCCAAAAAAGCATGTTGTCAAATCGCAGTATTTTGAAATGAATTGAAATTTATTTACTATTGATCTGTAGCGCCCGCCGTTGATGGTGAAAACTGGACGGTGCAGTGAAGACGCTGGGCATAAAATCTGTAGAAACGATAACTTTTTGATAGTATGGTACGATCACGCTGTATAGATTTAATTATTATAAGCTTGTTAGAACATGTTAGTAATATGTTTCTTGAAAATGCTGCGGTAAGCAGATGAATGACCGCTATATCTCGCAGTACCTAGCAATAGATAATGAAACGATTAATATTAACCACCAAACAATAAGTCTATTACAACGTATTGATACCTGATTCCGTAAGTCTATGTCAATAAGTCGCAAAAAACCGATGCCTTCAACACACTATCCAAGCCATCGTCATTGGTCAAATTGAACCGGCAGTCAATGAAAAATAGCAGAGTTCTGGGATCCGTCCCACTTTTCGAGGCCGTGTTACGGTTAACGAACTTGTTTCAGTATGACCTCAGCAGGCACCCCAGATTATAATGCATTAGACACTAAAGGTGGCGCCACAGTGGCATATTTATTCGAAAACTTGTCAAAAATCGAAAAAAGTATCGGAAATGAATGAAAATTATCTCCAATTTTAAAGTTCATACTGAAAACATTGTACATGGAACCAGAACTGTGATTACATTACCTTTACTATGAAACTTGGAAGTTTTTGGTGTATCACTTGACACTACTGTTTAACGGCAAAATAGAAGAGTTTCTGTACCATCTGTTGGGTTGTGTGTTGAAGATATTTAAACATCTGGATATTGATCACAATACAGAGCGTAAGAAAATTCCAATTAATGTAATAGAAGATGGTCATCGTTGTTGTGTTCATATAATGTACACCCTGAGCTGAACTGAAGTTTTTAATGAGGTTCCTTTTGCCCCATTTGGAATAAATTATGTTTTTAGACTTTAAAGCACTGTCAGATAAAATCAAGTACCAGTTCTTGTTAACTCTTGCAAACTATTGACAAATATAACCTTATATAATAATATATTATCTGAACGGCTCTTTGGAATACCCTTCAAATTCCTTTCTAGAAACAAATTAATCTCTGACTTTGACTCAATGACCGCAAAAACTTATGTGACAGATTTGGAATCAGCCACTCAAAAAACTCTGTTGTTCTGATAATCGTATAAGCGCCGTAGAAATACTATTTTTTCAGCTTTTCAGTGTTCTATATCACTGGGTGGCGTGACACACCAATTTTGACAGCCCGAAACAATCTCAATTTAGAATTTCTTAAAATCATAGTATTTGATGTTATGTGAGAGAAAACAGTACCTTTGAGTGAACTATGGCTAATGTATCAACCCACACCCTCCAGCCGCCATATTCGTACTTGATAGCATGATGAAGCAGCATTCTGAAAAGTGAGTATACCATATCCGATATTTTCTGTTCTTCCGTATTCTTAGGGTGAATGTACGCCATAGCAATTAGCCATTCTTGCCACACTGACATTTGTAACACCGTCCTCCTGTTTTCTCTGTTGTTATTGCACAGCAACGTCATATCAGAGAGGAATAATCTCTTTACGTCCAGTAGTTTCTCCGTCTGTTTTGATTGTCTTACGAGGCTGGCCACAACTTTCAGAATCACTGAAACACAAGTTTTGAGCGATTATTCGGTAGAAAAAACGACGTAGTAGTGATTGGTTTCCAAGTTACTGAGATCAAAAATTACGGGACACATACAGATATACTCATATCGACGGGTAAACATACAGACGGAAATAAGCTCCGAACATATATATCTCTAAGTGACAAAAAACAAACAGGTTAATTCTGCAGTAATTTTGAACTAAGAGAGATTTAAAAAAGAGCCTAATTTGCAATCTTCCACGAATACTAGCTCCCTTCTCCTATCGACGTGTGACGTAATAACTTTTATGTAAAATATTGTGAATGCACTAGGTTGATTAAAGAACTCAAACCTTCATTCACAAATGAAAATTGTTAGAATAAGGTTGGTAGGTTCTTAGAATTATTTTTTGGTGATGTTCTAAGTTTTGAAGGACTTTCTTTAATAAATTCATATACTTACTTGGATTCTCCAGACGAAAGTGAGACTCGGGCTCAGGGTGTCTAGAATACAGTATTTGCTGACTAATATGTTCCGTCATTATTTCATAGAGGACATTATACGTCGGTAGAGATAGAGTATCTTCGTTCAATAATAATCTCTCAGCAAGTAACGTATACAAGTTGTGCGGACTCATTACGTCGTATTTCCTTTTGTGTGTACTCCTGCTCAGGAAAAACCCCAACAGCTTCAGTGCTTGTAGCCTGAAAAAAGGAATGCAAATATAAAAAAATCTCAAGTTCAGTCATTGTTAGTTTCCATAGCAGTTCGTGGGTCTTCAGTGCTTTAGTTCTCACGTAGGCAGAAAGAGCATCAATGAAGGAGAGTAAAACTGATTTCACAAGTATTGTATATTAGGGTGTTGGAAACATCCTTTACGCAGTGTAAATTCTTATCAAAATAGCTACACCTTTTCAGTAATATAAACAAAAAAAGTCGTAAGACAACCAAGAAAAATCTACGATATCTAAGATTAGGTGGAAAGATACGACGTGCATCAGTGACCGATGCAGGTTTCCATCTTGCGCCGCGACGAGATACTTATCTCGTACTAAGACAGTTTGTACGTCAACATAGTGAACAGTGGAAAACCTAGACAGTCTCGAATATTGCAGATTGAGGAAGTTTTGTTTTTGAATCAAACACCGACCACTTCGTACAGTATTTATAAGCAACAGTATATACTATCCTTCAATGTTTGTTTTTAGCTTTTCTCGGCGTTCAACTTTGTTGATTCGGACGTAATTGTTTATGAAAGGGAACGATTGAACAGAGCACCCTGTATATGAGGTAATCTTGGGGAAAGGGAAATTGTTACCCTAGAAGCTGAACACCTTGTCTGCTGAATATGAACGCTTGTGGTAGAAAATATTAAACCAAAGGGATGAAGGTTGCTGTAGGAGTACTGCAGGGATCTGTATTGGGGACGTTACTTTGAAGTGTGTCTATGAGGGAATTTCTCTGTTGCAATCAGAGAGGCTGATGGTATAATTCAATTACATCTGATTTACAATTTACCTAATTAGTTGACTTTCTGAAGCAAGCAATTTGAAAATAGTCCGAACTCCGGATTTGGCATCGAAGGCAGGCACCATCGAGGATGGATGTTCGGACATGAGCGAGATGAGCATTTGCAACACGTCGTGCAGGTTGTCATCCTCGTGAACGGTCGTCAGGTAGTTCAGGATACTCTGCAGCTCGTCGTCCTTGACACCGTTGCCGACCATAATCAGCTGCTTCAGGAACAACAGGATGTAGGAACGGATTGGTACGATGTCCTTATGGGTCGGTCGAGGGCCATCTGAAAGTATTAGACAATGTCTCGTGAGGAAAAAGAACTTAACCGTATTATGCCAGTGACCGCAGTGTTGCTTTGGTTGAATCTATACGAATATACATTGTTTTTCATTAGGCCCCTTTAGGAAGGCAAACGTTGGGTTGCTTTTTGCCTTCCTCAAGGAGAAAAAACTGGGAGAAAAACAGGAAGGCCATGGCCAAGTAAGGCGTCCTCCGAAGCAAGAAGGTAAATAGGAGCGAAGTGTTGGGTCAATACACTTTGCCCTATTTTTTTCAAGTGAACGACCAAGACATTGATTCATTGTTAAGTACTTTGGGCGATTTTTTTTGGAAAAAACGTATGTTAAATACTCGTACTAACCTAATCCCTTAGGCGTAATCCCACTCTTCGCTCTTGGATTCACCACCCAATAGTAGTACTTCAGCGTATGCATCGTTTGAAGTACAGTCGACACCCTTCTGACGTTGGAGTATATTTGAGTATCGGAAAGAAACTCAGTGGCCAAATAGGAATAAAGCCTAGTCTGCACAGATGCTGGCGTGTAAATCCACAGCGCCGGGTTGAAAAGTATGTGGTCGAGCAGCTGCCAGGTCAGGAATGAAAAGCAAAATAACTAAATCAAGATTGTTCACACTGTCCCCGTACTTACCCATTCATGTTAATATGAGGCATAGCTCTGTTGTGCTTTGGATATAAGACCATAGTTTTGATATATTACTGCGAAACATTATTCTGGGGAATAATTTTTTGGCATCATGAATTTGAAGATGCTAAAAAAGTTAATTATAGATGTACATATGAAACAATTTCACTTCCAAATCTTCAAGTATTAACGGCAACATCGGAATGTCATTCAAGGTATAATGAAACGCTGCCAATTCGAATACATTTGTCAGGAATAGCAGGTGCTAAATCTCGCCCCATGTAATGTACCATGTTTTGGTCAATAAAGACGATTATTATTATTATTATTATTATTTATACGCGACGCACAGTTCAAGAACTTGCTGTTCCAGAAGCCTTAGAGTTTTCTTTTAAACTAAAACTGACTAGTTGATGCTTTTTGCTTTCTTTTCTTATGATCCGTTTTTCTACTCTCCAACCGAATTGAGTGATAAGACGTAAATTTTCTGATAATAGCGATGAAGCTAAAAAAATTCCCCAAAATTGAGTCGCAGCTTCTTTTAGTACAGAGCCTTATGTGCAGAACTAAGATTTCGGGTAACATTGTGCTTTGAATTTGTTGAGAGTGGTTACGACATGTGAGACGTCTAAACTATATTTGAGTGAATGTAACATACGTACATGGAATATACAAAATATTGCTAATTCGTACTAAACACTATTTCTATATTGGCTGTAACTGCAAAGAATTATGTTGGATAAACAGAAATAGTGTACCATTTTTGCCATAATCGGGTTATAGTGTATTTAGACCCTAAGGGTAGTATTATCACTTATCTAAATCGGACATGCTTAAAAGTAAGGGATAACAAAGTCTAGCAAGAAAGAAAGCATGATTTCTAGAATACAGACAAGTGAAATGAATAACTACCTAATACCTATGTCCAATGAAATTAACGCTCTAAAAACAAATATCTAAAAATGTAGAAAATACAGGAAAAAAACTATAAATTACCAATAAATGATGCTCTTAAATGCACAAACAACAATATGAACTTTAATATTAGCTATAAGCTAGCATTTACTTAACCGATGGTATTGAATTAGTTTACTCTTTTTCTATAGCTTCCATAACTACTAGGAGAAATTATCTAAAACAATAATTATGCCCAACGAGCTAATTAAAAAAATTGTTATTTATATATTATATGGTCAAGCACTTCATGCAATATGATCTTCCGAAATACTGCCTATATGGAAACTAACTGGTACAACTGCAGCTTACATTTGAATCTGACATTCCAAAAACCACCTATGTCCATTTTTTATCGATAATCTTTTTTTATTGAGAAGTCCTCATTAAAAGTAGATGCGTATTTTAGGTATACACCTCGTAAGTCAATACATTTCTTCCCCTTCAAATCACACCACCATATACATGTTCAGTACAAATCTCGTAATAAGACACGGGTATTACGAATCTTGAAAAGTGACATTTCACCGTCTTTATTGACATTTCGTAGGTTTTTTGTGACATTTCGTAGGTTTTTCTGCAAGTTGTTAACTTAGCACAAACTGTTGTACAATTGTGAACTCGTTTTGTAGCTGTACGTGTTGCTTAAACGTCAGCGAACAGCTATCATAGCGAGCAAACGTGGAATGAACACTAACATTCATATAGTCTGCAAGATGACATTGCGTCGTTTTCTTGACGTTTTTTATTTAGGTTTTTACGTAATAGCCCTCCGGGATATCCGTGGATTTTGCACTACTTGAAAGGGATCAGTTCAAAAATAGTACCAGTATTGCTATATTGTTTTATTTTCATATTTATAGGTATGCACCGAAATTTAAATTTAACTTCACTAACTACGAAAATAGGATCACATTCTTATCCGCTTTGCCCAAAATCACTAGTTTGCGAGTTTTCTTGCTTCCTGCCAAAACCATTGACTGAGAAGGTCCTTTATAAGCTTAATATTTTAAATAGTTGTTCGAATAGATAGTATACAGATAGAATTACACGTATAACACCTTGTAATGTCAATTTTTTGTTGAAAAAAATTCACTTTGGTGCTTCGAAGTGACGTATGTTATTCTAGAACCGATTAACGATTATTGAAGAAACTGAAAGAAAGTCTATGTATTTTATCACGAAAGTCGATTCATGGTATGGGTGTAAACCGGGAAATTCGATTTTAGCAGGTCTGGCATCTTGATAACTCAATATCTAAATGTCATTTTTAATGAGCAATAAAAAAATTAATATACTTCTTTTGCTTTGTTATTGTAATTAATAAGCTGGGAAGGTTAATCGAAATTTCAATCTTCTAGAACTCAAATATAACATTGAGCCCAAAAAGTACTTGTAAACTGCTTTATTTATCAGTGACACTCTTTTTACTGACCCATGAAAAATAGAAATTACGGGACAAGGTCTTTGCACTGACCGAATCATTTGTTTCTCCATGTTGCACTAATAACAGCCTGTTCACATTGCTAATATATATGATCAATTGAATGGATGTGATATTTTTTTCTTGGTGACTGTTTCAATTACAATCTGTATAAAGCATAAGCTAGACTATCAACGGCATAGTTTAAGATCATGTGCAACCACTCAAAACTCATTATAAAAACGTAAAAAGAATAGAAAAGCTTGGAGTGAAACAGGTTATAACATGCTTGGATAAGTACAAGGTAGAAACATGTAATAAGGCTTTAATTTCTTATTTATTATTTGGGTAACATTTAAAGCAAACACTCCATTTATTTATATACAACATTTATGTTTTTTCTGCTCGAGTTTTAGATTAGTTTTATTTTTTAGAACTCAATGCAAGGGAATATGCATTTGAAGTCAAAACAATGTGTACAATTAAAAACCTTCTTTAGGGAAAATAGAGACAGGAATGATTCAGTTTGATACGTTATTTTAGTAACTGTAGAAGTACTTATGATTTAAACAATATATAAATAAAAGAAAAGCCAGCAATTATATCAAACTAAATCACATTAATTCACGAATTAATGAAATTAAATGGAAAAAGTGAGATAATTGTATTTGGTACAGAAAGAATTTCATGCAAGCCCTAGATGCAAATTAAATAAACGGATAGCTACTACAAATCTTACGCAATTATAGTAACGGCGAGAAAAATTTAAGTAACACAAATACTGAATTTAATATTGGGACTGGAAAATCTGTTGAATATAATAACTAAATGATTATTTTTACATTTAATGATGAAATAATGTGTTGCTATTTTGCACTGAATTCTAATATATCGATGAAAATTATGACTACTTCTCCAGACATGTAGGTTCCCTTCACAGGAAATCTGCTAAGCAAAAATTTGTTCTATTTTTGGTAGTTGTTCACAGCAGTGTAAAGCTACTTCACACGTTTGCTGCTTCTCCAGTAATTTTGCCATCAAATTAATTTTGCATAATGTTCTCATATTGTTTGCAGCTTTTAATGCTTGTGATCTGTGACAGAGACCGATTAAATACCTGTTTGAGCAGCAATTCACTGTTGGCACTTAGACACGTGACCAGATACTTGGTCAAGCTCAGGAATGAGCCGAGCACCTCTATCGTCAGGTGTTCCCTAGAGGCTCGCTGTAGCATGAAACTGATCACCAGAAACCCTCGGTTTTGGATCATGTGTTGCTGGACCGTCTGTGAAGTCTCCACTAGTTCACAGATAAACCCTAGTAGTTTTGAGCTGAAAATTGATTAATTAATTCTCACATAGTGTTCTCAAAATTAGGACTTTGCACAGCCTATAATTCGTGACAAAATAGGCAAATTTTCCTAGTAATACATACACCTAAACTCTGGGCGCTGAAGAAAGACATTAAACGTAAACAGTGATCAGCACGTGAACAGATCCCTCGAAAGCATCCACGGATATACTCCAGTCACTTTAGGTCTAAACATCCTCGGCAGTGTATTTCTAGTGAATCCACAGACCCTTTTTCGTGTCATCTTGAGACTAGAAAAAGGATGACTGTTAAAATAAGTTACCTTGATCTTTCATGAGCTCCCAGTACAAAACATCATCGATATATTTTTGATGTAGGAACAACAAATTGGTTTAGAAAACATCCACTTTGAACCTAAATTGACTGGAGTAACATCGATCTACAGACAAATTCAAGGTCACTAGCAGTCGTCGGCGCTCTACGAATCTGCACAGGTTTGGACTTGTAAACGTGATTGTAGATGACACGACAGGCATCCAACAGTTAATTCACGCACAGGATTGCATTGCATACGCATTACGCATTCAGTAGCGTATACTCGTTTTTCGCGAGTGGAACGTTTTGTTTATATATTGCCTAAGATACGATGTCTGACACAGATACAGCCGACGAAGTGGTTGACATCAGCGCAACCCCACCCAAAAAAAGGGCTAAGAAGCTACATTTAAGTGCAAATGAAAAACAAATAATATTAAATATATACAAAAACCAAATTCAAGAAAAACCCGATTTGGTCGTGGACGAACTTATATGTAAGGTAGCACATATTTTTGGAGTATGTCGGTCCAGTGTTTATAGGATCATTAAGGAATATAGGAGCACTCACTCACTTTCTGAGCCAAAACCTTATCCTGCAAGAAAAAGGATAACGGACCGAGTAGATGACTTTGACAGAACTGCCATCAGGAGGAAAGTGCATAATTTTTTCTTCCGAAATGAGATACCTACAGTAGATAAGATATTAAGATTAGTTAATGCTGATGAGGATCTTCCATCATTTAAAAGAACCACATTCCGAAAACTTTTGAAGGAACTTAATTTTCGATTCTTGAAACGGGGAAGAAACAGTATGTTAATAGAGAAAGAAGAAATTGTTGTGTGGAGAAGGGAATACCTTAGGAAGATTCGGAAGTTTCGCGATGAAAAAAGAAAAATTTACTATTTGGACGAAACGTGGGTGAATGCTGGACATACTCAAGCGAAAGTTTGGGTCGACAAATCAGTAACATCATCAAGGCAGGCTTTTCTAGACGGTCTTTCGGCTGGATTGAAAAATCCTGCAGGTAAGCTCCTTCATCTATCCGGCAATTTAATTTTGATAAATTCGGGCAAATAATATGCTGTGATAGCAGATAATGTGTGATATTCTCAAAAAATGGTGCATTCGCAGTGTAGTCATTAGGAAAAAAACTTCGACCCTCTTTTAAGCGTTATTTTGAAATTTATTATCATTTTTGGGTGCAGTCAATTTGCTTTGAATGGGTTTTGAGAAGTTGCAAACTTCAATTTTCTACGTTTTTCAGTTTTTGATCAGCATTCCGTGACTCTTAAATTCAGCTAAATGAACTCAATTGCCTCATTCCTTCAAATTTAATCAATCCATAGTGTAAGGAATAATTTATTTCCAGGAAAAGGCAAACGGCTGATCATTTGTCACGTAGGTAGTGAAGACGGCTTTGTTCCCGAAGCACTGTGGGCCTTTGAATCAAAAAAGACAGGGGACTATCATGAGGAGATGGACGGCAATTCCTTTGAAAATTGGTTCTCCAAAATGTTACTAAAGCTGGAGAATAACGCTGTTATTGAACTGGATAATGCCCCGTACCATTCTAGAAATATAGAAAAAATTCTCACAATGGCAACTAAAAAAGCAAACATACAACAATGGCTGGCCTCAAAACAGATCGATTTTGATGAAACAATGGTCGAGGGTGAATTGATAAGTATAGTCAATAGACATAAATACAAATACGATTTTAAAATGATCGACGAAATGGCCAAAAAACAAAATAAAACTGTCTTGAGACTGCCACCCTACCATTGTGAGCTGAACCCTATTGAGCTGATTTGGGCCAACATAAAGCAATACGTGGCGTCGAATAATAATACTTATAAATTTTCTGATGTTAAAAATCTCTTTCACATCGCAGTCAATAGAGTTACGGCAGAGGAATGGAAAAACTGTATCCGCCACGTTCGGGAGAAGGTTGAGGTCAAAATGTGGGATTTGGACAATGTCATCGATACCCAAATTGAACCTCTAATAATTCATTTAAACGATTCAGAAGATTCAAGTTCCTCTTCTGAATGAGTGCGCGCAGCTTACTTACTAATAACTAAAAAGTGTAGTTAACTCATTTGTGAATCTCTAACTGAAATTTACTGTAAAAGATAATAATTATCTTGTATGAAATTTTTGATGACTACCCATAATATCTTGATGCGGTCCTGTAATGTCTCCTGCGCCTAAACACTCACTCACGAGCAATATGCGTGTATTTGTTTGGGTTTAGTTTCTTTCTTCAGCGCCTAGAGTATAAGTCTTCAGACCCGGTCCTGCCTCCAGCAATTTGATTCGAAAAAAAAAAACGAACACGACACAACATTATTTTCCATTTTATGTTAATTTACAATGTCTTCAAGATGCTGCTGATGCTTGGCAAGTGTATTCGGTTAGTTCCTAAGAACGGACACAGTTGAAGATGTAGACATCCCCGAATGTTGCAATAGGAGTAAGAGGTTATGAAAGTTGTGTATTTAAATCGATCGGTAGCAACTTTGATCAAACGGTGTTCATGAGCACCCTTATTACTTAAATTAAAACGTGACATTATATCGATTTTCTATGACATTACGTAGGTTTGTTTGACATTATGTAGGTTTACCTATAAAACGTAACATCTGAATTAGCTGACATTTACTTCATGTTCACTTGAAGTAGCGCGGAAAGAACTAGCGGCTATGTAGTGCATAAGTTGACATTTTAATTTTTTCACATACTATATGTTTTTTACGTAATAACCATTTCTATTTCAAACTTCATTCCATTGGCATTGTTTTTTCATTCTTTCAAGAAGGATATGATCTACATGATAATTCTTAGGTTTTTTATTTTTCAATGCTGTTCTACCGCACAACTTTGTTATTTAGACCGCAGCTGTTTCTGAAAAGGGAACTCACAACTTTTAGAATACCCTGCTACATGTAAATGCTAAAACAGTTTTTCAAAGTGCCCCCATTTCAAAACTGTAAGAGAACATTTTGATAATTCGAACTAACGAAGCAACGGTTCGATATACCCACAAGTTTGGATCTTGACGTGCCTGTCCAGATGCATTCTGATGGTCGAACTTTCAGTGATTCTGCTTCAATAGAACTTACCATAGTGTTGGATCCCTCTTCAATTCTGAGGTACCATTTGCTTCGTACGGTAGATCTAGTTGAGAAAATAAAGGAAACAATACTTGAATTCCTCCTACAGAGTTTAACGTACTATGGATGGAGTGTGTTATCACTGCTTTCACGTCCTAGAAAAAAATAACCAAATCAGTTTTAATTTTTCAAACGAAAATGTGTACCAGACGTTTTCTTAAACATTATTGTCGTAAGTCCATCATTTATACTTTTATTTAAACTTTCGTAAGCTGTTATGGTTACATTTGATTTTCGGTGCTGAACTATAGTCATGGCTCGATACAAGTCTCAAATATCTTAAAAATAGATACTTCTTGTACATTGGAGCCTCTTTGTTGCGATGGTTATCGTAGTTTTGATGTGTGATATGAAAATCGGTGACAAGACCAGTCATATTCTTAGAGTTTGTAGTTCTTTTCACAATGTCATACGAAATAAGTGAACAGAATGACTAAGTGTATCATATGCGGGGCTTAACTTCCCTAAGACCTAACTTAACTTCCCTAGGGCCCAGTTTTTCAATTACAGGTTAACTGCAGATTCACTGCTCACCGAAAGTTGAACTTTAAACGGCGTTTTTCAATGTCAGCTCTGCCCTAAACAGTAGTTAACTTTAACTAGAACACCAGGTATCGGTGAAATTCAAAATTGTAGTTAATTTTGCTTGACAGTGACATGGGTTGGCACGGATGACACGAGACACAAATATCGTGCGTCACGAGACGCACAGAACACAATAGTTTAGATGTACATGCAGCGTTGCTGCATCAGCGGTTACAAGTTGGTAAACCAGAACTGGAAAAATGAGTTTTAGCATCACTATGTTTTATATTAAACATTAACAAAAGGTAAATCCCAATCACACGCCAATGACAAGCAGGTTGTCATACTCACAGTGACAAGAGTGAATGTGGAAGACTCATATGTTGACGAGAAGATCTTTAGGGCGGCGAGACAAAACTAAAAAAATTAAGTATGTCAGTTGTCATAATATGGTCGTACAGTGGTCGGCGACTTGTCGGTGATTGTGTTTGGGATTTGGTTGTGTGAATTCTGTCTATATGGCGTAGCAGAATGAACGGAATTTATGATCTGGTACAAGATCACTGACAGGTTGGTGACAGCTATATGAACAGGGATTTAGTGTTGCATATTACCTACATTCAGTTTCCAAAATATGATGCACAGTATTAGATAACAGATAAATGTGGAAGACCCATACGCTGTCGGGAAAATTTTCATGGTGGTAGCGGTGAGACAAAATTGAAAAACGAATGTCTTTGAGGTCACATAAACGTCAGCAGATATGTATCTGTGAGGGAGAAAGATGTATGAAAGTAAGTCTTATTGTTTTAGTGTTGCCCACCGTACCTACATATATGTAATCATTCAATCATGCATTGCGATTACAGTGGATTAGCGTAAAGGACGGTCGTACCAGAAGATAAACCTCATGTGTGGTATTCTTTACTTAGAATTCATTTGAACGTCAAGCTGGTTGAAAATAAGGCTTACGTGAGTCATCTATGTTGGGATTAATTGGCTTATGGTGCAGTGAACTTACTTGCAACATGAGAGCGTGGGGAGTGTGAACGAAATACGACATATTTCCTCTGGGCGCTGATTGCAGGCACAATTGTGCGTCAGTTGCAACTGGATTGTACATGAACACGATGGCATTCGACAGCTTGCCGTCATATAAGACCTGAAACAACATTTTGTCTAATCATTCTACGCTATGTGTGGTTAGAATTAAGCAATTCGTATAATATATATATAACATTTATTTAGGCTAGCCGACAAAACTCTAACAAAAATTCAAATAAAAAATCACTGGTGGGAATCGAAGCCACAATTTTCTGTCTAGGCAAATCTTTCAATCATCAGAGGTCTCCTTGATCAAGACGCCATGGCGACGCACAGTGGGGAATGAGCGGAATTAATTTAAATTCTCTAAAGATTTTTCAGATGCAAACTAAATTAAAATTGTACTCTGAGAGATTTTTGTTTTCCATTACAATAAGACTTTTTTTCAGTGTATTTTCACAGATAGTTGGTTCGGAAACCAATTTATAGAATTTCATCAATGTAATATGACTAAAATTTCATATTGACACTTCCAGTTTGTAGTAATGAGATTTTGAAGAAAAAGTGGAATATTCGCGTAATTTTGAAGAACGAAATATAAGATTTATTAACGAACGCTAACGATTCTTAATTCATAAGGATCATTATTAAAAATTTTCCAGCCTGCAAATATACCTGTAAGCTCACGAGTAAGTAGTAAATAAAGATTATCGGAATTATACGGTATGTCATTCAAGAAAATGTTGATCAACGAGGATTTGATGAATATGTTACTAATTTTTCCATATCCGTTCAGCAATGTCAGGAACCGAAAAAACAAAATAAAGAATTTGCCTGTACATTACGATTCCAAAATGTTGTTAAAATAAGTAATTGTGCCAGTTCGCATTGTCAGTGGGGTCACCACTATGGCCGTTAGATGCGAGTAGACCGTATATACTATATCACCAGAATCGGCGGCATCTAGCAGCCACAGTGCTGACCCGGCTGACAATGCGAACTGGAATGCAGTTCCAACGGATAGCTTGCTGTTTTCACTTTTGCACTGATCCGTTTTGGTGCCGTGCTATTTCGATAAACTTTATACCCTGAATAGAGTAACTCAGCTTTCGTTCGTTTCCACTAAGACTAAGCCTACACCATACTGAGGAGTTGCTAAATAGCACGAAACATATTGGTTACATCCCTTCGTCTTTATTAAAGGCACAAGCAGTTTTTTAAAGAGTTAACAATATAGATGAATGTTACCCGTTTTTAAATGTCGCACACAATTTACAAATATCTCACTGACATGACTCGCTGGCAAGCATTTTGATAGACTTTGCCTAGCAACGTGCTTCCTTTGCGATGGACAGTGGTCTAGCGTCGCGATTTAGCGGAGAAATATTTATATTGAAAAAAGCAGTAAAATAAATTGCAATGTATAAACATATCTATTAGATTAGTAATACGGTGGGGAGAGAGAGGGGCTCGTTTGTTTGTGGCCTCTGAGAATCCTGTTGGCTTTTCAAGTTCACATGGTTGCATGGTTTTGAGGCCAACATTGGGGATTTTCAGGACTTAGCCACCTCAGCCCGTCCGAGAAAACTTGCTACCCCATACTCTTCAAAGTTTTGAAACTGATACACATTCACAAAAAGTTGCCTCTTGTCAATGGTTGTCCCCTTGGAAAAATTCTTGCAGGCGCTCATAAATGTTATGTATAAGGTCCAGTTCTGTGGTTTCGGACAAACTTGAAAGCTGTGTTTTTGGCTCCCTAAGCCTATTTCAGCAAACCAGCGGATATGTAAAATACTGGCTTGAATACCATTCCACGTATTCTTCCGTTTTTTTCTGCTACGAACATTTTGATTTTTTCGGTCGCCAGTGAAACTCTTAGGAAATATTCCCAAAATTGGTTTTAATATTGTTTTTCTCAAAAACATATGAAATCAACTTACTACAAGTCATGCCTCTTGTTAAATGCTCGCATGGAAGCGATTTTTCAAATAACTCCAAATGAGTCAATACCGAAGATAGAAAAATACGTAACAGTTAACGGCACCTTATTTGGTATGCTATATTGAGATCATACATTAAAACCCTTTATCTAACAAGCATTGGATTTCTTTCACATGCAAGCTTTTAGAAGCACATGTTGCTTTTGGGTTGAACAGTACCATTAAGCATGATAAAGACAAACCACTGAATAGGGTATATTGACTAAACTACACGAGAAGCAGCAGCGGTGGCCGGAGTAGTAGACTCTTCGGTCTCCTGATTAGTCGCCGTGCGCTGTGCGGGTTCGACTTCCGTCCCAAAAGAAATTTTTCTCTTGGCTAAGGATGTTGTGATTGTCCGTAGGTGGTAGACGGTCTCTGACTTTCGAACGCAGAGGTACCATCCAGCGGATCTCGTAGGCGGGGCTACAATATATGCGTGTTGCATGCATACGTGTTCCCTCACCAGAGTCTGTGTAGCGTTTCCCCTGTATCCGACTATAGCCCCACGGTACCCCATGGGTGTTTAGGCCTCAGGCCTTCATGGTAGTTAAAGTATATACGTATATAAAAAAAGAGTCGATGCAAACAAAACAAAAAAACGTTTAGATAATAGGGAATGAACTACGTTTTAATAGGCGATGAAACTTCTTTGAGTCAACTCCAACTGTTTGTGTTGGGTCTATATTAACTAATTTGTAGGTATCTACATACAATTTTCATGTCATACATCACCAGCATACTTTGAATCATTAGAAATATATAACTGCATTTTTAGACTTTCTTCGCCCCTAATAGCGACGCTCGACCACTGCGTAGTCAGGCTACGAATGTTGGCCATGTTCCCTTGGCCTGTTTTGCTTAATTCGACTTGCGGACTCATATGGATAAATGGTACAATCTCAATATTCCAAAACAGTATCTAAACATTACAAAATTCTCTACGAGGTATATTTACTAATACACGTGCTCATAACAACTGAGGCCAGCAAACATTTGTTTACTAAATAAATGTAACTACTGAATAGAAAACACTACCAATGAAAACAAAACTCTAACAGATAAAATACACATACAAAAGCAAACAAAACAGCTTCTGCAACATAAATCAAACCATTTAATGCCGGAATAATACTGCAGCACACTCCGGTGACCCTGAAAGCATTGAAAGCAACGTTCCAATGCAACAAAATTCTACTCTAAAAATACAAGTCATAAATATAACTTATATGTACGCACTTACTAACAGTTCCGATATCGAGTTGAAATAATAACAGTATCTAAATGGGTGGTTTATTTGTCAGCACCTGAGCCAGTGACATAATGAAAAAGCAGTTTCGTAAAATTTAGAGAAAGACGTCATATTTTTAAATAAACAGTTTTTTGGTTCCAAATACTATCTCCTCTCTTTGTATTAACAGATATTAACTTATTCTGCACCTTAGGTTAATCCTCCAGAATATAACCAAACACATTTATTAACTTTTTGTTTGATTTCTCTCATTTGGATACACTGCAACGAGTCATCAATCCGAGAAAAGCAAAAACCATGAAACATCATGTGAAGCAGTATTTAAGAATATACTACCGTCAAATTGAGCCGATGATATTCGAATTTGTTATCCTACTGCTTAAAACTACGAAAAATAATCTAAAAAATAAAAAAATGCTTACGGAACGTGCATCCGACGCAGTCAGAGATAAAGGCATGCTAGATGCTGGTAACTGTTGTTTGTTATCACTCACCCTTTTGTGATTGTCTGGTAAATTTAAACTACATTCATTGTCAAATCGGAACTGGCTCTGAAACAATCATCCAATCTGTTATTAAAAATGTAAATTTATCTGTGGATATCATTAAAAAATACGATAATGTACACCGCTCTACTATATTTATCTGGAGGATGATATTCTAACACCCTATACGAGGTTTGATCGGAAAATACGTATAAACGTGGAATAATAACTTTACTTTGCAATTGTTCAGGTATTTCAATATGGTCTCCTTCAAAGTATTCTCACTGTTGATACGATCGCTGAAAGTCTTCAAGTCTGAGGGTCTTCATTTGCCGTGTCGTGTCTGCCTTGGAGGCTTCCACATCCCCCAAGTGCCGCCCCGAAGCACCATTTTGCATTTTGGGAACAGCAAGAAGTGGCAAGGGGTGTTCTGCCACGGTGATTCAGCTTTGGGCCAAAAACTCACGCACGACGAGAGACGTGTGACCAGACGCGTTGTCGTGATGAAGGATCCACGTGCTTGGTGCCAAATCCGGTTAAACTCGGGCTACACGAGCTCTGAGACGACGAAAAACTTCAGTGCAAGAATTTCCGTTCATTGTCCGGCCGGGAGGGACAAATTCCTGATGAACAATGCTCCGAAAATCAAAGAAAACAATCAACACTGGACTTTTTCGTTCTCGGTTCCTCTGCTAGCTTCCACTTCATGCTTCGAGCTTTCAGCTCCACATCGAATTTGTAGAAGCGAGACTTGTCTCCAGTGATGACCCGGTTGAGAAAGTCTCCCCTTTTCTTTGCTTCCAACCAATCCTCAGAGTAAGCAACCCTCCTTGCTTTCTGTTCTGGAGTCAAGAGCTTCGGAACGATGTTCATACACAATTTTTTCATTTCAAGTTTTTCTGTCAGAATTTCGTGAACGATTGTTTTGGGGATTGACAGATCCTCAGCTATCATTCTAACTGTCAATCGAGGGTCTTTAAGAACACGGCCCCGAATTCGTTCAACATGTCCCTCAGAGCTCGATGGGGAGGGGCGTCCTGAGCGTTGGTCATCTTTCACATCTTCTCGGCCTTCCCGAAACCTTTTCAACCACTTCAAGCACTCAAAAATCTCACGACCATTCTTGTCTAGCTTTGCAAGAAACTTGATGTTGATGCGCTGTTCCTCGATCAGAGAGAGCTCCATGCCGATGGCAGGTTAAAAAAAGGGTTACTTTCAACAAGCCCAGGCAAATATTACTTACTCGCAGAGCGCTCTGTCTCGAACTGAGCATAGAGAGAGGGAACCACCGGGCCAGCCCTCCACAACGCCTTGACACGACGCCCCTAATTTTTTCCGGACAAACCTCGTATAATGCGTTATGTCACAGTTTACGTTCTGTCAAATTATAGTATAGGTTAGGTATGTTGTCAATTAGATGCCAGGCAGCTGTCCGTTTTGTTTATTCATAGATCTTTCAATTGGTTTGTTCGTACAGTGGTCGGTAACTTGTTGGTGACTGTGTCCGAGATCTGGCTGTGTGAATTTCGTCTAAATGACGCAGCAAAATGAAAGGAATGTGTGTGGTGGGATCTTGGACACGATCACTGACAGGTTGGTGACAGCTGTACGAACAGGGCTAATGTGTTTTGCGAAGTTTGTAGGACTGTTAATTTTTTTAAATAGATTTTTAGGGTATATAGGCAGTGTGCGGGAGTAGATTAAAGTTAAGTAAGTTCTTGAGGAAATAAAACGTGAAAAAGCGAAAAGTATTTCAGTTTACTGCTACTACTGTCATTCACGACAAAATTTATTGATCCAGTTAGTATCTCGAAATGTTGAACTTGAGTGTTTTCTCATCAAAACAAGGTAACGAATCGTTTTTTTAAATTCCACATGCACTCCTATTGAAACGGTTAAAAACAATAATCACTCCTTTCCATATAAAAAACTACTCAGTGTTAGTAAATGTAATGATTGATTGCGAGAAGTGTGATTCAGTTACTTACTTTATACCCAGGACCCAACCTATGCATAGCGCATATTTGGTGTGTAGTCAATGCTTCACTAAACAAATATATCGCAGACATTTGTCCACAAAATACTCTTTCTTCATCTAGCTCTGGAGTTGCACCAATGTAACACTTATCAAATACCTGAAAGAACACAAATGCTTGTTCATTTCATTTTCAAGAAAAACCTTAGATACTAGATTCCATTTATTTATTCAGTAATTACATGAATATATAGTTTTGTCCTAATGGGACTCGTCGATGCAGCTACCTTCTGAGAATCAACGGTCAGTATTTATCATATGGTATAGCAGTTAGGCGAGCAAATGTAGATAACTTTCATAAGTTTTACGGATCAAATCTAATTAGTAGACCGTGAAAATTGTTTAATACTTACATCGTTTGTAGACACAAACCACGCCATTTCTGTACTAGATGCTAATTGACCATTCACTAAACATTTAATTTCGCTCTTCGTCCACCTATTGTAAATGTAAACTACTGCCAGCATATACCACTGCAAATATAAAAAATAAAAGAACTATAAATTCAGTATTACATAATACAATCAATTTGGATTAAAAATGAGATAAAACGGGTCCAAATACTATAAAAAAATCTGCATTTTGCTGCCGTGTAGCGTCCGCCATATACGATCGGAATTCAGATGCGGAACAGGCACGGAATATTAGTATTTTTCTGTTGAAAAATGCTGATTGGCATCTTTTCAAGAGAAAAAGCTTGATTTTCATGGCATCTTCCGAATCAGAATTCTGAATGTATACAACCCACCTAAGAGGTTTCAAAATTGTGTTTCATGTTTGCAGATGGAAATTGCTTGAGACTGTCGTTTAGCATACAACAATAAGCCAAATGTTGCATTTTAAATATTTTTTTTTGATTGGCCGAGAATGTAGAAACACAATCACACATGGGAACAGGGCCATAAGCTACATTCTCTTCATGATCGATTCCGAAGTAGGTATTATGAATGAATACAGGGTGTTCACAATGCAGTTGCCTTATATTATGGTTGAGTCTTCAGACACTAGCAGTGCAAATAATGACTTTTCGGCGGTTCTATCTCCAGTCTTTGCCTGGTTAAAAATTTACATGTTACAATATGTTATACAGTGCTTTTCAAGCCCCCTCCTACTTATTTTTAGAGCGGGTCAAGTTAGAAAGCGAAAACTCTAGGTATAGAGACTAATGCACAAATACTATGTTTTACCGTAAATGTAACAGTTCAAAATTCAATGATGTCGTATCTCATTTGAAGCTTCTTATCAGTAAATGCATAGGGTATAATAATAGTTTACACTTTGTGATGGATTGAGCAATTTTCAAGTGCTTCGTTCTAAGGAAAATGTATTTTACAATTTTCTCTGATTTCCATGAGATTCTTCCTGTTCTAATGATTTTTTTCAATGATATTGCAAAATGTTTATCTTTTGACCTTCTTACATAGGGAGACCACATAGAAATAGAGATAAATGGAAAAAGTAGCGGAACATAGCACGCCAATTTATCACATAATTTTGCCCCATGATGATGATAATATGCACGAGGATCTCAATAGCGTGGGAGATACAGCTTTGTTTAAATTAGAAAAAGGTTGCGTTCTTTGTGGCGTATATACACATGCCGTTGAGAAACTTGTAAGAATTTCATGGCTTACTGAAAATTTTGGGAAAAAGTAAAGTTTGGTCAAACAAAATTTTATTTTTTCCGACTTCATTTTAAAGAATGTGAAAAAAAGGAATGAAACTTTACCATTGGCACTTTTTAGACACTACATGATGATGTTTTTAAATCTTGTGTCCGACGGTTCTTTTTTAGAAACATCATCTTTATTTTGTATGGTCCGAAAAAAGTACACCTTGTATCTAATACCTTTTTTTTACGAACTAAACGATGTATCTCACGTTACATTAACGACCCCTGCAAGGAAGACTATTGTAACTCAGTTTTGGTTGAACTGAGATACAGGCGTTAGAAGATTTTCTGATGCATTTCGTTGTCAGAAAAATGACGATTTCATCATACATATGTTGCACATTGCGAAACGGGTGATTCTGAATGCCATCATGGCACGGGTGTGGCCTATGAGGACATAAAACATTGACAAAAATAATTTATTAAAAATATTAATTTTTGGAGAAATTGAACAATTCATTCTTTGTTTTAATATTTATTGGGGAAAAAATAATTCACATACCCATTTTAAATAATTTTTAAGTATTATTTTTTCTTTTATTTAAAGAATGTTACAATTTTTGGCATTTTGTTGTAGAACCATTGTTGGAACTAATCCTCAGTTACTTAGTGGACGCAGTCAGCACAGAGTTGTTTGGCGTGTTCTAAACAAAAGAGATTTTTTTGCGAGATCCCGTAGTGAACCGGAGCGGAAACAGATGGAATTTCGCCTCCTCTCGAAGTTTTGACAGTTTCAAGTTACACTGGGAGTGGTTAGATGGCGCATGTTGCGCAAAATGTTTGCTTTATGTATTTCTTTTTTAACTTGTTTTATTAATACACCAACCTGTATACATAATTCGTTATAGCATAATACTCACTTATACATAAATAAATTCATTAGACTCCCTTCAATAAAAAATTAATTGAAAAAAACTGGAACTATGGAGGACAAAAATATATAGACAAAGCAAAACAATTATAGAAAAACGAAGCAAAGTTCATTGAATTATGGAAAACCAACCATGTTTGTGTTAATATTTTGTAGCATAACCATTATTATCAATCACCGCCTGGCATCGTCTCGTCATAGATTGTAGAAGTTTCTTGATATAAGATTCATCAATCTGTCTCCACTTTTGTTCTAAAGCGGCAAAAAGTTCATCCTTGTTTGAATAATTTTTATCTTGTATTTGCTTATCTAAGTATTCCCATAGATTTTCAATGGGGCTTATCACGGGAGACTGTGAAGGCCATTTGAGAACTGGTATCTTTTCATCCAGAAAGAATTTCTTTGCGAGATTTGAAGTGTGCTTCGAGTCATTATCTTGCTGGAAGATTGATCTTAAGGGCATATTGCCTTCCATATAGGGTAACATGAGATGCTTTAGTATGTCTGTGTATACAAACTTATCTATAATGTCATCCATCTATTCTATGTCAAGATCCCATCCCAAACCCCGAAAAGCACCCCCAAACCATAACAGACCCGCCTCCATGTTTGACAGTGGGCAAAGTGAACTTGGGGATCAATCTTTGTCTACTAGGACGTCTAACGTAATGAACACCATCTGATCCAAACATATTGAACTTGGATTCGTCACTGAAACATACCCTGTTCCAGTCACAGACGCTCCAATTAAGATGCAACCGTGCAAATTGTAATCGGTCCGTACCGTTTTTCCTCGAGATTAGCGGATTTTTACTCGGGCGACGCGCAAATAACTTCAAATCTTTTAATCTTCTACTTATAGTCTTCGTAGAAACACTGACAATTCCTTTTGTCTCGATTTCGGCTTTTATTTGTCTTGGGGTTTTAAACGGATCTTTGGACGAAATTATTTTTATTAATCAAACTGATCTAGCATTTAGTCTTCTAGGCCGACCACTTCTCTTAAAGGCTTCCAAGATACCTTTTTGTTTATATTTGTTCAATATTGCCCAAACTGCTTTACGCTTCAGCTTCAAATTTTTGGCAATGTCGACTTGACGTTGACCATCTTTGTATAACTCAATGATCTTAATTTTCACATCGAAAGAAATTTCTGGACCACGCGCCATGGTCTCAAATCACTCAACTTATTCCACAATACTTGATGAACACAAACTAATCCTCTTCTGACTCGAAACTGTACTAAACTACTGTTGAAAAGAATTTGTCTACATATTTTTGTCCCTCATAAAAAAGTGCTTTTATTCCGACTTTTATTGTGTTCATTGCAGATAATGTAAAAACAAGGAATTTAGTTTTTCTACTAATAACGCATTTGTTTATGGAGCAATGAAGTATGAATTTGTTTTCTAAAGGTATTTAGGTAAATATTCATATTTGTCTATATACTTTTGTCCATTACTGTATATCTATATATATATATATATATAAAATATATCAATAAAATCAATCATTTGATATGACAAGTGCGGTTAATATATCTTCGATGACCCTCCCCCTCGTCAGTTAAAATCAGGTGGACGTGTTTCTCCATTTATGATTTAATAATTTAACTCAATTTTCAGTACTGTGAAGACAAAATTTCAATTGAGATGCCTGTTTTCTAAATCACATTGACATAAGGCCTGTCACCCGCTAGTACCTCACAGACGATAGGCGGGTACCCGTACCACGTGATTTTTTGACATTCGGACGACGTCACATCCGTCTTCTCCTATTCCCGTTCTTCGCGAAAATTTGAGCATCGGTTCCCGGTAGTGCACACTGTGCTACACCGTGGACTCGCGAAAAAATCCTTGAAGCCATTTTTGTCATTTTTGGCAAAAATATTGCGAATTGCGATTTCTGCAATAGAAGCATTTCCCACGTTTTCCTACTGTGGTCTCTAAATCTGGACTTGATCTTACTGATAAAGTAACAGACTCATCGAACATGTCGGTGTCCGAAACGCGCTGTTTCGCTATCATGCTTCATCTTCGTATTGAATTTCTTCCCACAGAGCCCAGTCTTGCTTTTTCCCTTTAATAAGGATCATTTGAAATCATAATGATCTAAAATAGACCGAAATAACTGAATGTAACATATAAATAGTCACAAAATTAAATGCAACTTACTTTAAATTTTTATCACGATAAGGTACGGGTATGTACTCATAGGCCAAATGACCCAATAACACCGAGAGAACGGCATAAATCACACGGACGCACTGACCAGTGTACCAATCCGTACCCGTATATGGTAGAAGAAGATATACGGAGATTCACTGAGCTACAATAGCATGTGCCCAAAAGCCGATATGTTGAATAAGTGATGGGCATCTAGACTTAGTAGGACATTTATTGAAATAGGTATTACAGTATTTTTCAAACAAATGGTCGAAAAAACCTCTTTAATGCCAATCTGAGTGATTCAAATTATATTCATATTCGTTTCCTCCACTATCAGCGTTCTCAACTTCTGTATTTTCAGCACTGTTAATATTATGTCCTCTTTGTATTTTTAATCTTCCATGGCTTTGAGAGAAAAATGAAAAGCAGGTAAGCCTCAGGAATGCTAGGAAAGGTAGTTCCTGAAGGGTATCATTTTGCGGATTCGTTCTGTGATAATCAATGTTAGTATCGCGAAATCATCAGTATAGTCACACTTATATTCCATTTCATGAGGCAGTGATCTTATTTATTTTTAACTTTTCACCACAATCGTCTTTGTTTCAATTTTCCGATTTTACCTTTTATTTAAAACTAATGGATCCACGACCAACTGCAGACAGCTTTAGCCCTCAGCAGTACGATATAGGTCTGTATCAGCTCCAGACTTAGACACGTGAATGTCGTCTTAGCAAAACCGAAGACTGTAGTAGTAGAATATCTGTCAAACTTTTTTTATTTCACAGGCATGAGAGAAACAGACTGTGATGCGACAGATCCCAATGCAGTGCAGATGCAATGTATGAACCTTTTTGCTATGTTAAAAGAATTCATCACTATTTATGAACCAAACTTGCCTGAATTTAACAGTTCAGCAAATGCACTTAGTTTCTTTGCATCTGCAAGAATTATTTTGGTTCTTGAATTCATTTTAGTTCGCTTGAAAACTGCTCTTTTCATACAGCTAATACTTGATACGTTTCCGCTATTAATTATCGTAACCTCAAAATATGCCGCGAAGATCATAGCAAGTTCAGACGAAAAATATAAATAGACAAATAATTCCCTACAAAATATTGTCGTCAACATAACTGCATTTACGGTAAACAAATATATGCGACGCTGCCACTTCTCCATACTGAAAAATCTATTGAAAATGGAATGAGATATTGGTGTGCACTCCGCCCGAAATGAAGGTGGACTTAAATAAGGTGTGGACGCTCCGGCCGATCGTGGGTCGATAAAACAACTGCTCCTAGGCAGTTGTCAACGTCATTTTAAATTTTAAAAATTTATTTTTTCTTTTCATATTTGTTTATACTCGCAAAAATGGTCACAGAGGTGGCCGACACGCCGTAAATTCAATTCAAAACGGATGCAGGTTCATGTTGGGTAATTCACAGCGAACATTACATATAATATTTTACCCAGTCAGTTGTTTGGCTGGATTTGTTCCACCTTGGACGAAACTTGCTCTCATTCGAAAGTAGCACATTTCTACCGACTTTTTGCCGAACGTGGCAACGGTGTTCAAGGGCAAGTGGTGGATGCGTACACAGAATTTACAAACATCTGGTGTTTGTTGTTGTGCACAATGAATTTGTTGCGAGTATTCAAAAGTGTTTTCAGCTTGTTTTAGCGGCAATTATAGCATTGTTATGATTGATAGACAATTTTCAAAGACAATGGGACGTCGGAAGTGCATTCTTTGTGGAGTTAGCAGTGAAAAAACCTTCCACAGGTGACTTAGAGGTTAGAGGAGGACAAGGGCGTAGCGCATGGGGATGCGTTGTGATTTTTAGTATTAAGAAATAGACATTTTATAGTTATTGGTTGTTTTTACACTGTATGTGTGGTCATTTTCAAAAAATACTCTTCTGTTAGACACGTTTTTGATCTTTCAGGTTTCCTAGTGATAAGAAAAAACAAGAAGAATGGTGCACTATCCTCAATATTGACATAAATGATTTACCACTTCACTTCACTTCAATAGAAGGCAAAAGAACTCAACTAAAGCATTCAGCAGTTCCATCAGCAGAGCCTTTGAGGCAAACAGAGTAAGTCCTTAATTATATTTAGCTATTGGATGAAATGGAATATTTTGTTGCTATACTTTTACTTATCTATTTTAAAGTGATTCCAGTGATGAGGAGAATGAAATCAATCTTGCCCAGGAAATTGCCCTAAGCCATTCAAATAGTGAACAACTGGAAAGCAGGGATCTACCTAGGTATGAAATTTGTTTTTTTTTAGATGTTTTACATCCATATCTGGATCAGCATATATCAATACAAGAACTTTTTGACGCGCTAAATGGCTAAAATGGCTATCAGAGTCTACAGAGTACGCTAAATCCCCAAGTATACCGTTATGTATAAAACGATTTATAATCTAACTTAAGCTCCACAATAAATATAGTCTCAAAATCTTTCTAAACAATAGTTCATACAGGGTTGAACAAACAGACTATTGTACAATATGTAATACTCGAAAGACCGAATCTTTAGGACATCTCCTCCTGGAATATCCATTATACAATCCATTGAGAGAGCATATTCTGTCAGATCGTTTGAACCAAATCTGTGTCTTTGCTTGCCTAAATAAAACGAATGAGTTGAATTTATGATACAAACTTTTTAAATACTTTAGGGAAATATTTAAGCTAAGATCTTTCTTAAGGAATGAATAGTTTTCTTGTGCCTTCAATATCAAGACAGAATATTTAAATTGATGCGTCAATTATTTATTATTTTTCTGTTTGTTTATATATTTTTTTATATACAACTTTTGATCATGGTTACTATCATTTTCTTACTATTTTTTATTCATACTCTGGACAGGAAATTTTCTACTCAATTCTTATTATTTACATAATACTCTCTCACTCTTGTTTATATACCTTTGTACTAGGTATTATGAAACAATAAACCTGATAATTAAGTTCCAATAATAAAACCTTGTTTACTTCTCTGTGTTTATTCTTTTCACTGCCATGGAAGGTGATACTGGGTGTATTAACCAGAACACCATTACAGAAAAGCACCTACGCCATTGGTGGAATCAGCTGTGGTCTGCACATACACAGCTTATTGTTTGTATTTGTTTTGAATTGGGTTTGTTTGTCGTCATGCATTACAGTGCCGTAAGAATGGTAAGTCTATTTATATTTTTAGTCTGAGATAGTAAGTCATACAGTAGGTTTAACAGTAAGTTAGACTTTCCATGATTTTTTTGAATCGAAGACTAAAGTAATTCAATTTGATGTAGTTTTTTACTATATGACGTAAAAGATTTACTGATTGCCTATAGTTGCATGACTGAGATACCATATTTTTCCACCAAAGAAAACCCGATAAAGCCTATCGATACCATATAGTAAGTCAAAAGTAAGGATTTTTGAGTTACTATAGTCCTCGTTGCAGCGGTCGATTTATTATCTTGATTATAAGGAAATATATGTTTTTTGAATTTTTTTAACTATGCCTTGCAGATAATGCTTTATTATTGTGGTCATTTTAGCAATGAAGAAAAGTTCGATATACAGACGAGCTACATGTTGTGCTACAACAATACTAAAAATACTGCAGAAATGTAACTTGAAAATTTCCTGTTAGGTTTTTCCGGATCATATGAAAAAATGAAGTTGATGGTTTCAGAAAAACGAAACGTCGGCCACAACATTTAAAAACACCCGGTAGTGCCTAAAAAATCACAATAAAAAAGTTTCATTAGTTTTTTGATATTCCGTCAAATTAAGTCAGAAAAAATTAAAAATGATTTGACCAAATTTTAGTTTTTCGCAAATACCTCAGGAAGCCATGACATTTTAACAAGTTTCTCAAGGGCAGAGGAATATGCCCCAAAGAACGCAGCTTTTTTCTAATTTAACCTAAGTCGTATCTCCCAGAGGTATTGAGATCCCCGTGCATAGGATCCTTATCTGGCTTAATGTGTTCCAAACGAGGTGTTCCATCAGTCCTTGAGATGTTTTTACCGACCTGTCTTATTAATATCTTTGGAAAATAATAATTAGCCCCCGCAAAGAGAAAACTGTATTAAAAGTTGAATTTTCCATGGGTGTCAGTTACTAGGAAGCAAAATTAATTTCACTCACCTTTCTCGGCTGAAACTCGTACTTCACACAGTGTTGGAAGCCCTTGCCTTTGATTTTCATCGATGTTAAAACTAAACAGTTGCCGACAAAGTGAGCGGTATATCCAACTCCTTTACTCGTTTTGAAGCTGAAAAAATATTTAATAAAGAGAGTACTAATGAAAATGCAGTCATACACGGAAAATGATGAGGAACATGAAAGGTAACAAGTTATGAAAGTCTCTGATCTAGCGCGTCATGAGTTTGGTTAAAAGTTTCATATTCATTAGGTGGAAGAGCGCGGATTGACAACTAATGGTTGTCAATCAAACGAACCTTGCCGTTTGCTCACTGCATCAGATTTATGTACTTTTTTTTTCTGTACTTACATGAGCAATAAAAGCAATTTATTATTATTAATAGTTCTTGAGTTTTATGGGTAACTATAGCTAATAAAACACTGTTTTGCCTCAAATTTTGTCAAAACGTTGTGACAAAATGAATGATTTTCAAAACAAAATAAAGTCTAAACGCACTGCCTTTGTCCATCCTACCACCTACAGTCAACAGCGGACAGCTGTTCTGTGCCTTTTGGTAATTCATCCACATGGTTTAGACTTGGTCTCTGGGGCAATGAACAAAACCATAGCAAACCATCCCCTACCCAAGGTATGAGATCTAAGCCATGCTTTCGTCCGTTGTCCCAAAGACCACGCCTAGACTGTCCATCGTTGGATGTCTGTGATGGGATGGACGAAAGCAGCATGATGGATTGTGCAATGGCGAGTAGACCACATCTACTATATACCGCTAAAACTGTCAAACGCGAACTGACATCCAAGCAATAGCTGTTATTCACTCTCGGAGTGGTCAATTCTGACAATATACAGGGTGTAAAGTAAATAGTGGATCAATGGAAGCCAGATGATAGAGGGCCTCAAAACCTATCGAATGAATCCCTATATGTGTGATCCGAAATTTTACAGTTCAGGAGATATTTGCAATTTTGTGAAATTTCGAAAAAAACGGGATAATGAACTTTCAACCGCAATTAAAACTAAACCATTAAGTTTAGAACTGTGCTTTTTTTCTGAGATGAACTAAATGGTTAGTTTTAGCAATGGTTATGTCACTTTTTAACAGAGCTTATTTAAAATCAACGCAAGAAATCTTAAATTCATTTTTTTGTGAAAAATCTCTTTCATCCTTCAACTTTGGAGGGCAGTAAAGAAATTGAGGTTGTATTTCATTATTCCATTTTATTGTGAATACTATATCCATGTAGAATAAACGCTGAAAATTTCAGCTTGCTACGATGAGTGTATCATGTCACATTCGTTGTTGTGATGCGATAAACGTAAGAAACGCAATAGTATCCTTACCACCTACAAGTACAGAACCTATTGTGTTAAGCCGCTCTTTATGGCGATTTACAGACAAATGTGTAAGATAATTTAATTAAACTAACTTTTAAAGAACATGGCCTCCATTATTTTCTATCCACAAGAGACACCTTTTAATAAAATTGTCCTTTAGTCTTTGAAATGAATTTGCGTTTTGCATAATTTTTATTTCCGCTTCATCAATGTTCTGGCGACATTTGTATATTCAGATGTATAGATTATCCTCTTATAAAACCCCCATATAAAAAAATGTAGAGGATTTAGATGGGGTGACCCACTACTAACATTACACCCTGTATGCCGCCATGCGCTGTTTTATTTCGATAAAAAAATGTTGCACCTAACACTTTTTGCAAATGATGACTTTTCGACGATTCTATCTCTAGTCTTTGCCTAGTCAAACATTTTAATATAATGATAAGCTATATATTTCGCATTTGTTGTTTTTTAGTCAAAAGTCAAGAGCACATCTTAATCTATTTAGCTTTATACGTTGATCCCTAAATTCACTGTTCTACTTTGTATGCAAACATTACGTACAAAAATATCATGAATACGAAAAATTCTGCAAGTTTGTATACATCATACAAAAATGCGATTAAAAATGGATTATGAAATTTCACTAATTGCTGGGAATTAATATTTGCATGAAACTACAAATTATTTTCAAAGTGGATAATAATTTGAGAGCTAATTTATAATTGAAGGGTACTTCTGACATTAAACATGGTTCAGGGATCATGTAAGTTGGAGTCGAGCCAACTTTATAAATCATGCTTTCTGGAGTTTCTATTTTGTTTATACATATTAAGGTAGAAATATGATTATCAAACTTACCAGTATAAATAAGGCTTTTCTCTTTCTATATTCACAGAATTTATAGGGTCTAAACGAAACCACGTTGTGAACGTAAAACCATTTTCATAAGGCCATTTTGCTAATGGGGGTAACACTATTGCCTGAAAGAGAAAATTAAATTATTATTTAATTACATAAAAAAGGTCAGAAACAATCCATTGTTTAGGACAAATGTGAACGTTCACTTCAAAAAACTAGTCTAAACAAGAACTAAACCCATCTTTGGCCCAGAAAAAAAATATTGGCAAATATTTCTACAAATAATTACCACTACGGCTAAGGCATATATCCCCTTGTTTCACCAATCGATGTATACCCTGCTTAAAGAATTCTTGTGGCGGCTGCTTGATGAATTCTTTTACGGCATTTTGTACTTCTTCGTCCGACTAACGCCTTTTTCAGTAGCCCAAATATGTGAAAATCGCAAGCCGATAAATCGGGACTATAGGGTGGATGCTCTAATATCCTCGATTTCTGTCGTTGTAGATTTTCTTTCACTCCTCTGGGAACATGAGGACGAGCATTGTCGTGCAGAAGGATGACACCACGTGAGGGCTTCCATGGACGTTTTTGTCTTATCGATGGATATTGTTCAAGGTTGCATTGTACAGGTCCAAAAAAACTGTTAACAAGACCTTGCCTGCAGAAGGTTGAGCTTTAAACTTCTTTGGTGCTTCCTTTGCATCGATGACAGCTTTACTGGATGGTTCAAGATAATGACACCAAGATTGGTCGCTAGCAATTATTGACGAAAGTCATTACCGTTTTGCTCGTATTCCATAAGATGTTGGAAAAGCCCATTCGCAAGCTTTTTTGGTCCCCGAGGAACCCATTGCGTTCAAACTTGCTGCTGTAACCCAATTTCTGTACCATATTATGGACAGATCCTATACTCACACCAACATTGAGCGCTCTGATTGAAATTCGACGATTTTCTCTAAGCACGCCTTCCACACATGCCACACTCTTGTCTGTTGATGGAGTACTCAATGCATCTGGTCACGGCTTATCTTTCGTCTCCTCTCTTCCACTTTTAAATTTTCGACACCATTCCTTGACAGTTGGATTCGCAAAACATGCGTTTCCATACACAGCATGCAGTCGTGTATGAATTGTTAACGGATTATTAACAACAAACGCTATTTTCAGCTACTATACTTAAAATCGCAGTCAAATACAAATGACAGGAACCGATCGGTGTGACGTTACAAACAAAACTAACATTGCAAAACGTCAGTTAAGCGATTAGAATTGTTTTCAAGGTTAACCTGACCAAAGATGGTTTTCAATTGAACAAACCTTGTATGTATACATATAGTTACGGAATCTTTCAACCTAATTATCACCAAATTCAAAAAGTCTGATTCATTTGAAAATTTGTACAGGGGTCAAGAGTCGATGACAATACAATAATGTTGGAACAAAATTAGAATTTGAAAATTGAAAATAGAATTTTGAAATTAAGAAAAATATTGGAAACGGAATTTTAAAATTCAGAAATTTAGAAAATAATTTGAAGATACGAAAATTTTGAAAAAAATTAGAGATCTCGAAGTTATGAAAAAAATTTGAACAAATTTAGATTTGTCAAATACGAAATATACAAAAGATCGAAGCTGATAATTATAAGCACTATTGCTGTCTTTTTGGGACTAAAAATTCAGAAAATAAATTATAGTGTAAAAAAAGTATAAGAGAGCTTGTGTTACTGCAAATAGAAAGTCCAACAATGAAGTATGTCTAATTAATTTGGAATAAGACCAATATAAAAATTATGAATTTAACAAAAAAATCAATTACTACTTTTTAGTTTGATTTGCTATTAAATAGTGTTTTTTTAGTTTTCTTAAGTTACAGTTTATTCCATAGTAACACATCTACAGGTATGTGGTACGTTATCAAGATGAAAAATGATCTTTTTCTTTTCCATACCAGATCTCTTCTCACGAATTTTAGGATTCAGTTGATCAGGAAGGTGGAAATAGTATTTACCCATCATTGTTCTACACTTTTCCAGGTAATCCACTAACAGAATCTCTTTTGCATCCCAGAAACATACTGCATTGTATGGAATGGCCGCATAAAATCCGTCGGATTCCTATTGAATTGGTCCAAACATTGTCGTTTGCGTATCGACATTACTGTATTATCCTTTCAGCTGATACATTAACAGACATTCAGCAAAAGCGGTACCCTTTCTGCGCAGAGCATTCTCATATACAGTTCTTTGTTCAAGATACACCGCACCCTTTATTTTGAATCCATTACGGCCTCAGCTATCTTACCTTCACAGACGACGAGAGCGTCCAACACGGTATCGTGGAGCTCTTCGATGGTTTTAGATGTGGTTGCGGTTCTTGGCTGTCGTTCAGATGGTCATGTTCCAAGAACGTGCGACAACGTTTAAGTTCAGCAGCGTACATTCTAATAGTTGGAATCGATCGCAAGAAACTTTTATTAACTTCGGAAGAATTTCCTGAGGGGTTAATCCATCCAAGACGGATAATTTGAAGACAGCACTATATTCAAGTTTATCCATCCTAATGAGAACCATTCTACGCATTCACTTCGAAAATTCATGTAGACAAACTATTTGAGAGGTTAAGTTGAAACTTGTCATACCGGAAAATGACGTGTACCTATGCGGAAATTATAATAGGGGAGCTCAAGAATATCTAATGAATGACTTCATTTTTTCCGAGATTTGTACTTTAACAGCCGTTGAAATCTTTAACATATAAAGGAAAGTCTTCTAATTAGAACTTGGATATGAAATGTGTAACTAAAGTCACAGAAATTTATTTTATTAAGCCCGGTTTCGTAAAATTGTGTTTCATATGGTATACATATCAGTATCAATCGAACCCTAATTTATTTTTGATCTCAACAAAAATTCTGGTGATATCGTAAAAACACACAGTTAACATATAAGATCGAATTCGTATGATTTAATCAGCTGTCAAGGTTTGAGCCATGAAAAGATTTTTATGAACTGAAACAGGCTATTTCCTATCATAAGGGCACTTACCGATCCTTTACGCCCCGGAAAGCTGAAAAACACATCCGGACCCGTCCTTTGAGGCATCTGTCGTAGGACGTTCAGCAGTTTCGCAGAATGCCGGGGCTAGAAAAAATATAATAACATTTTATACAGGTCCTTGGCGATAGCAGTAAGCCGCTAGGGACATGAAGCACTTTGAAAATGGGGAAATAAAACTTCAGTTGTGAACCGAATAGAGCGCAGAAATTAATCATAAAATATTTCGATGGTTCTGATGAAGATTCTAGAAATCTATCTTGAATTTTGAGCCCCGAGACAGACATAAGGTGGGTGGAAGGCTATATGTCTCGTAAAGTTGATTATTAAAAAGTCGTAGTTATTAGCATGCGATGACAAATTCCTTCTACCCTCACTTACATCCAACGACCTCAAGGACACAGATGCGGCCGCGAGTCGCTCGCGACGTTATTTTGTCATTGCGCTCCCTGGCTATGTTCAAATTGGTCGTCGACGTTAAGATTATAATGCGAGCTCTTTTTACACCAAAGTAGCCGCGCAGACATAAGCCTAAATGCCAGTGCACCGCGGCAGCTATGAGAAGCTTAAAGAAACGTTCTTAATGTGATTTATAACCTGCCTAAGGTTAGTCGAACTGGGAAAAGCATCTTCAAGCAATCTTGATATTTTAGGGACCAAGGGGCGGTCGTATCGGCCAGTCCTGAATGTACGAAGTTCGACACGGTTACCTCACAGCGAAATGCAAGTTCTCAACTCAATACACTATAATTTCTTGTACATTTTATAATTGTGGGTTTGTAAAGCATTTAGAATATTTTGGGTTTCCATAAGAAAGTCAAAATTATAAAGGTTAGTGACACCTTACTTGATATTGATATAAAGCTCATTAAAATGGTTTTGAAAAGATTTTCACGAATACATTCTTTCTTTTACGATAGTGTTCAAGTAATGTTCATAAAGAGCTTCTTATGAGATTATATTATTGTAAGAATTTTAATACATCATTATAAGCGATATGTAGTTAAAGTAATAAAAACAGAGATTTTGACCACAGCGTTGTTTATAACTCTTGAATTAAATATATCACTGAGTCTGCAATAAAGATAAATGTTTTTCAGTAGCATTAAAGAACAAAGTGTTAATAATTTAGTTTTCCATCAACGTGCTGGAAGTGCCACTTTTCTGAACGCATTTCATTTTGGGAATGAAAATAATATTTTATGTTTAAAAGCAACTCTGCTTACCAAGCTACAGGATTATTGTAGTAATGGAGGTATTTTTAACAAAAGCATAAAATAAAAACGCCCCTGTGCATTTTGAAGTCCTCATTTGGGGTGCGTTTGTAAATCACTTTGTAATGTAATATGGTACACAGTAATGGAATGTAGATTGACAGATGAAATTTTACTCTGAAACACTGTGAAACTTTTTTAGAACGTCATTATTATTAAAGAGATGACACTTGATGACAACCGACTGATTTAGAACCACGTTTTCTGCGACCTTTGTATTTATTATAAGAAGCTATAAGGATATGAGGTAGCTTAGTTATCGTAAAAAATAAATACATTCTGACAATTTTAAATACTTTTTGTAACCAAATACAGTAAACGCATAATGAACCATGAGAACCGCAACTAACACTGTTATTCCCAAGGTTTTGAGTACGGGAAGAAAAGCGCACTTTTGACGTTCCAGAAGGATTACTTTGTTTTTTCCTAACGCATGGAACAGGTAACAATTACGAATGCAAAAATTGTTACAGACTACAAAGTACACTCTGTAACAATTTACGAATATCCATGTAGAAAATACATAGCTTCAAAGCAAAAGGTCTACATTTGCGAAATCATACGATCTAGGTGTAGTGTAAACATATTAGCAAATTTTCCCGAAGTAATAGTAAAGTCTGGTTTTATTGATGCAATTGTTTTTGAGAATTTCTAATTGTTTATCCCAAAACATTTGTCTTCCGGTCATCACTACTAGTTCGTTGAGCAATATACAGGGTTCGTTCAAACGGCATTTTATAGCAAAATACACGAGCTTACCTTGCCTATATGAATCACAAGTCATTCCGGAAGATAATTGTTGTTATTTATAGTAAAAAAAACGAAGGGTTACGTTCGTTTCTTCTAAACAAAATCAAACATTTCGTATATCTAAGTGATTTTTCTTTTCGCAATAAAAGGTGATAGACACATCCGCTTTGCTTTAATATGTTTTAAAATGTGTATACTAACTAACTAATGTTTTTCGAATATTGTAGCGAATCTGTTCAGTTACCTACAAATACGAAATGTTTGAATTTGTTTAGGATATAAAAAGGAACCGTTTTTCGTATAAAAATAACAATTATCTTCCGAAATATATAGTGATTCATGTCGGCAAGATAAACTCGTGTATTTTGATATAAAATGCCCTTTGAACGATCCCTGTATATTGCTCAATAAACTAGTAGTGATAGCCGGAAGACAAGTGTTTTGGGATAAGCAATTAGACATTCTCAAAAACTACTTGACCAATCGAATTCAATTTTGTTGTGGTCATTTAGAAGTAATAAGCCTTCGGATTTGAAGAATATCAAGTAGCTGCGTGAAATTATCGTCGCATTAGCAATAAGTGCCAGAATATGCATTTTGCATCGGTTTTCGGCCATAACTTTTTTACTATGAGTAGGTATGGTCTCATTCTGTAGATCTCCTTAATGCCGAAAAATCTTGTTTGAAGAGTTTTTTCGTTCGCTGTCAACACTTTCGATTGAATCCCAAAAAACAAGTTTTCTCATTCTGTTGTCGAATAAAAAAGTTTTCCCACAAAAACTGGTGTACCCCTTTCATTTTAAATACCCCATTAAACAACTTGCATCAATAGGACCAGACTTAACAATTATTTCGCAAAAGAGGTGTATTTTCATCTAATATGATTAGATTACTGGCCAATTTATGGGTCCGAATACGAGAAATTAACTGCTGGCCGAATTGTCGCAGTAGAAAGATGGTGTTGTGCTGCAAGAAGCGCTGCACCATCTTGTTGAAACCAGATAGTTTGATGATTTAAAGATCAACATCTAATTTTAGTCAGCAAATGGTGTTATCGTGGAGCTATAACGGCTGCCAAATACCATACGGCATACTGTCACGCGTCATCCAAAAGTAGGATTCCAGAATGGACCACCTTGACCACACGAACATCAGACATTTGAAAGAAACAATTTTCAAAAACTAAAAGTCAAGAATGTTTAGTTTCTTTGATAAAATACCTCGAAATAAATCACCAGTTACAAACAAGTTTTCAACTACGTAGTAAACAATACTAATATTGAACTATCTAGTTACCTACCCTGCAGCAAGCCATTAACTAATTGAACAGAAAATAGCCACTTACGAGTATAGTACAGGTAGTATCGCATCTGCTCGGAAAATATTCTGATTCCGTTTTTTGTGCACAATCTTATTCGAAAAGCACCCCCTATAAGAAGGCTGCACGTTACCAGGTCCAAAATGGCGTCAAAAATATTGTACAATTTTTTCAAACAGATTACAAATATTGCTTTTCGCTCCGGTCAAAGTATAGTGAGTGACATTAGAAGTGTTATACCCAGAAAAAATAATTTCATCAAGTTGTTTTTTGGGCAACATAATGACTATATTTGAAGCACGCTGTGGCAACGATGTCAAAGTTTTATCTTTGTTTTTGTTTACATTTGTTAAAATGTTATCTCTTAGTTTTTGTGAAGAAAGCCGTTTCTGTGAGCTGTTTAGTACAGATATTTTTAGTTATTAGCATAATAAAATGCCTCGAGTTCGGAGACGTCCAGATTATCACCATGTTACTGACTATGACATGGGTACAATTATTGCCTATCAAGGTGTTGATTTGTCTCAGCGCAAAATTGACCGCCACGTTAATTGTACTTCAATGACGGTAATGCGTGTGTATCGTGTGTGGATAGAAGAAGCTAGAGGAATACGAAGAAGGCCAACCGCGTACCTCAGAGCCAGCCCTACGAGACCGTTTTGCTACTATGAGTCAGATTGCTGACCAATGGCTTGGAGAAGACGGTAAACCTGTTACACTCTATCGCTGCATTCGAGCTTTTGGTCATTTTCACTCCGTCCACGGTTAGTGTTTCCTCTGACTGCGGACCACTGTCGTCAACGTTTGAACTGAGGCAGATAACGGCAACATTGGGAGGCAGAATGGCAAAATGTCTATAGATGGGACGATGGTCGTAGAAGGGCAAGACGCCGTCGTGGAGAGCGGCGTAATATTGGATTGGCTGTAGAGAGGTATATATACAGGACTGTCGGAGTAATGGTTTGGGAGGCTATTGCCTATGGTAGCTTTGTTCTAGACAATATTACTGCTGCGAGTGATGTTGACGATGTCCTACAAACCACTTTACTGTCCTATGTAGAGGGCCATCCACACGTCCTTTTTTAGCAAGACAAATCACGTCCCCATATTGCTTGACGTACTACGAAGTTTCTCCAAGACGCAGGCGCTAATGTTCTGCCGTGGCCACCCCGTTCACCGGATTTAAATCCTATCGAAGATGTGTGGGATATAATGGAGTGGAGACTATCCGCTTTGCATTATTATTTTTTTTCTTATTACTTGTGAATAAAACGTGGTGAGAATGTTATCATTTCATTCTTGATGTAAGACTACCTCATTGCCTAAAATCAAGTTGAACAAATTATTTTTTCCGGATGCAACACTTCTAAAGTCACTGAGTATACTTTTACGGCATTCTGAACGAAGAAGGTAATTTAGAACATTACTTGAAAAAGTGCAAAATTTGCCCCATTTGATTAACAAATAAAAAACAAAGGTTCAGAGCAACGGCGTAGCTTGCTACTCAGAAGCCTCGTATCAAAAATTTTAGGGGGGTCACTCTCAATTGTAGCGAGTTTAAAATTTGAAGTATACATGTTAGGAATGTTCAGTATCAGTTGATATTTTGTCTGACCTGATGTTATTTTGTCTCACCTTATAAATGTATCCGAGCCATTCTGCTGGCGCTTACCTTGATGGTGTTGATAAAAACATTGGATGCCTGACCAGCTTTTGTTTGGTTTTGCAGCGGTCAATCATGAACGTTCTGTTGACTAGATCAGATCTGAATTGTTTGTGCAATGCAAGTAGAGTTTTGAGCGATAATTAGTTTAATTTCGACCTCAAGTTAACATACATATATTCTTGTAAAAGAAACATAAACGCTTGCATTGAATAATATGAATTGTCACGTCTTGACTATGGGCGCCCGCAGTAAGTTTTTTGTCAGAGGGGGTGGATCATCGGCAAGAGATAACTTTTTGTGAAAGTATCCCTACCCTCAAATTTTTTGGAGAGCGAGGGTTAGCAGAGTTTTTCGGGGTTGGGGCGAGAGGAATTTTACAAATTCAGATAAATGTTTTTTGGTTTGCGATGCTACTTAATATTGAAAATCGTTCAAATGGTAGCGATCTTATGAGTAAAAATTAAAATAGCTTTTAGGTCGTCTCAAAGTTTGTATTTGTATGCTTTACAACTTTCTGAACATATTTGAGGGTAATCAAATCATCTTTGTGGAGAGGTTACAGTTTTTAGGAAATTCGAAAATTTACTACCATCATTTCTGATTCCTTCAGGTTGAGCATATTCAACAATAATATGGAGCTCAAACATTTTGTTTTTTTGCAAAAAGCTTATCTTGACTCATGGAAAATTTGAAAATAGGCACAGCTGAATGCTTTGGAAGTACCGAGTCAATCTACTTGCCACTATTTTATCTGACATTTTTTTATGAAACCATTCATAGTGGAAGACGATTTTAGTGTGTAGAAATTTTAAAATATTTCAATTTGAAAAGCTTCCATCAGCTGTTGCAGTTGTAACCTAGAGGGTTAAAAATAAGAAGTGTGCTACTATTACCTAGCCGTACAATCTAAGGTTTAGTACTTGAGATTTTTTCATTTAACCTGCGGCCTAAAAATTTGCGTGGGATTGTGAAAAATATTTTTTTCGTACGTGGGGGCCCTTGTAAGCTGGGGGATAGAGATGATACAGCGGTAGCTATGCCCTGGTTCACAGTGACAGTTCCCCCTAAAATGCTTTGGAATTTTGTTATTGGCTGTTTGAAGTATATTTTCGAACACTGGCAACAATAATGTTTCTTCACATTGTTTTTTGGGGTCGAAATACTAAGTCGCTTATATCATTGATATTCTACCGCAAGTCGGTATAATGCTACATTCCCTCGTTCAAAAAAATGTACGAGATAAAATGAGATACTGTAGCGTCATCTCTGAGAATTTATCGCAGCTGTTTCTCTATTTGTATGCTTTGAAAATGTTAGTGATTCATAGATGGCGCTTTAGCCTCCTATATACATTTATACGCTCATACAAATAGCGTCATTTATGAGACACTGACCTTTTTTAAGAATATATAGTAAATAGAGAAACATCGCTGAAAAATTGTCATACATGACGTTATGCTATTATATTTTATACCGGATAATCTTTTGGACACGGGAATGTAGCAAAGGTTGGCTCTCTTTAGGTAAAACATGTTAATTAATGCTTATATCTCGGAAAATATCAACTTCAGACGAAGATCCTAGAGCTCCCTTTTTGTTCAGAAGGTCCTAAGTAGACGCCGGAGGGAAATAATCAATTTTTGAAATTTGTTTAAAACATTGTTGGTGCATGTTTGAGCATAGTAACACATCCAGATTCGTTAAAATGGTTCTTTTTCAACATTATGCCAAACATCCGAATCAGAATATTTTTCCGAACAGATCCGAAGATACTAAATTAACCGTTTCATCCAGAGTTCGAAAATAGATATAACATTATTTTAATATATCAGAGCAAAGCTTCGCTTTGGCGGAAAGTACAACATTAGTATTCACCAAAAGAAGTGAATGTAAGTAAATGTAAGGCAGGACGGTGGTGGTAGTTGAAAAGAGATAATGAAAATAAAAGACTAGCTGATATTCTTGTCACGTCTTCTACTTTCAAAATGCTGTCAGACACAACGCTGTTGGAGTATCAGATGATGTAGGTAGTGTAAAGCTTTGCCATCTTACTTCTGTTTAAACTTTAATGTGGATATAATATCCAAGTCTTATATTTTTATTTTTTGATGATGTTACATGAAAGTCCTAATATAACGTATATCCTAAAAGTTTTGGCACAAAATTCATTGGCTTTAATTAACAAACACAAAATTATATCAAGTTGCTTTTGGAAACAAAAGTTTGTTTACTTACTTTACTGTCAGATGACATTAATTTATTTTGAAGTTTTGCGCTTTAAGCGCAGTATCGTCAGTCGTTCCTACAATTGTAGGACGCCTTGATTTTCATAGTTTTCTACTTTTCCGTGTCAGCGCTCTCCTTTGAGGTTATGTCACAAATAGCTATTTGTGTCCCAAATACTCTCAAGCGCAACTCCTTCGAATACCAAGATGCTGTCGTCAACTGAGGCGGGTACATTTTGTCAATGGAAAGACAATCATTTTAGATGAAAAGTATTTCACTTCGAGTAATTTTAAAATGAGGAGATACCACGGATTTAACACGATCAACGTAGAGGAATCCCTGACAATGTTAGATACAAACATAAAGCGAAATTTGCAGATAAAGTTCTTGTCTGGTGCGCATTTTCTAACAGGGGTGTATCCCAATCTTTTCTGGGAAGAGTGAGAGGTAAAGCTTTGAATAGTCAGAGCTATATTGATAACTGCCTTTCCAAATTGCTTAAGTTTGCCCACGAACATCATGCTAATGACGACATGATGTTTTCGCCAGACCTAGCATCACTACCCAAAACTGGGTTCGACAACACAACACACCTTTTGTTCCCAAAAACGATAAACCTGCGACTGCCTCGCTCAATAGAGGATTTTTGGGATTTATTATCTTGGAAGGTTTATCATGGAGGCTGGGATGCCCAAGATGAAGATCAATTAGGACTGCGAATTTACGAAAAACTGATCTGATTTCCGTCCTCATGAGAGAAGAAAGTTACGTTGAGTTGTAATTTATGATAACTAGTTAGTGTTTAAATAAATTTCTCCATTAAAAATCTGATAAATATTTTGTGCCAACACACACAAACGTTACGCTTCGTATTCCCAGTATACAGTGTATAATAATGACATTAGGATTAAACATTTGAAAAAGTGCAAAATATGCCATTTTTGACCCCATGAAACATTCTAATGACGCCATAGTTCAAACATCGATTAACAAAATCCAAAAGCATTTTAGGTGGTATTGTTATTGTATTTTTTTGTTTTTTAATTGCTTATAATCGACTTGTCATGTCAATAGTGTGTATTAACTGTTGAATGAGCTTACATCGTGAAGTATACGCCTTCAACCTTAAGATGCAAGCTTATTCTCCATTTGATTAACATAACTGACATGACAAAAGGATAATGCTTTGGGATTTTTTTAGCGTATGTTTAAAGAATGTTTAGGAACTTTAGTAACATTAAAATTTTCGTTTTTCATATTGTTTTTCGGAGTCGAAAATAGCTAATTCTGTACTCTTAGCTTATGTCTCGAAAACTATTGCGAGACTGAAGAAAGAAATTGGTATACATTGCTCGTCCTCACTTGTCCTCGGTAGTTTTTTTTATCACTAACGATTTCTTAACCCCTCAGAATCATTATTAAAAAAGATTAGACTGCAAATATTTGCAAAGTCACGAGTACAAGTATGTGAAGTTACTAATTTCTTTCGATCTTTCTAATGATCAATAAAATGAGGCAAGGCCCGAAGGAAAGCATTTGCCTTTACATAACGATGCCAAAATGCTATTAAATAAGTGTGTAATTGGTTATTATAACTTTCATTTGATTTAACTATTTTCTTAATTGTATTTATTCTATTTGACTTAAATATTTATAAACCAAAAAGGTGATATTGCTGATTTATATGCATAGTGACCGGCTGCATGGATATCATCATGCCTCAGTGCCAAAAAAGCTTAAAATCAAAACTAAATGCAAGGGTTTGTTGGTCAATTCCGTACCTCCATACAAAATTTCCTACAGAGCTTCGAGCCCCTGACGATCACACATTTTTAGATTTTTTACCTGAGCGCATCAGAAAGAGGGTTATGTTTTTCACGCGTGAGTATGTATCTATGTATTCACAAAACTCACTATTTCACGGGCCAAACAGCTTGATGAATTTTTACATGTGAGGTGTCATTGGATCCTTCCTTGTAGCGCGAGTGATAAAATGAAAATGGCGGATTTTAATTCAAAATTCAATTAGGAGATTCCTATTTCACGGGCTACAGTTTAAAGAGCTTGACGGATTATGACATACGAAGTGCCTCTAGGTTTGTGTTGCAAGTGCGAGTGGCACTAAAATTTTATGAAATCAATTTGGCGGATTTTAATAAAAAAATAACCTTGAAATTCCTATTTCATGGATTACAACATCAACGGCTACGTGTTTAGTTAGTGCAGTCAGGTTTTTCGTATTTTTTAAAAATGTACTTTTTTACTTACCCATTTCCCGCCAACAGCCTTCATGGCTCCAAAAAGTAGTTTTAACTCCTTAACTGTTATGCTATAGCTGGCCAACACACCAAGCATCTCAATCAGAAGATCTGAAAAATATTTATCATGAGAAAAATAATGGTTGGCATCATTAAGTGCTTAAGCATCGCGTCTGAGAGCAGATGATTTTGTAGCAATTGAACAACGTTCAAGATTTGAGTCTAGGTGATTTTTACACCAATACACAACAATATATACCATTCTCTTGAATAACATGGCGGTCTTCAGCGCAATTTTAGATTGTTGATCGAGGGCGGTATTCGAACTTAACTGTCGCACAAGACAAATTTAGTTACTATGATGTTGCCTTGCATTTTTCAAATGATACAAGACACCAATGCAATCACTTACATCCTCTTATATGTTGTTGAAAATAATATTTGTAGTACTTTCTCGAAAACACAACACGTTACATTACATTGAGAAATCCTGGAAGATTAGCATGTCAATAAGAAGCACCTTGTATACTGCACCAAATTATACACCTTATATCTGAATCTGATTTTGTCACCTAGACCTAGTCTAAGCAGCGGTGGCCGTAGGTGGTAGATGGTCTCTGTCTGTCGAACGCGGAGGTACCACCTGGCGGACCTCGTAGGCGGAGCCAGAATGTGTGCATGTTGCATGCACACGTGTTCCCTTGCCAGAGTCCGTGTGACGTTCCCCCTTCCCCTGTATCCCCCTATAGCCCCACGGTACCCAATGGGTGTTTAGGCCTTAGGCCTTCGTGGTAGGTGGAGTATAAAAAAGTCTTTTTTTTGCTGTTGACGCACCCTGTATCATATCCTACAAGTTGGCTAAACTAAGGCTGTATAACATTGTATGACATACTATGAGAAAGTTTTATCAATTATTTTGAATTACACTGTTGCCAAAATTTCCCACACATTCGATCAAGAAGCCACAACGCACAGCACAGTCGAATTATTCAGAAAACTAAAATTATTTTTTGTGTGTACGCCATCTTCCGAAAAAATGGAAATTATTTGTATGGGCAGATATACATTAGGATAAATGAGAAAGATAATAGAACTAAGACGTTGCTTTTCATTATTGAACAAGCTATCTCATAACAAGTCTCATAACTTTACAAAATACCAAAAATTGAGATAACCCGCATATAGGTGCATTATTCCATGCCGGTTAATCTGACGAAGAGGCATAACTATATATCTATTAGTGTGAGCAACACACCATTAACCTCATGGTGTCTTATCTGCAAAGGTAAATATGTATATAACTCCCCCGAAGAGACGTAAATGAAGATAGATATCTTAGTGTGCAATAATTCTTGTTAGTATACGCACCTCGGTGGTCGAATCATGGCCAAAGTGAGGGAGACTACCCACAGTACAATTCATATGCGATAAAGCGAGCTGGAGATCTTTTTGAACCCTCACAACTCTATCCGGTTTTTCGTTTCTCAATAAATACTTCAAGAAACTTTCAAAAGATTTAAGAATGTTGTCCCCAAGGCAAACTGAGAAAGGGCAAAACATTAAATGGAGTTTATGGTAAGAAAATACATGCCCACCAAAATGTTATTTAAGTCTAGCCACCACGATACTAGTTATGACAGTATTGAGTTAAGAAGGCTGATGAGAATTAGTAATAATATAAATGATACTAGACTTAAAAATAAACAAAAAAAAGAAGTACTCCGACTTAATTTCGTTATGTGAAAATCAAATACCCTTGGTACGCTTACCAGAATTCCAAAACTTTTCCAGAAATTCGCCCCATAAATCGGAATGAATTATTAATAATTTTGCCTATGTCTTTTTGTGTATCACAATACATCAACATTAGCTGGTAAGATAAAATTTAAGTTAGTTGCTTTTCTTTTAGTTTTTATTTCAATAAAAATTGCCTTGATGTTTCGAGTTGTTTTCTTCATCTCATCACTTAATATTTGTGTCATAATCTACATCAATTTTAGGCATGGACATTGAGGGAAATGTTTTAAGGGGTAGCTAAAATTCAAAGGTCGATCTGAATTTTTTTACATAAACTACGATTACTTAAAAAATTTAACAATAAACAAATTTTCTGAGGCAATCGTCCCTTTAGCTGGAAATATGATTCTTTGCTTCTCATTAAATGAAATAAATTTTGTATATCTTAAAAAATTATAATAACAAGAGCTGATTTCATTTTCTTGCTCTACTGTAAAATTTACTAAACGTTGGTTAGGACACTTCGTGAGAAAGCCGACGATATGATCTTATTCTGGGATTTCCAACATTCCGCATAATTAAAAAACTGTTCGACTTTCTACCGAGGTATATGTGATCTAAAGTATTTGGGGTGTACTATCATCCCTTAAAATGTATCGATCTTCAGGATACCCTGTATAGGCCCGCGATATTTATTTTTTCATAAGGCAAAGGGCAATTCACTTGGTTTTTCATTTTGTGCATCAAAATCACTTTTGGTGACCCTGTTAGGCTAGACTAGAAGGATTATCGAAATTTGTTTGCTTGCAGGAACTTAATTACAGCGAACCTGAGGTTGGAATTAGATCAAAGCCCTGCAAGGGTATTGTATATCTTGGAGGAATGCAGTGCGAAGCTTAGGAACTGGCAGACTAAACAGTTTCGGCCTCTGGATATTTGCCAACACAAATTTAGGAATACCTGCGGCGCGCCTCCAGTCTGGTTTTGGATGCTTTGTGCTCTGATAAAATTATTTTACTCGATGTTGTTCGCTGTGCAGCAGGCCAAGGTTGAAAAATATTCCTTTGTTTCAAACTCTCATTCCCAACCCGCCGAAAATTTATCAGTAAAAAAAAGTATCGTACGGTTGGGCTCACAACAGCCACTTACGATGTTGAGTTAAGTCTGGATTTCTCAGACGATGCATTTTTAATTCTTAAAAGCAGATTTTGATGATAAATTCACCGTTACTGCGAATTTCACAAGCCGTAAAAATCTCATTTTCCCACTGATCAGCCTAAATAGAACAAAGCATTTAATGTGGAGTATCTTCTATAGCTTATCAGCTTACCTGCCACAACCACATCGGCGTTTCGAAGCCTTTTAAGTACATGTTCGATTAGACCAACATCGGTACACGCTTGCAGATTTCTGACGCTCTTTCGCAGGATTGCAATGAATACACTCCAAATTTCCGCCTGAAACAAAAAGAAAAAATTAGAACATAGAAAATAAGACATCCTTCTATCACCAGGAATGGTCACTTCGAGACTGAAAACAGCAAGCTGTCTTTCGGAAATGCATTCCAGTTCACATGTGACATCCGGGTCATCATAGTGGATGAGTTCTACTCGCCATTGGAGGCAAATGGAAAAGCATTATGTTAGAAAAATAGATATCACTCAACGCTCTCACTCTACCTCAGCCACCTCAATCGCATTATCATTTAAACCCATTCTACTGTGATATAGAGAGTTACCTTTTATATTTATAGAAGAATAATTTATTCTAAGTTGTGGTTTTATTATGATGGATAAGCACTTTGGTTCAAACTTTTCTTAAAGTCCATTTGTTTAAATGAACCAGTCCGAGCACGCTTTCACTGCCTGCTAGACGCGCCGTTGTCAGAGGACAAGCACATTTCATGGTGGGTGAAGCGAACGTTTTTCCCACGAAGGTACAAAAAAGGCTATTTAGGAGTCTAGCCGGAGCTTGACCCTCACCCTAATTTTTCTTAGCGACTTACTCATCTAATAAAACACTAACCCACTAACGCTTGCGCACAGAGGTAGGGCGAGTAGGGGAGATAGAGAAAGAAGATAAGTGGGCGTAGCAAGATGGGCCCATTCCTAGAACAAACCCTTTTTAATGACCTTCCTTTGTCAAATTCCATAGTTTATTGATTGTAGAATTGTATATACAGGGTGACTTTGAAGTTGAGTCATTAATTTTCAGATAATGATTGTAGAAGGAAGATAAACCAAAATGTGTGTGTAAAAATTAAAAAAAAAATTATAAAAAAAATGTTACCTTGTTTTATAAAGTATCCTCCCGACAAGTATTTCAGTGCGGACCTGTATTTGATCGTGCGGTCTTGGAGCACCGGCATGCCCTCCCCTGTGAGGTCTTAAGTCACCTGATTTACGAGCCCCTTGTATTACATTAACAAAGGCACGAGGGGTTGGTTGCACTCGATTGGGAAACCGATCCGCATAAATCCGTGATGCCGCGTAAATAAGAATCATGTCCACAAGTTCAGCATTTTCGTAAACATGTGCCATTTTTGATTTCGTTTGAGCCACGCAACAGACACCACTATTCACTCACGCGTTACCGACTGACACTGACTGTATACAACTGAATAAAATAATTGTAAAAACATCGTTCCAAATTCTTTCGCTTTTTTGTTTCCGATGCGATGAACCAATAAGGCGAATTATATCCGTTGTTGCCAAACACGAGCACATAATATTATTATTGAGAGAGGGCGGTACTCAAACTTCCAAAGTGCTATAACTTTGTTACTTTAATTTTACCAGAAAAATGGTAAAGGAAAAAACATTTCTTTTGATCTACTCACTGTTAAAATAAATGACTCAACTTCGAAGTCACCCTGTATATATATATATATATATATATATATATATAAAAATCTTATTTATAAAAAAAGGCGTGGCGCATATGTCGGATAGGGCCAAGCTCCGGCTGGACTCTAAATACCTATATTTATCTCTTCGTAGGAAGATCGTTAACTATCCTCTATCCAAGATTTAAGGTCTATCGAAATTAGAAAGCACAGGGTGTCATCTGTTACCTGAATCGACATCAGCGAGAGTGAAAAGATGTCTGTCACAACTATATACCAGTTCGCATGTGACAGCAAACTAAATGTTTTGATGGGTATTGAGAAGATCCAATGAAAACTTTACCTTGAGTCTTATCTACTTTAATTCTGAATCTGAAAGTTCTTAGAAATGGTCTTTATTTTTGTGTTATAAATAGCAATTCTACATTATCATTTTAGTGCCACGAGATTCAAGTGAGGAGGCTCAGTACGCTAAACAAAATAAACTATGAATATCAAACCAGTCAAATTACTGACAAACCGTTTTATTGAATAAATACAGGGTGATTCACAAGTTGTGACCAAAAATGAAAAATCACACAGGGCCGCATTTTAAGGGGGTGTTCTATGTAACATTTTTTCCTCGAGGGCTTCATTACAAGTTTAAGAATAAAAAACAATTTTCTTTAATATCTTCAAAACCGTCAACTGGAATGAACTAAAATTTGGTATGTGGATTCACCTAAGTATTGCCCACATTCAAAAGTCCTTACTTAAAATTATCGTGCACCAGTGGCGGAGTTACAGGGAATTAATGGCATTATTTTTCCAAATAAAAATAGTACGCCACTGTTCTTTTCTGGAAACGCGCAATGTTTCGAATTTTACCTTCAATTTTCTACAAATAATCACGCTTGTGTTTTTTCCTAGAGTGCATTGTTTTCGCAAAGATAAAAACAAAAACAAATTAGTAAAAACCTTTGGGGTAGGTTGGCGTCTGTTAGGAAATCTACGTTGACACTCCTGAGAAGCCGCTAAGGCATTTCCATTACAGAACCCGTACACCAAAATAATATCGGCGTACTCATCATTGCTAAATTTCATTTTACAACACTCAAAAATGGAAAAAGTAGCTTTTGACTTGACTTTTACAAAAAATAAATGGTAGTAGTAACGATAACAGCCATATAACACATAACTTTGACACACTATCTTCCAAGAAACGTCAAGTAGGTATCAAGGCCTCCTATTTTATTTTGAAACTAATTGTATCTCGGCTTCTCATGAATGATCTAATTTGTTTTATTTTTATTTTTACGAAAGCAGTGCACTCTAGAAAAAAAAACACAAGAGTAATTATTTGTAGAAAATTGAAGGTAAAAACTGCGCGTTTCGGAAATAAACTGGCGTATTATTTTTATTTGAAAAAACAATGCCACTAATACCTGAATGTGGACAATACTTAGGTAAATCCACATACCAAACTTTACTTCATCCCAGCTGACGGTTTTGAAGATAATAAAAAAATGTTTTTTAGTTTTAAACTTGAACATCCCGTATCTTTTTAATCAACCCCTAGAGGAAAAAATGTATGGTGTTTCATTTTTGGTCACGACTTGTGAATCACCCTGTAGAATGACAGTGACAAAATAGCAGTAATTTTTATATTATGGTAAGCCCGATATTCGGGAATTTGCTCGGATTACAAAAACTTAGAAATATCGAGTAGAATTCAATCCAATTCCAATATCAGGTATTTCGCCATTGCTGTTATTTGATGAAATTTTTCGTATTGTCTACCTTCCAAAATGAGGGATTAATAAAGATTTGCTTTCATTTCATTCCATTAACAATAACTGAGCGACTGACACCGCAACACACTATTTCTACTCTGCTGTACGTGAGTACCCCCACTTCGAATGGCTTATTGAATATCCTGTCCAGAGAAAAAATGTACGCCGATGTATTGTCACTTTGGTAGGCGATTTTTGCGGCAAAGAATGCAATGTAAATGTATAGACTTAACTCCTTCTAATTTATTCGGAATCGTAGGATGGATCGATTGTTTAAAAATATCCTTCTGGATCCTTAAGCCATTTACAGATATGTAACAACACCGCGAACCGAACCACGCGACGAACCGCGCCGCGCTAGTGTAGACGGTGAAAAGAACGCCGTCGCGAACCTGATTAGCGTTACAGCTCGCCGTTCGGCCCGATCCAGACTCAGTCGGTTTTTCAGCGCAACATCAAAGGAATGGTTCGCGACGAAGTTGCACATGTTTGGACAGGCATACGGGTTCGGCGAGCACCAATGTGTTATTTTGTAATGTACCTAGAAGTAAAATTATTTTTCTGGAATGATGTAGCTGATCGATTGCTTTGAAATTCCAAACATGTGTTGCAAACTACTGTACATATAAATCACCGGTAGCTGAAAATCGCACCGTGACACCGTGAAGTCTTTCTTGAGCTGTGATGGCAGCTCTCCACTTTGTATCTTGTCTTCGTATTTTTGGTCCAATCAACCTGAGAAGATATTCAAAGTCCCGAGGAGACATCCTCGTAAAATTTTTGTTCTATCCACCTACTTGTTGAAATTTCAATTCCGCCATCAAATTGTCACAACCGTAACTCTATTGGTATATAACTGCGTTTGCCACCATCATCTCGGACGTCGTCGTTGCTTGTTTTTTGATAATTCCTAGTGAATATAAATATAGGCAACTACGCCGCTGCTACTGCTATATCCATTTCCGCTAGTATTAGTCTTTCACTGAACGACAAACATCAAAATTGGATCGTCATTTTGTTGCGCGATGTAGTTGCACGACGTCGTTCGGTTTGTGGTGATGCTCGTTGCAATGTTGTTCGTCAAAATGCGCGCGCTGCGGTCCGTCGCGAGGTTCGGTTCGCGGTGTTGTTACATATCTGTACATGGCTTTATAGACCGGGCGCTGTATGGAGCTGAGTGTGCAAAATATGAGGAGCGCATTCTGTGAATAGTTTTAAACTCAAAGAAGGTTCCGTTAACAATAACTGAGCGACTGACACCGCAACACACTATTTCTACTCTGCTGTACGTGAGTACCCCCACTTCGAATGGCTTATTGAATATCCTGTCCAGAGAAAAAATGTACGCCGATGTATTGTCACTTTCGGTAGGCGATTTTTGCGGCAAAGAATGCAATGTAAATGTATAGACTTAACTCCTTCTAATTTATTCGGAATCGTAGGATGGATCGATTGTTTAAAAATATCCTTCTGGATCCTTAAGCCATTTACAGATATGTAACAACACCGCGAACCGAACCACGCGACGAACCGCGCCGCGCTAGTGTAGACGGTGAAAAGAACGCCGTCGCGAACCTGATTAGCGTTACAGCTCGCCGTTCGGCCCGATCCAGACTCAGTCGGTTTTTCAGCGCAACATCAAAGGAATGGTTCGCGACGAAGTTGCACATGTTTGGACAGGCATACGGGTTCGGCGAGCACCAATGTGTTATTTTGTAATGTACCTAGAAGTAAAATTATTTTTCTGGAATGATGTAGCTGATCGATTGCTTTGAAATTCCAAACATGTGTTGCAAACTACTGTACATATAAATCACCGGTAGCTGAAAATCGCACCGTGACACCG